TCTTTTCCAAAACAACTCAAATTTAAGCATTAATTCTAATATCTTAATGATTTCTAATGTCTCTAAGTTATAAACAGTTTCTTCTCCTAAATTTAAATCTAATTTTTCTGATTAAACTTCCAAATAGATGAGCATCTTAAGTTTCAACTTCTAAATATCAAACCCTCCTTTTTCGTGTTTCTGACTAGATACTTCATCAAATAAAAATAAAGTTTTTTAAGTAGTTTTTTCTTCTAAAATCCTGACCAATTCAGGTTTAGGTGTTGTTGTATAAGGTTCTCTATCAATATATAAGGTTCTTATCATTCTAAAGAAGTATGCTCGAACTTGTTTATTAACAAAGTGATACTCTCCATTAAAACTATCTTCTTAATCATTTTTTTATTCAGCATAAGATAATAAAATAGAATAAGTAAATGTTTTAGATATCAGTTCTCTTGCTGCTGTATTTCTATGAAAACAAATATTTGAAAAAAAAGCCAGTTATTCAATTAAAAAATTGTATTACACTTCATAAAAATGATCCATATCTTTGAATTATTGATAATCATTTAAAAAGTCATTCAACATTCTTGTTACGTAGGTCTTATTTGAAGTTCTATAAGTAATGTAGAATTCTTTATAATTCCCTTCACTTTCTTGAATTGGTTCTAAATGCATATAAATTTTCTCTTCTCCTTAATCATTCTTAACCTTTTGATTCAACAATTAAATACTATTTAGCAAATATTCTTAATTATTAAAAACAGGTTCGCCATTGGCCTCACAAGTTTCTGATAAAAAATGCATTAAATCTGGTAAAAGTTAATCATTTTTAGATAAAACATCCAAAAGTCTGGATAAAATTGTGGTTTGGCTTTTTTAATTTTTTTAATCTGTAGTGTTTGCATTCGTTGTGAATTTCATATCATAAGCAATTTCCTATTTATTCAACTAACTCAAAATTTGATAATTGTTAGTTATACATTAACAGATAGTTGTACAAATATAATCATGAGTAATTTACTTTTCAAAATGTTTAAAATATTTCATTAATATCTCCTAATTCTATTGATTATTATGACATGCAATTTTGATGGTTTGAAATAACTTTAGTTATAATAATCTTTTTCTCTTCCTATGATTTTCTTCCAATTATTCCTTTAACTTTTATACTTTTTTTTCATATGCTGCATCGTTGGTTTTATCCAATTATTATTAAATCATATTTTAAACTCTCAAAATAATTGAGTGCTCACCGTATAGATCGCTAATTAGATTCTGCTCTGTTCCTTCTACTTTTTCATCAGGATTAGGGAATGTTGTACATATAAGCCATATTAATAAAGGTAATATGTTTTCTTCCCTGAGAATATCCTATCTATTTTATGAAACAAAGGAGAAATCTTATGTTGTTTATATGTTGCTCACTAACTTATTATACATAAATTGATTTAAGATTTCAAGTAAAGAATTCAGCTTTTCAAAAAGGTAATAAAACTCAATCCTCTCTTAAACTTCACTTTTTTTCATGCAAGCAATACTTGTTAGAGGTTATACTATTTCAAAGTAAGAGATGGCCTCTTTTAAAATAGGTACTAAAAATACTAAGAATCTCTTTTCCCAGATGTCCTCATAGTCAGTTTTCCTGAACCTAATACAATTGATTAAATCAATATCTTATGTAATACACACAGATCCATAAGGAATATCAGGCTCATTTCTTAAATTTAAATAGCTTCCAGTCAAAAAATGTTTAATTAAGAAATATGATTCTTTATCAACAAATTTTGAATTTTTTTTAACAGGCACAAACTAGAATAACGTATTCTTTGTCACTTATTCTGTAAGTTTGACCTACCTCATAATATTGACATCCAAATATTAGCCAGTTTAAAAATGTCTAATGCGATAACACTTATCCCATTTGACTTCTCCTCCAGTAAAATTATCTGATTCTATCCTCCAATAAGCACTAAAGGGAATAGTAATTTTGTCTTATTTGTTACCAACAAAATTGCTAAAAAATAGCTTAAGTTCTGAATACAAGGCCTTATCAATTTCTCTGATGTTTTTTGATGCCTAAATAACTTGAGATGACCGAGATTACATCGATCTCTACTTCTCATATATATGACTATTTTATGAATCTGATTTATAGTTTCTTGATTCATTCCTTCCGACTTCTTCACTCACTTACCTTGAAATGACCGCCTACTATCCTGGAAAGAGAGTCTGTTATTTGGTATAAGTGAGTTTATCTTAAATGATATTACTAATATCATCTACAGAATTGCGGTCTAAAATTTCTTTGACTTTTTCTTGGATGTCTTAGGTTTTCTTTGCAGTTAAGTATAACTAGCGATTATAAATTTGTTACATTAAGTTCTGGTAAATGAAATATGGCCACGTCTCCTACGAATAAGGCTTCATCATTATCTTATTGTGTCTAAAATATTTTGATTCTCCATTAAGTTTAATCTTCAACTGATGCTATCACCTTTGCTCTGCCAACTTCATCATCATATTTCTGGGGTTCATCTTGCAATTCGTAATAGTTCAATCCCCAATAATCAGTGAAGAGGTTTGCTGTTCTATTACATACTTGCTTATTTGCAGAGATACAGACAACATCTCCACTATACACCTAATTGGTTCTTAATTTTTGAAAATTTAAACAGGGGTTGAATTTTAATAATGTATTGTTGTTTGGAAAGTCAATCAATTTAAATTATAATGCTTCCAAGTTTTGATCATCCAACGCTAGAAATTTCAATGAAGAAACATGAACTAAGTGAAATATTGACGAACTAAAAACTAAAGGAGTGCCTGCTAATTTCTTTGTAAGTGAAATATTCGAGGTTAGTTCATTCTCTAAATTATGCAAGATAGTTTAAATTTTATGTTTTCTTTGGCTTTAGTCAAACTTTTCTAATTCGTTAAAACTCGAATCTTTAAATTAGCATAAAAGATCATCTTGTGCCTTGTAATTTAAAACAGGGAGTATTCTGAAAACACAATTCTAATAATCTTGATCTAAGTCACCTCTTAATTGGTGAAATGATCTCAAGTTAAAATTCTGTGTGCTGAATCCATTTGAATATAATGATAAGTTTGGAAAGGCACTCATGTTAAGTACAATTAAGGACGAATAAGTAATAGGTTCCGGATTCATAATTTAATTATTATATAACTAAAGTTAATTTAATAAAACACTAAAAGTATTTTACCTAATTTCCAATTTCGAATACAAATCATAAAGACTATGATTTTCTCTACCAAAGAGTAAAATTTGTATATCAAAGTTATAAAAACAGTTCTCATTTGAAATATATATGATAATGATTAGATTTCATTTAATTAAATTATATATATGATTATATTCAGGGCTAGTTTTGCATTTGCAAGGAAAGTTAAATAACTAAGAACTTCCTTAATAAATAATTCAAAAAAAACTGATGAGGAAAATATTTCAAGTGAATCAATTGAATCTAAGGAGAAGGTGGAGAAAGTGAATGTACCTGAGAATTAAGAAAATTTGGAATAGAAGGAGAAAAAGGTTTTTGAGAAAAAATTCATAAAATCTCCAGAATATTTGATGGCATGTAATCATCAACCAGCACTTTCTTTACCAGAAGAGATCTTAAAAAAAGCTAGAAAAGTATTCTCAAAATATCCTCCTGATGAATTAAGAGATGCTTCTTATAAATATATGAGAATGTATTAATTATTGCATGCACTTGAGAAACCAGTATCTGTAACAATAAAAAGGAACAATTTATTCGAGAATCCAGAAAATTTATAAAAATTAACAGAGAAAAAAGTTATCCATTTATATAAAAAAGGAACAAGTGAATAATAAATATTGGATAAGATATTTGAAAGAAGATAGAAGAAGGATGTAAATGTGGATAGAGTAAATAGTGCTGAAGAAAAACTAGAAGAATTTCATAACTTTGCATCAGCCATAGATTATGATTAAATATTAACAGTATCATACTTCTTAAGAAAAGTTCCTGGATCTTTTGCAGTTGGTTAAAAAATAATGACAGAAATACAAAAGAGAAATCCAAATTTTAATCCAAAATCCATGCTTGATTATGGAAGTGGAATAGGAACATGGGCATGGAGTTTCAAGAAATTGTATCCTGATGTTAAAAACGTAGTTTGTGTAGAACCAAATGTATATATGAGAAAACTAGGAAAATTTGTTACTTAAGATTATATAAAGGATGTTAAATTTTATGAAAGTTTGTCACATACATTGGAACTAAGTTATGATTATTTTGATTTTATAAGCATCGCATATGTTTTAGAGGAAATTAATCATCCTGAGGCAAGATTATTAGCATTACAATCCTTATGGGCTAAATTATCAGATGATGGAGTCATGGTTCTAGTATGTCCAGGATCACCAACAGGATTCCGTTTTGTAAATGACTTCAGAGAATGGATATTGAAATAAAAAGGTGTTATTGTAGCTCCCTGTTAGCATTAGTAAACATGTCCTATGGCTAAAGAAGGATTTTAATGGTGTCATTTTAAATAGATGTTTACTGCTTGGCCAAAGGATGGTAATTTTAATTGTATAACTAAGAGTATTCCCAAAGTACATCTATGAAAATACTGCAGTGACAGAGAAATTCTCATATTTAGCTGTATCCAAGAAGGCTTTGGTTTAGGAGGGATAAGACTGGCCAAGAATTACGTTTGATCCATTAAAAAGAGGAAAGCATCTTATTCTTGATATGTGTACAGATTAAGGAACATTGGAGAGGTATCAATACATATATATATAAATAAAATTAGACGTATAGTTGCCAAATCTCATGGCAAAGAAGGTGGGTATTATGAAGCCAAGCACTTAAACGGAGGAGATCTTTGGAGATTCCCAAAATTGCCTCCATCAAAGGTGGGAAAAAAGAGAAGAAAGTAACCAGTTAAAATTCTTTGAAGCATTTGTATGTAGATCTGTATAATAATATTATTAAACTGTTTATTTCTTTATAATGAATACAAAATCACATCATAGCTCTTAAGGATTCTATTGAACCCAACACCATTGCTAATATGGCTACTATCAAAACAAACGTATAGGTTGCTTTAGGTTAAGGCTCAGATGTCTTCTTGAAATGAATCATGTGGGCCAATACAGGGAAACAGAACTTATAAATAAATCTATCATACTTATAATAGAGATCCAAAAATACTTCCCATGAAATTCAAAAAGTGAGACAAATGTGGGACATAGTAAGCTATTAAATATATGCACATCATAGCTAGAGTTCTTATCACAATTTGTATTTTGGTATCTGCAAACATTGAATCTTCAGTATTATTTTGAATTTAATTATTTTCAAATTCATTAATTTAAGGTTATAGTGGAACTTCCTAATATGATTACTTCTCTAAAATCATTCTTTCAATTATTTACACAGCTGGGAACAATTACAAAGGATATGTTAATAATAGACTGATAGAATAAAACACAACTGAAATGAATTATAGATAAGGATTCTTTATTTATAATGGTAATTACTTCTAAATTAAAAATTAGTATGGGTTTGATGTCTGATTAATATGTTGGAACAGCAATCAAAGCTATGAAAATGGAGATTCCAAATGCTGTAATCATACTGTTAATTGCAACCATTTTGAAATCTAGTTTGTTGACCATGCTGTCACGGATTGGTAGTATGGTTAATATGCCTTCGCAACAGAGAATGGCAACTCCAACGTAATGAAAAGAGCCTTTTCTAATAAAAACTAGCTCACTTACTTCTAATATTGATGGCATTCTCAAAACTGTACAATCCTTTTGAGAACCTTATGGAGCAATCATAGAAAACTACTATGAAACCCATAATGGCAGCATAGAATCCGTATTTACTTGTTAAATGAAAGAAGTGGATGTTCTTTATATAGGATAAAGGAAAGATAATGAGCAATGTCATACATAATGACTGCCATTTCTCAAATTCAATTCCAATCGATAGCAGAGATTGTGTTACAGATTCAGCCAAAAATATTAAATAGGCTATGCATATGCCAACCAATTGTAATACAATTGCTATGTCCAAATAGAATGCCCACTTTAGACCCAATGTGATACGGATAACATCAGCATATAAAATTTTATCCACTGCCAAATGATCAGCAACTCCAATCAATAAAATACTTGATCTAAAATTATTAAGATATATTTCACTAAACACAACTAAAGGCAACTGGCAAAAATAAAAATATTGACCAAAACCATCCCACAGAATAAGTTACAAAAGGTAATACAATAGCTCCTGCATATGTTGTTTTAAAATCATATACCAATTCCTAAATTAGATTTCACAAAGTTAAAATAAGCTTATATTGGAGTTGATTTATGTCTATCAGACTTTTTTGAATTAGCACTCAGTTCTTCAAATTCTCTAATCTCCATTATTCGTTTTTATTTTATTAAAATAATATTACTTTATTTAATTTGTAAAATAAAAAGTTTTAATATAGTTGCATAAACATAAATATATTACATCTATTTCAACTATTCTATAAAGTAACTGATGTCAAATTAACTTATTACGAATTATTTTGCCTTAAGCAAGAGATAAGAAAAACAATCATCTGTTTAATTAAACTAATTGATTTTGCACAAGACTAAATAAGACGCTGCTGATGTTCTTAAGATTGAACCTCAAAGTTAAGTGTTCAACATGCTTACTTATCCTATGGATTACCATTAGCTAAAGTTCATGTGTGCTTTATTGCTAATTTACAATATAGTTCTTGCAAATTTGAAATATTTGATAGCAGAATAAGATAATGTTAGCAATTCTAATTACGACCTATAGCAATTACTATTATTAAACTACGGATAGTGTCTAAATTATAATTGTATCAATAAGTAAGTAAGAACAAAAATAAGAAATTTTGTATTTGGTTTGTCCATTTCAATTCTCATCAATCACTTATATACATTTGATAAATCAATATTTTAATCATTCTTGATGTTAATCCATAGGTCTTCTTTATAATTAAAAGTATAAATTATAGAATAATATATTAAATTAATTTTCAGAATCGTTTGCTATTTTGAAATGGTGTGATAATGTAAGTAAATTGTTGATATGAAGATATGGATGATTCCGGTTCGATCATATCTTGTTCAATATTATCATAATCTTTTTCTCTTGGTTTTATTTTCTTTATGAATTTCATCTTCTACAAGCATTCATAATTAATAATGTTTGGAATGTTAGATTTTATTAAGATCTTTTCGTATCTTCCAGAACTAGTGTTAATCCAATAATAAATTTAGTCATTCAACTAAAATATTGATTCTGCATAATTAGCAATATCATAAATAAGATTATTGCTCAATCGTTGTCTCAATTCATTAATGGTTGTTAAATCTTTTGCTAGTAGTTCTTAATGCAGCAAAGGATTCTGACAAACAAGTTGCATTTTTTCAATATGAAATGAAATTTTGGAGGCCTCATTTTTTGATTGATCTTTAATTAAATTAATTAACTCTTTGATAATTTTGGCTTTAATATGTTTAATTTATACATTTTTAATCTGAAGGAATTCCTTTAAATTGAAATTCACTTAAATTTAGATTCAGACTATTTCTTAAGTATTATTGCATTTCCACTTTTGAATATTTCATTTTAAACTATATCACTTGTAAGTAATCTTTATATTTTAATCTTTCGGACAAGGGGAGCATATCACTCAATAAAGCATATTTAAGTTTTTGAAGAGCAATTTCATAGTTATGATTTCTCAATAGTTTTTATATTTCAGGCATATGATCTGCAAAGTCTGTTGTATCTAAAGTGGACATATTTTATTTTTCTATCTGCATCCTTGTAATTTCTTTATTGGCCAATCTTTAAAATATAGGGGCAGATTCACTTGCGATATCCTTTATCGAGCTTTCACTAGCAATTCTTAAGGAGTTGTCGTCCAGATCGAAATTATCATCATCATTTTCAATTAGTTTTTAAGCAATGTTCAGATGTTTCTTATTCATGTTTTTTTCAATTTAATTTTTCATTTGATATACATTTTTTTCTGTCTATGACACTGAAACGGTTTCATGCAATACATTTCTAATGATCTATCTTTTTTCTAATTTCCTCATGTTCTTTAACATAGTTAGACTTTGTATTGCCAAATGTCTTGGTAATCTATTGCATCTACTTACTTAAAATAGGTCTATGTTAATCTTTTATAGATATTCTAAATACCTGACTGAGCAATTCTAAAATATCAATATTACCAACACTAGCAGCGACATGACCCAAAGACCATTCGCTTATACCAGATTTTTTCTCGAAATCAAATAATTACTGATGTGATCTTAAATGATATAATCTCTTATTGTATTCAATTGCATATTAAATCGCACTAATTTAACCTTTCCTGACAGCCAAATCCAAAGGAGTCCAACCTTCATTGTTTTCACTATTTGGATCAGCATCTAATATTAAGAGGATATTGGCCATTTCTTTGGCATCTGGACTCTTTGAATAATTCATAAACAATTGGTGTAGAGGTGTATTGCCATCAATGTTTCTAAAATTAATTAAATTCAAATCAGTATGTTATGTTATCGAATTGTCTTCCTCATTAAGATTTAAGATCATTTTGAAAAAGGCTAAATCTACTCTTTAACAAATAGCATGAATTGTTTAAGGAGCAAATTTTCCACCCAGACTTCTTAATACTTTGACTGATCTTTATTAAAGTGTATTATTACCTCGTTTTACCTTCAATGTAACAAGCACTCAAAGGAGTATTTTGATCAAAATCTAAGCTATTAATATGCTCTGGTATAATTTAAGTTAAACTATGAAGAATACCAATCTCATTAGATGATCCTGCCTAAAAAAATAGATTTCTGTATCTAAAATATAGTATTTATTATACTTGTAATCGGTTTGAGAGAAGTTAGGCTCGGAAAGACTCAACAATTTAACAAAGCTTTCGAAATTAAGGCTTGTAGTTTATAAAATAGATATCAACTTATCCTTTATATGCTGGTACTTCTCAAAATTAATCTTCATCGGCAATGCTGGTTTGCAATACTTAAACCAATCGAATTCAAAATATTGCATCCCATAAAGTACTTTATGAAATCCCTTGGGTATTAAGGTAAAACAATTCATCTAGATGCATAAATGTTCCAAGTTAGGAAAATACAGTTACTCTATATAATTATTTGATAAATTTAGATATTTAAGTTCTGGAGGATTGACATTGAAGACCTTGATTAAATTGTCTTGCATGTCTAAATATTCTAAGAATTTTAAGGTTTGCAAGAATATTGGCAAGACATTAATTTAATTGCTGCTCAAAATCAACTTTTGCAAATTAGTCATGCGCCTATAAATATTAAGAAATTAATAAAAATTACATTATTTAAGGAGGAACAGTTGTTAATTGGTTTTAGGATAAGTTCAATAACTTTATGTTGACCAAATTTTATTGCAATTTAGGGATTTATCTGAGTTGTTAACAGGGCAATTCTAATTTCTCTTCAGTGTAGAGTGAATCCTAAATCTATAATATTTTTAGTAAGTACTGTTTCATATGGTTATTTTTATTTGTGCTGATTATTTTTACCATTAACATTTAAGTTAGTTTCTCCATTTTAATCCTTTGCTTCTTAAAAACTAAAAAATGGTTTTTCTTTTAATTGATGAATACTAAGATTTCCATCATGTTCATCTTGAATGACATAGGAATCAAAAGAGGAATAACTTAGTACTGATGGTTTCTGTTCACATTATCTACGATCCATTATATTAATTATTCACTAAAAAAATTAAATATCAAAATATCAATCACTATTATCGTTAAATTCCTTATCACTAACATAAGCCTAGTTATTCATAATTTGGAATTCATTAAAATTTTCTTAATTGTTTTCTTAATCGGACTGTTAATTTTAAACTTCTACATTTTATTCAACATATTGAAAATTTTAGACTTAAATCTATTAAATTTCTTTTTATTTCTCTTTATCCTTTTTGATCTTTAAGTTCTATTTTTTATCTTGGATTGGACGATTTGAAATGAAATTTAGTGGGTCCCTAGCTCCTGCCAAATATTGCTCTATAAATTTAACATATTATTCTGGATCTTCAACCCTATTAGAATTAATTAAATCCAATAGCAAAACATTCTCAACATAAAATTGAAACCATTAATTTGTTTGATGACAATGAAAGATATCTCTAAAATCTTGAATAGTGTATTAAGCTGATTTGGAAGTCTACTTTTTATTAATAAAATTGATCAATTCTTTCTGCATAGGATTCATTAAAAAATACTCTTTGTTCTCTTTTTTTTAATCTTCCATAAACTTTCTAAAGTTATTTCCAAATGTCTTTGGAATGTTCTTAGTGTTAAACTCTTAATTCATCAAAGTCTAATATCTGTCTACTTAAACTTAAGTGTTTAATTTTGGATTTTGAGTTCGAAAGTGATTTTATTATGAATATTCCTCTTTTATATACTCACAACTTTCCTCATAATCCAGACCATCCTTATTTTATTCAATATTTTATTCATCCAATTCAATATTGAAATTAAACATTTAAAAATTAAAAAATAAAAGAAATAAATTACACTTTGAAATCGCACTTAAATTAATTAAAGGAATCCAATAAGAATTTTTATTCATTAGTTCAAGTATTTTAAGGAATATGTAAAATGGTTATAAATGTTTTGCAAATAATTATAAAAGAATTGATATTGATTCAAAATTGGGCTATAGAACTTTTGGACAACACTCTTTCAATAATTTAACTTAGTGAAGTTTGTTTAGTTGACATAGTCAGATTAGTACATTGATTTATCAAGCAAATTTAATGTTTTCAACATAAATTTTAAATAACTCAAAATAGAACATTAATAGATTAACAAGAGAAGAAGATAGACTAATTCTTCTCCTTTATAAGAATCTAAATTTACGAGTAGATTGATTTTAAAATCAAAATATAAATGAAAAATCATTAAATTCGCTTAAAAAGGCTGTGAAAGAGAAATCAGAAAGGTAGTTGAGGACCAATTTAAAAAAATGAATTCGGCTATATAAATATATATCAAAATATCATTATCTAAGTATATTGAGCATCATCTAATATGTTTTTGCACTAATGGGCTTTGATTAATAATTTGGAGGAGCATTTTTTGGAAGAATGGTTTTGCAAAACTTTCTAAATTTCATTTCTGGAGTAGCCTTAGGTTGCTAATAAAATAAATCAATTAGATTAAAGTCGCTTTATTAAATCAATTATTATTTTTAAATTTCTAGATCAGGTTACGAAAGATCTGCTTTCACAGGAGTTTTGTAAATGAATTATTTTGATCTCACATTAGTAAATGAATTCTATGGTTTTGGGGAGTTATCAATTCTTCTATATTTCTTAGGAGTGCTATAAAATGCTCTTTCCCTATCTTTTAAAATTTAAGAGGGATGAAACGGTTTAATGACATAATTGAATTCCACAATGGATATTTTATTATCTTCATCCCTGTCAGAAGCATGAAAGAATGCACTGATGTCCTACTTATCATATTGAATGTAATTGCTTTTAAAATAATTCTCTAAACTATGAGTAATAAATAAAATCTATAAATACTGTTGGGCAGTAAAATATCCAAGTTAGTAATGATCTATCATTTAGAATGCTTATTAGACTGATTCTTTACAGAAATCTTTGATAATTTTGAGATGTTTAAAATTAGACAATTCCTAATGGAGTATTTTGAACAAACCCCATTCAACTTCATTTGGTAAGGTTTTATTTGCTAATACAAAGTATGAATCTCTAGCAGCCGCTGTTTCTTTAAGAATAAGATCAGTTTTTGGTAGTATCTGTTTAGCAAAGCTTTATGATAAGGAAAAATTTACTCTGTATAGGTTACTCTTCCATCTCTATTGAAGTCCAAATATTATAGTAAATAGGATGCTTCTAAACTTGTTAGACTGCAGTTATTATCAAGCATAAAGTCAATGATATCTTGATAAGAGATTTCTCCACATCTACTTTTGTCCATTCTTTTGAATGCTCTAACTTGATAAGACAATTTACCAGCATAAGGTTCAAATTGGGATAATTAGGAAAGTAATTTTCTGACGGTTTCTGTTCTTCTTTCACATTCACAGATTTCAATAATAAGTTCTGTTAACATTTATTAATAAAATAATATTACTTAATATTAATATTTTATTATTAAATCAACAGTCAGCTGGTCTCTTATAATCTGGAGCTTAACTTGGACATCTCTCATTCATATGTTCATATGGATCTATTGTATTGTATCCTTCCAACTCCATTCTATGAGTTCCCATGATTTAACAATAGGGCAAATCGGGATCATTATCTTTGCATTTTTTAGGAACTACGTAATCTTTATCAAAGAAGTTCATTTAATAAACATCTTTTGGGGTAAATCTGTAAAGATATAATGAATAATTACTCTGTTGCTTCAATATGATATTCTCCAAATAAGCCAGCTGCCTTATACAATCCAATAACAAATGAAGAACATACTTAACTTGGTCCATCACTGTAAATCCATTCATCTTTCTCAACCATAGCATATAATTCGGCCTTAATTTAGAAATAAGAGTATTACAATTTCAATGCCTCTCTTTGCTGCTTCGATTGTGATTTCTGGGATTGTCAAACCTTCAGTTCCTAATCTCTTATTTAATGCTTCACCAACCATTTTAGTTGAAATACTAGGAGCAAACTTCTCAATGAATGAAAATATGTAAGTAGCTAATTCAGCACTCAACAAAGTGGGATAATTATCTTTGGGTGTATCAATCCATCCAAATATAAAATTGTGATATCCATATGGTTATCCTTCCATAAAATTCCAAAATTTAAGAGCCCCTTCTTAATCCCATTGTGCTCTCTTCTCTGGACTTAATGGCAATATGGCAACATTGAATCCTGCATTCTTAGCATAAACTTTCCAATCTTCCCATCTGTTCTTTTGAATATTTTTCTTAGGCCAATACCAGGCATCTTATGATTCTACAACCCATTTAACACCATCTATTTCAAAGATAACAGCACTGTGTCCTGATCTGCTTCCTGTTCCCCATTCGATAATTTAATCTAATCCATCAAATCTAGTAATAGCCAAAAAGTCTCCTTAATGAATTTCTGCTTCAGACCATTCAACATCAACATTGGGTCTCTCCTTCCATCTATATCCTGTTGCTCTCTCAATAAATTCTATATTTGATCTAATCATCCAATTTGGTGGATAACTACCGAATACTGAACCCAAATAAGGATTTGCTGAAAATCCTCCAAAAAATAATTCAATTGTAGTTAACAAATCTCCGATCCAATAATCAAAATGATCACATGTTCTGAAGATGTAAGCTCCCGCCAATTTAAAAGCCTCCTTTTGCTTTTCATTTCTAAAATGGAAGTACACCTTATGGTCTTATGCTATATAAAATTTTTTATAATATATTACCTTTCTTAATTTTGACAATATTGTAATTCAAAGTTGTTCCAATCATATAAAATTCTGAGCATTATTTTCCGTTTTTGTATTCTCCTGGATGAAAGGTCACTTAAACTTGGTTTTAAGCATTATTATATTCGTAACTAACTTTCATTTAATCGTAGCAGTCATCATCATAATCTTTAAGTATTATATTCTGTAGCTTATCGTTTAGCCTTCCAACTTTTTGGAATGACATACCGAAAAATTCATGGCCCTCACTCTTTTTACAAGTCAAAAGTTGTGTTTGGTCTTGATTAATCAAAGCTTACTTAAACTCAACAAGTTGTTCATCATTTATTCATATTTTTCCTTAGGGTCCTCATCCTCATAATAATGAATATTGTATATTGTTTCATTATGTCCTTCCTCCAAAACTTATGTGCCTTGCAATCTATCAATCACTGTTCTTTATTGGCACAAGCTTACACCAAGAATCAAACCAATAATAAAGATTTTATTCATATTAATATTACGTCATTGACTTCACTGTTAATCTCTACGGGTTTAATTATTCCCCATAACTCAACAATAATTATATATTATAAAATAAATTATGGCTTAATAAGACATTTAAAGAAAAGCCAAAGCATACCTAGATAAACATTAAATTGAGGAAATATTGGGAGATCTAGTAACCACTCTATCCTATCATCAAATGAAAAATCCGATTATATATATTGTACTACATTAAAATAATTATATCATAGATTAAATATTTGTGCACCGTTCACTGTACACCCAAAGAATTACAAGAGGCAGGAATACAAATTGACAACAGAGAAAAAGTAGAATAACCAATCCTATGCTTGCCTTTTCCGAATTTGTCCCAACATCAAGGCTCAATCAAAAAATTGACAAAAGAGTAATTTTATGCTTGCAAAAATAAAATCACTGATCAAGGAAATAATTTTAGATCGATCTGCAAACTTATTCAAGATAATCCCAAATCTAAACCTGGCCTTTTTGCTGTTGATCCGAGTTCTTATCTGATCTATAGCGATCTATTTGATCCCATCGTTAAAGAAAAAGGGTACTTAGGTACTCCAATTAAAGATATGTCTTACACACTTACATCCTCTATTCTAGAAGATGTTAAACCATTTTTAGAAGAATCTATTTTTGTTCTCAGAAGAAATGTCCCAAAATAGAGATTTGGTTCCACCCTATAAAACAGACAGGCTTTGACCAAAGAGTTATTTTAAGTTCTATCAAAATAATCAATTATTAACTACTCCTTACATAATGATTTATCAGCTATGGCACAAGAAGATGTTAGAAAATTGTAAATCAACGATAAATTGTTTAAGAAAAAAGATCCAAATCAAGCAATCATTAATCAAATATTTAAAGGATTGCGTCATCCAGATTGGCCCGTTGATAGAATGGTACTTTAATCAAGTGATAAATAAAATATTGTTTGGATCAACAGAGAAGATCATCTTAAATTCAAATTTCTCAATTTAGAAAAAACATCTATTATTGATGCTTTGGATAATTGTTGCAAAATGAATTAATACTTAGATTCTAAAGAATTAGTCAGTTTTGATGATAAATTTGGATATCACACTGTCAAACCATAATTTAGTGGTCTAGGTCTCACATTTACTTTAAAATTCAAGTTAGATCAACAATCAATTAATAAAATTAAGTCAAATAATAACAATTTAAGTTCTAAAATATAAAATAAAGTGTTTAATGTTTAAACAAAAGAGAAAGATAAGTACTTTACAATTAAATCAGAAAGATGCACAGGATTAACAATGAAACAATATGTGGAATAACTATGTTAAATTCTCTCAATACTATTTGAAGGAGTAATCAAGAAGCCAGAAACCTATACAATTGAGAAATATTTTAAGAATGAATAACAAATATAATAGTAGTAATAGTAATAATAATAGCAATAATAATAATAATTATTATAATAATAATAGTAATAACAACACTAATAACAATAATAACAATAATAGTAATAATAATCACCCCCCCCCCCCTCATCATCATCATAATAATAATAATAATAAACTTAATCAATTTCAAAGCTATTAGATGAAAATAATACTATGTCTCCATCTAAAGCAGCTTAATCACCCTCGCATGTTGCAATTGATATTATTTAAAATCAACCTGAAGAATAGGAATATGCAACTTTGCACAAAAAAAGATTAGAAACCTTTTTGAAAAAGCTAAAAGAAACCAATAAACCTAGGCTCAACAAAATATGTGAATTGAAAGAACTAGTAGGTTTGCTCAAAGATGATACTTTATATTTCTAAAATTAGAATAAGAAATTTATTATTGTTAGAAGAAATCTAAAAATTAGAAGAAAAAATGTCGAAGAGATTATTGGATTAAAGAATTAATAAGTATCAGACTAAATTTTGAAGGAGTGCAATTTAAATGGTAATTGTGAAAAGGGAATATTTCAGTATAAGTATAAGGGTTATGAATATTATGTGGCAATTGAACTTGATGATGATTTGACATTTATTTTCCCAATTATTAAGATTTCTATCTCCTAATAACTGCATAAAATACAAAGAATAGTCGATTAATTCTTGCCTAAAGATTTATCATATGCTTGGGATAATTAATATGGATATTTAACTAATAACAATATTTATTTAGGTAGCGGAATTAGCATAACTTGTGATTTTCCATAATTTATTCAACATGAAATTCCAGGAATCCTTAAAGAATTGATTTTAGATGATTCTATATAAAACTCGAATAATTAATTCTTAACTCTTACTTCTTTAGATGAATACAATCTTTAAATTTACAGAAATGCTGTAAATGAGATACTGCTCTAGTAAAAGTTGTCAGAGAAGAAAATAAGAAAAGCTTTAGATAATTAAATATGTGAAAGTGATTGTTATTAAAATGATCAACTTTGGGCACCGTCGAAGAAATGTTTCGAAGACTTCGAAGAATTATATACACAGTATATTTGGAATATAGGTAAAAATTGGTTTATAACAAAGCAATAGCATATTTTAATGGAAAACAAGTTACTCCTTTCAAAAATTATGATCAAATCAAATCCGATTCCTATAAGCTTAACATCCCTTAAAATCCTGGCGTTGTAAATATCAAATGTACATTTTACAGAAATTTTGAATCACTAAAATACCAACATGAAATGTCGGTTTAAGAAAAAATAAAAATGAAGGTAAGAGTATATCCTATTAATTTAAAGGCTAAATACAATGATTTCATAAAGAATAATGAGTGGAAATTTGGAAAAGCTCATCATTTGGAAATTAGTTTTGATAGCAAACCGGAAGAGTTCATCTAGAACTTCTGCCAATTTTGGAATCAATTAATTGAATAAGGCAAAGAATTTTAGAAAAATTGCAACATGGGATTCTATGGACCAAATTTAAATCAAAGTTTATTAGAAGGATTCCAATTAGAAATAAAAACAAATAAACCAATAAATCCAGATTTGATTAAGAGTTATAATTATAAACCTTGCTATCATAAAAATGGAATTATGAACTAAGAAGATGCAATTACAGCAATTATGAGTAATAGACCTTGCGTTCTAGAATTCGAATTAAATTTGATTTAAGAATTATTGTGAATATTATTTCAAACATTTAAAACAAAACAATAATTTATATTTCTTTCATTCTTGAAATTACTGAAGTGCTTCATGTTCAATTTCTGGGATATTCAATTAAAGCTGAGATTTGTTTATTTGTAATTATTTTAGTTATTTTGATAAATTCTTTAATTCATCTTCCTTAAGGTTTTAAGCCCACACAATATAATCTTAAACATAAATTAAGTTTAAATAATTTCTAGGTTTAGCTTTGGAAAAAAGCCCTTCTACTGCAACTAATATTTTGATTATATTTATTTTATTTTCAAGAATCTCAACTAGGAGGTTCTTAGTCTTAACACAAATTTCAAAACTTCGAATCATTGGAAATGTTAAAGCCCTTTAATAATTATTAATCAAAATATTTTCTAAATTATTATCTATATAAAATGCCTAAAATTAAGAACTTAGTTAATTTATGGTTATGGCAGATTCCTAATTTAAATCACCTTAAAACAAATTATTCTCATATAAATATGCAAATAAGATATCGATAATTCCAAATAAGCATATTTCTTTATTTTCGATTAAGTACTCTCGTTTCCCTAGTTTACTAATTTTATTAATTTCGTCAATAGTAAATTATTTTTGGAATTAGAATTCATAGACTAATACTTCATCTACTTATTCATTTTCAAATAAATCAAATAAATAGGCATCTTTGTCAAATTATTATTAGACATATTAAAGGGCCATCGATTTTCTATCTTACATAGCAATCTATTTAGGATCTAGAATGGCAATTTCATATAATTCTTCCTCTAAATCATCAAATACATCTTTATATTGATTATTAAATCCATAACAAAAAGGGTTCACATATCCTTGTAATTGATCTTCAGGATTCTAATCAATATTTTAGCCTTCCTCTTTATCATTTGTACTTTCTATGACCTAAATTAGTTTGCCTTAAAATTATTTATTTTTTTTTGATTTCTTATTCAAAAGCAGTCCAATCATATCAAGTTCAGTAAAATGTTCTCCAGCATTCAATTTTTCTAGATAAACCTTTAGATAATATGTTTCTGGGTCATAAATTGCTTTTGCTGGTTATTCAGCATCTTTAAGAAATTCATTAAATGTTAATTAGAGTAAGTATGGTTTCAGATAAAAACTAAATTACTTCCCAATCATACTGAATTCTGATTTAGTTGGCTTAACATAAGGTAGCCTGAGTTTAATTATGATGTGCTTTTCGTCTTGTTCAATAAAAAATTCAGGAGTAATGAGAGGCATTAATTAATTTTTTTAATTATAGTTGATATAATTATAAATTAACTAATATATAAATGATGAAATACTATTTCTGTGCAATTTTTAATATTTCACGCATAATTTTCCATCCATCCATTTCCCTGATCTTTCCTTAGTTTATTAGTTTATAGTTTTGTGTTTCTCTAAGATTTTTATAATTAGATAAATTAGCTCGAGAGTATTCTTGATTATCCTGATTTTGAGTTTTTAATACTTCTAAGGACATAGTCTAAACATTAGAATATTAATATTTTACTATCCTCAATAAATTAAGAGTTAAAAAAATAATTAGTAAATTTTAAAATTCTAAGTGCAAAAAATTTATAAAGTTTAGAAATATAAAGAATCTTGATGATGACAACAAAAAGTATGCTCTAGTCTAAAAAAAAAGAACGTCGACCTAATTTTGTATTAAGTAATTCCAATAAGCATTTGAGAGTAATATATTGATACGTAAGGATGTAAATTTACAATAAATCAGTGATATTTAAAAAATAATCAATCACTAATACTGAAATCAATAAAGATAATAATTAACTATAGTAATTTTTTTTCAATTTTTAGAGAGTCTAAATTTAGAAGTCAAAAGTTTACAACTTGATGATATAAATGTAAACATCATCAAAATTTGATTGTTTATAATACCAAGATTTAATATTAGAAATATATATAAAAACGGATGATTGATCGACTGATTATATGTTTGGCAATAATATTAATTTTTGGAAATAATTATGCATTTGACATTCCTCAGGCGTTAGAGATTCCAATAGAAAAAGAGTTTCAACTAACCTAAAAATAATTCAATTTATTATAAAGCATATTTTTATAACCTAACATAGGATTATTTATTGGAGGAGGTATCATGTTAGATAGGAGGGGAGGGAGATGGGGAGTATGAATTCTAAAATAAATTGGTATTTACATTTTCATTAATGCTTGGACTTTCATAATTATTTATAGCATTTGGTGGATGCTATTATAAATTTTACATGATGTAAGTAGGGAGGGCAATATTTGGAATAGCAAATGATTAATTACACATAGAAGTGTTTAAAGTGATAGCTAGAAGGACTCTGTATTATTTAGGAACAGCAGTGGGGTTGATTTTAACAGTTCCAGAATTGGCAGAAGCTTTTGAATTCATTTTTATCAACATACCTATTTGAAGAAACTCATTATTAGGAGTTGCCTTTGCTTTTTGGATTATCATTATGCATTTTGGTATCTAGAATAACTTATCTAATAGTCATTTTTATCTGAATTGCAAATGATATATTTTAGACACTAAAATATGATGTATGCTTAACAGAAGAACCAGACGAAGAAGTTTCATTATCTAAATGTAATTGAGCGAACTAAGTTAGTTAAGCTTAGTAAATTATTTGTAAAGATGAGTCTGATCACTACATTGATATTTGCAGCCTATGTTCTATTTTTAAATAATGCTATTAAATTTTATCACGAGAGAATCGGATTTAGTACTAGGCATGCTGGCTGAATAGTCACAGTTGGATATATTGTGGCTGGTAATTGAATCTCTAAATTATTCAAAGATCTCTCATTTTCTATAATTGGAAAAACAAATGACACTTTTTCTCACAAACGGCAGGTTCTCATTTTCATTTCGACTTTAATGTTCTTTTTATCACATTTACAACTCTATTGTATGCCTCATTATACACATCCCAATTATACATCAGTTTTTTCGCGTAATTTATACTATCTATCTATGGGAAGTTTGATAACTTTTTGATTGTGTTATGCTTGTTATTCAAGTATTCTGATGCCTGTATTATAATCAACTGTTCCTGAAATTATGTTAGGTATCTTATTTGTGATATTAAGAGCTACTGCATAGGGAATATTGGGAATTATTGAAAATATATGAATGGCCACAGTTCCTATGCTATCAGGATTGTTATACTTCTTAAAGGGGGCAAAAGGTAGCAAGAGAAATGTCGATATTATTTATTTAGTATTACAGGAATTGGAGTTTGCTTATCAATAGGAGCATTACCAAATTAAGGAAAAAACGTAAAGAAATAAAAAGATGTAATTAAACAGTTGCATAAACAACCTGAAGAACATAACCATTTAATTTGAATATACAATAATACATTTATTTCTAATATATTTCTAAAATGGAGCTCTGAATTGCGATCCTTCTTATAATTTTGGTCCTTTTTGTAAATTTATTATGGCAATAGATTTGAAATAATATAATTTTGTGAAATAGATAGATGATAATTAAAAAAATGATATCTTTTAATACAAATACTTAGTTCATAGCATTCCTGCAACCTAGAAATTTATGAGTTCAATTTGTTGTTTTAATTTCGAAATGTCTTCTTAAAAGAACCTTATATTTATTGAGATGATTTGATACTTAGTTTATTAGGAAAAATATTATTCAATTGATTTAATATTAAATTCTTGAGTGGATTTGATTTATTGTAAATTAGATTTGAAAATCAATGAATTTTGAATGACTTATTATTTGATTTCCTGCTATTCCTTTTTTAATAAGGATAATTTTAGTTTAAGCTAGTAGAAAATGATAATAATCGTTTTACTTATTTAAGAGTAGTCTTGAATTTGATTTCTCTGGGAGTTGGTTTGTTGAGATTCTTTTGCTTAGGAGGAGCCAAGGATTGGCCATGTACAAAAAAAGAAACGGGAGTTTAAAGTGAAGGCTGACAATATTGATGTCTTCTTAGAATCGCGGCTGATTCATTTCTAATAATAAACATTTGTCTATGGGAGTAGTTTTTATTTGTTTGAGTTTTCATTAATAATTAAATAATATGCATGTCTCATTAAAAGACATAATGCCACCTCAGCATTCTTAACATAATCCACTGTCAAAGATTAAGTTCAAGATTAGCAAGAAGGTGGAATCTCTTTGTCAATGCAATCAAAAAAGTTGTTTAATCTGTGCTCGAAAAAGATCATCCTCAATGTTGAGTATCAAAAATTCGCTGGTGGTTGATGAAAGTTCGCCTGTTTCTAAAAGAACAATTGATCAGAAAGCTATTTTAGTGTAATAAGCTGTCGTCTCTAAATAAATATCAAGACAACAATCAAATCATGTCATTCATCACAGTTATTATAGTGGCAAATAAATCAATAATACTACTTCAACCACAATGGTTAATAATTCTCGGACCAGAAAGACCTCTCTTGAATCCTCCCCTCCAAAGGAAAATGGTAAACCTATTTGAATATATCCTAGTAATCGGAAGACATTCTTTCAAATTTCTATATGTAATTGGCAAAGGTGGTTTTGGAAAGGTTTGGAGAGTCGAAATGAGATCCAACCGATAAGAATATGCTCTAAAGGAAATGCTAAAATCTAAGTATCCTATTTATTTCAATCCTTAATAGAATCATCTCCAAAAGGTCTGTTAATTCTGTGATGAATGAAAAGTATTTACTCGAACATCTCAAACATCCTTTTCTAGTCAACATGCATTATGCATATTAGGACAGAGAAAACTTATACTTGGTATTGGATCTATTAAGAGGAGGAGACCTAAGATATCATATTGGTAGAAACACCAGATTCTCTGAAGAATAAACAAGTAATCCATTAATTTATATCCAAAGAGTTTTTTGTCTGTTGTATTTTATTGGCTCTCTAGTATTTACATTAAAATGGTATCATCCACAGAGATGTAAAGCCTGAAAATCTTGTCTTCGATAAAGATGGATTCTTAAGATTAACTGATTTGGGAGTTGCTAGATTAAATAAAGATTCAACTGCTAGTGATACTTCAGGAACTCCAGGATATATGGCACCTGAGGTTATGTGCAGACTCGACCATTCATTTCCTGTCGATTATTATGCACTTGGAGTCATTGCCTATGAATTACTCCTTGGCAAAAGACCATATAATGGCAAGAATAGATAAGAAATTAGAGATTAAATCTTAGCCAAATAAGTCTAAATTAAGGATGAAAGATTCTCTCTTAAAGCATAAGACTTTATAAACAGAGTATTCGTTACTTTATCATTCTGTAGTTACTCATTAGAAAGCCTTAATAAAGATTAGGCAACAATGGAATTGAAGAGATCTTTGAACACTAATGGCTGAAAGGCTATCCTTGGGGCAAGTTGATCAACAGAGAAATCAAATCATAATATGTCCCTGGAGTATAACTTTTATCCTATATTAATAGAGTATAGATGGAAATTTCGATTTTCAAAGCTAGATCTCCGCTGATAGTGAACCATAGGAAGATGCAGCCTCTCTTATTAGAAGAAAAAGTGTTTAATGCTTATTTGAGGGATACAAATTTCAATGAAATTTATCTTTTATATTGCAATCAATTCTAATTCCCCTCTCTTTTAAATAGATCAAACATTGTTTAAGTCTAATTAATAATAAGTAAAGTCTGAGACTGAGAAACTTTTATTATTTATTTCATCTCATCTTTTCTTATAAATAGGATGATGATATAGAAGCAAATTATAAAATAGAAAACTGAAATTAACTAGATTTATTATATTTATGGTTTACAAAAATATTAATCTTAAATTAGATTTTGCATTTTTCTTATGTTTTAAACAAAATGTAAAATGGAATATTATAAAATTTTCTCTTTTGATTTGAATTATTTTTTAACAATGTATATAAATCAAATTTAATTCAAATAAAACAAAAGTTAAACTATTATAAGCTAGTAAGAATGAAATAGCCTAATGTTTGTAAAAGAATAATATCTAGGATAATTTTTTATCAATCCATCACTATAATAAGAATTTCTCAATATTGATATTATCTCATAAAATAGTAGTATTTTAAGACATGATATCAATTATGCTTTGGAGAAATTTTAAAACTAATTTAATAGTGATCTTTAATATATAAATAATAATATTTTCTATTAATAATTATTTATTATTAACCATGATGGTTCAAACATATTAATGTTCTCTATTAGGATTAAGGAATTAAGGTAATTCTAATAGATTTTTTAATTTTTCTACAAAATCAACACTTATTTTGCTTATTATTGTTATAAAATATTATATGAATAATTCAGTAATTTTATTCTTTCATATTTCAATAATGGTTAGTCATTTGGATTATGAAGAGTTTTAGAATAATACGAATTTTAGTTGAATGTGAATCATTAAAAAAAGGAAATAATGAAAGTATTTTTCCATTAAATATTTTAGATTCTTTGAATTGATCTTAATAATGTAATGAATTGAATGGAATATAAAAATTAATGTATTAGTATTTAAAAGTTTCTTTTTCTGAGGAATTCAATTTATATTCCATAAAGTGAATACGGAAGAAAGATGCTCTTTACAAACAGTATTTTATGTATGTTTCTTGGTAAAGCTGTCATTTTTCTGGAATCTCCTAATTTTTTCTACGTCATTTGATATAAATTTAGGTTCGAGTGTCATCCCTCATTTTTCATAAATATTTTTATTTAAGAATGGATACCTAAGAACCAATAAATCCTAATTATGATGTCGTTGTGTGCGGAACTGGTTTGATTGAGTGCATTCTAAGTGGATTACTAAGTATGGAAGGCAAGAGAGTGTTTCACATGGATCGTAACCCCTATTATGGAGGAGAGGGAGCATCACTAAATTTAACTAACCTTTGGAAATTGTTTAAGGCCGGATAACAGTTTCCATAACAATTAGGTATGTATCAATTATCAATTTGAAAAGGTTAGAATAGAGATTGGAATATCGATTTGATTCCCAAGTTTGTGATGGCAAATGGATAGCTTGTGAAGATTTTGCTTAAGACCAAAGTGGCTCGTTATTTGGAATGGAAGGCTATTGATGGCACATATGTATTCCAAATGAAGGAGGCCGGTTTGTTTAGCAAGGGAGGTGGCAAGATCGAGAAAGTAAATATCATAATAAGAAGATTAGGTTCCAGCAACAGCCTCAGAAGCCCTGAAATCTGACTTGATGGGTATGTTTGAAAAGAGAAGATGCTAGAAATTCTTGGCCTACGTGTCCAATTATGAAGCAAACAACCCCAAGACTCATGATGGTAAAATGTGTTTAATATCATAGGTTTGAATCTGAATCAAATGTCATGTGCTCAATTGCTTAAAAAATTCGAATTAGAGCCAAATACAATTGATTTCATTGGTCATGCTGTTGCTTTATACTCAAATGATCTATTCTTAGATAAGCCAGCAATTTAAACAATTGAAAAGATCAAATTGTATATGGATAGTATTGGAAGATATGGTGATAGTCCATTCATCTATCCAATTTACGGATTGGGAGGTATTCCAGAAGGATTCTCTAGAATGGCTGCTGTAAATGGTGGTACATTTATGTTGAATGCTGATTTGGATGAAGTGCTCTTTGATGGAGAAGGAAAAGTATAAAAAAATATTTAAATTAGGTATGTGGATTAAAATCAGAGAAAGTCAAGGAATTGATGGGAATAGAATAAATTAATTGCAAGATGATTATTGCTGATCCATCATATGCATTAAAAGCAAAATTATCAAATAAAGTTAAATCTATCGGAAAGATTGTCAGATGCATTTGCATTCTCAATCACCCAATTCCAAATACAAAGAATTTACCATCAGTTCAAGTTATCATTCCATAAAGATAAACAGGCAGAAAGAATGGTAGATATATTATTTTAATTAGATTAGATATTTATGTTATGATGGTTAGTGATGTTCATAATGTTTGCAAGAAAGGATTCTTCATTGCCATTTTGAGTACCAATGTGGAAACCAATAATCCAGAAAAGGAATTAGAACCCGCATTTGAAATCGTCGGACCAGTCTTGGAGAAATTCGTCACTGTAATTTTAATAATTAATATTATAAGGTTTCTGATGTTTATGTTCCAACTGATGATGGATCCAAGGATAACATCTACATTTCAAGTTCATTCGATCCATAATCCCATTTTGAAGGTGAAACTTCATAAGTGTTGAATGCTTACAGAAAAATAACATAAAAAGACTTAGATTTAACCAATTTACCAGTTGATTAGGATGATTAATGATATATAGATAAAAAGTAAAGCAGATATATATATTTATTTATTGATGGGTATCTAAATAATAAGAATATCAGCAAAAACTTAGCTTATTTATATATAAACATCAAATGCTACCATATTTACTTTCCTAATTATCAACTAATCTTCCGATTTTGAATTCAGATTCAATATCTTCATCTTTCTCAGTTGCCTTATAATTAAATTTCTATCTCTAAGTAAATATTCTTCTAATATCACTTAAACTATATGTGTGCACTTCAAAAGTGTAGAGCATAAATCCTACTACTCCAAAACAGATCAAATAAAATAAAACTGATAGAATTGAACTAACCATTTTAAGAATAATAATTACAATGAACTTTATGTAGAAACTACACATTGCTTTTAGAACACCATTGTAATATCTTAGAAATATTATAAAGGGATATTTAATTCGATAGTTGTATTTCCATTTTCAACACAATTATACTCTACAATTAAAGTTGAAGGCTCATCTGTTACAACTCCACCTTTAAATAAGTCTCCTCTTATTATTGGTTTTGTGATTGTATGATCTGCATCAACATATGGGGGAGATATATGCACTTCTGGGATTAATTTCAGTATTGCTTCCAAAACTTGAAATTCTTCTTATGTTGTTTCAGTGTCTGATTTCGACTAATCAACTGCATTAAAGAAATCTTTGGTTTCCTCTTTATTCAAAATTTTTTCTTCCTCGCTGCTCTTGGTTAGATTCATATAAACGTAAAAGATGGAGTAATTCATATTGGCTGGTACTGTGAAAACAAAATTATCAAAGTCCTTGTCCCAATAGGCTTTATTTACCAATTCTCCATCCTTAACAACTGTTTAATTATATGATTTAATAAGTGCATCCACATTTAATCCATGTCGTTTTATCAAAGGACTTCCGCATAATTTTTACCAATAAATCTTTGCAGACCCACATGATGGTATATTAAATAAGACTTCATATTGAATTAGTCTGCCGCCATACTATTTACATCTGTAATCAATTTTCAATGAATAGACATTGTTTTAATGATGCTCCATTTTAAGTGTGCTGTTTGCAAAATAATGATCATCAAATTCCAATTGCACCATATCTTGTGTTAATTGGATCTTATTGTCCATAGAGACATACAAATAGTCCATTTAGACTGAGTTATTCACCAATTGAAATGTGTCTATTCTATGATAGAATATTTATACCTGCTTCCAATACCCATTATTTGGCAGGTATACCAGCTTTAATTATATCATCTCTGCTTTTATCAATGTCAGTCGAAACGTGTAAATATTTGCAAGTCGATTCAAAACAATTGACCAAAGAGATCAGAAACACGTATATTAATAAATTCATGATGTTTTATTATTTTAAATCAAATTCTTCTCTAGGCAACTAATTTATTAATAGTAAAAGCATCATTTTCTTTAAGAATGGCTTCGACTTGCATGAAAGATTCATTTGACTCGCCTATTACATTATATATAATAATATTACTATCATCATATTGCAAACAGAAACAAACTCTTGATGGATTGATACCTAATTCTGGGACATGGCCAGAAGCTAATTAAGCCAAATACTCAGAAATAGCGCATAAAATATCTGCAGCATTTTCTTTAGTGACATCAATTGTTGCTTCACATCTAAAAATACATAGGCAAATATTTAATACTCTTTGACAACTGGAACTTATGGTTCAGAAGGAGGAGCTGGTCCTGGAGCTGGTTTAGGTGAAGGAGCAGGAGCAGCTTCAGGTTCTGGTTATGGTTCAGGCTCAGGTAATGGTTCTGGTTAAATTTCATCAGGAATAACTGGAGGACTAACAGGTGGTGGGACGAATTCTTATTCTTCCTCTCCCCAATATGGTTGTTCTTCCTCAGGGGATGCAAATGTTTGAGCAGGAGGAACAAACTCTTCCTCTTCTTCTGGCCAATATGGTTGTTCTTCTTCAGGGAAAACATTTTGGAACTGCATCTGGTGTAACAGGAACAAATTCTTATTCTTCTTCTCCCCAATATGGTTGTTCTTCTTCAGGAGATGCAAAAGTTTCAATTTATGGAGCTGCACGACTTTCAGGAATTACAGGTTGAGGATTATATCCAAAAGGGATATCATCTGGTGTCAGTACAACATCACGAGCAGCGTCACCAATACAACGATTGACTCTCCAATTATAGAATTACCCATTGAAAGCAGGGTATAAACCATCATTACCAATATAAAGTCTCCTCCAAGGAACAAGATAATGGCGGGCATCATAAAATTAATTTGCTCCAATCAATTGTTCTTCCATTAAATAAAGTGTAAAATGAGCCATTCTTTAAAGTCTGTTGTATCCAAAGTAAATATGATGCCATTAACCCAATGTATTTGTATATTAAACATTATCCCATAAATTAGGATTACCAGATCCTGAATATGTGTAAGTAGAAAATTAAAATACACCTCCAACCAATCCACTACCAAGAAAAACAGCCAAATCTCTGTCTCCTAATTTAATCTCGTCCAAATTAGCATCTGCATTTTCAGATAATCTGAAGACAGTGTGCCAAACATCTTGATCTTCTAAGGTTTCCCATTTCAACCAACCAGAAACAGCGTAACCAGCATCCCAAGTTGAAAACTCAAATATTTCATCAGATGTATCTTCAAATCCATAGAATTGATAATCTCCTAACTCATCAGTATATAATTCACAAAGTTCTACTTCAGGTGGACTATTGCATGAATCAACAAGTAAATTATATTATCTTTAACTGTTGAAGTGTAGATTTGATACTGAAGATGCAAAATGTCCATATACTTTTCCTTAGAACGATGGATGAGAATCTTATGGATCCACCAACCTTGAAGTCTAAACTAGTGTAAGTTGGATGGGAAGCAGGAGTTGATCTCAATGCTGGTAATTCTTCAAAGAACTTGACTGCACATCCAGTAACTCCTTAACCATGACTGATGAATACAAAGCTCCATTCACCTTCAAAGTCACTATTGGATACAGATGTAGATTATTGTGTAGATCCATCAACAGTAACACATTTAACACCTGTATTAGTTACAAATACTCCCAAAACTGTATTACCATTATCTTATAAACTTGCTAAATGGAATTCTACACCCTCAGCTAAAGTTGGATATTTTTACAATCTTTTAGAAGTATAAACCAAAACCATATTCGCCTGCAATTGTAAGTGTGCTACTAAATCCAGGGTCAACCTAAGTAGCTGTCAACTCTATAATATCTGTAGATTCAGATGATTGGCAAATAATTGGATCTTATTCTTCTTGTTCTTCTTCAAAATACGATCTCTTCATGTTCTTCTGAGAATGGAAAACGCAAAGGAGAAATACGTGGATGTGGTGTTTCTTCAAAACCGAATGATTCTTCTTCTTCTTCTGGGAACACTAAAGGATCATGAGTAACAGGTGGAAGAGGTGTTTCTTCAAAACCGAATGATTCTTCCTCTTCTTCTGGAAATACTACAGCATCAGGAGTAACAGGTGGAAGGGGGGTTTCTTCAAAACCGAATGATTCTTCTTATTCTTCTGGGAACACTAAAGGATCTGGAGAAACAGGTGGAAGAGGAGTTTCTTCAAAACCGAATGATTCTTCTTCTTCCTCTGGGAATACTAGAGGTTCAGGTGAGACAGGTGGGTTTGAAGATTCTTCTTGATCTTCCTCTGGTTAATCAGGTGTAGTTGGTACTGCTTTTGGTTCTTCTGGTTCTTCTCCTGGAATAGTCCATTCTTCTGTTCCCTCTTCTGCCACTGTTGGTTAATCAGGTGATTCTTCGGTATTTGGATTAACAGGTGGTTCATCAGTTGGACCTTCCTCATCTTAAGGTACTACAGGTTCATCTGGGGTTGGTTTATCATCTGGAGTAGGTTCATCATCTGGAGTAGGTTCATCATCTGGAGTTGGTTTATCATCAGGAGTTGTTGGAGGAACACCTTCTTCAACTGGCTCTTCAGTAAATTCTTCACTTGGAGCTTCTGAGGGGATTTCTGGAGCAGGCTCATCTGGACAAGTTGGTTGACATGCTTATTAGCATCCAGATTAAATAATCTTGAGATCCTCGATCTTACCTTTGACTTTAATGACTGTAACTGGTGATTATTGGCATTATTAATGAACATTATTCATTTATTTAATAAGATAAGCACATAATTTTGTTAATGTTTCTGTACACTCTTCTCTTTCATGTCTGTCTATAAGAATGAAATTTTAATTTACCATGAGATTGCAATCCTTATAATTTGCTTTATAATTCAGAAAGCACAGGAGGTGAAATGAGATCTAAATCTTTAATCTTTTCAACTAGTTGCTCATACTTTTTATGTTTAATTAGATGCTTCATTTAAGTTAGAGTCTCAATATGTGATGGGATGCGCTCCTTGTTCTCCAAAACTTACTACCATTGAGTTAAGTTTTCTTCCAAATCTTCGAAATGAGATCGTGGAGTTTAGCAATTCAATTGTGAAGTGTCTAAAGCGTCTACTTCTGCTAAGGTATGGGACATCAAAGATGCTTCGAAATTCAATGCTGTGGCATACATCAACAGCACAAACAAGGCATATATTCTCATTTTTATTAAATATAATAGTTAGACCTTTAAAACGGATTTATTACATATATTAAATACTCAATTTATCATACTCAAATCTCAATAAATTACTAGAATAACCTAATCTGCAAATGATTGGTTGAATATTAATTCTAATTAAATAAGTATCAATCCAAATTTCCATAGAGTGTTAGGATATATGAGGAACCTTTGCGAAAGTAAAGAATTTCAAGGAAATTAGATACTTTTGTTCATTTATCAAAATAATATTGTTAGAGATGAACCAATTAAGTGCTATGTATTTAAACAAACCATTGATTTGAATTTAATTGCAATCCTCTAAATTTCAATGCAGATGGCTAGATTAATACTTAAATTAAAATTAGAATTTTTAGAATTATGTATTTAAATGCTCAAAAGTGATAATTTCAAATTAGCAACATGATAAATCAAATACAATCTAATTTTACAATAGCTTTGATAGAAATCAAGGCTATCATAATTCTATGAATTAGTAGAGAATTGGTTAGTAATGGTTTAAATTAAATTAATACATGTAATTTAGAATTCTTACAGTCGAGTAATAATTGGTCATTGATGATATAGATATGCTATGACAATTGCTCCAAATAATGACTAAAAGACACTATATTAGTTTAGGTAATTAATTAAGAGATAATTGAATATTTTATTGATTAAATAATTTTAAAATTATGAGTCGTGCTTTATTTTTTAGTAAAAATTACTTAAGCAAAAAATTCAACGTTAGATAGCCAAATGAACTTTATAAGCAACTACTTAATAATATTCATCTATTCAAGGCTGATGAATTACAAAAAATTCCATCCGATGAATTAATACATTATATCATATTTTTTGGAACACATCCTGAACGTAGAAATTAAGGAGATAAAGCTAAGAAGATTACTTTAGAATGTCTTAAACAATATAAGAAAAAGATGACTAAAAATTCATATGAAATAAATTCATAAATACTTTTATCGCTGAGCAATGTTTTATTGTATGATGATTAGATGGTCCAAGAATTAGTTCAATAGGTGGATCAAGACAAGGAAACTCTTTCAATCAAAGATATGATTAAATTTTAGCATTGTCTCTACAAACTCAATATCCATAATGAAAAGCTAAGTAATTATGTTCTTGATCAATTTCTTAAACAGAAGGAATAAATAGATTATTTAGAATACATTCACGACCTTCATATTAGATCAAATCTTCTCTAGATGGGCTTGATTGATGAAAAAATCGTTCTCACTTTGTTATAAGGATTTTAGGCAAAATTAAATTCAACTTAAAATTCTTATTATACGTCTAAATCTTGCTTTTAATATTGTTAGCTTATGTATAATTTATATCCAGAGATAATTGAGAAACCATTTTTTGAATTACACCCCAAAGAAGATAACATATTTGCTGGATTATTTAAGGATTTGATGTAGGACTATGTGATAAGCAAATAACTTGTCGATCGTAAAAAGTTTTATTAATCTTTTGAATATTATATAAATTTCTAGAATATGAATGTATTGAAAGCCAAAGAAGATGCTATATTGAGAAGCTTAACCGAACTTGAATAAAATGTGTAAGATTTACTTAATGCATTAAATTATAAAAACTCAAGAGCACACAGAGTTTTGATTTATGACATAGATTATTTAGTTAAAGATAACATCATTTTAACATGTAATGACCCAGTTCATTTCGTGGAAGATTTCGATGGAAAGATCTTAACCATTAATCCAAATCATATCATGTAGAGCAGGTATTCATTTATTAATAAGTAGAGGCATTTGAGTGCCACAAATAAATACAAGGTTTTCGACATAAATTATCACGAGTGGATACATTTGAACGAATAACAAAAGATTGACAAATTAAAATCGTTAATAGATTGATATATGAATATTGTAAATCAAATATAATTTCATTTTCACCTAAAATGTTTCAGAAGCATAGCTTAGGGGATAAATTTAGGAATTCTGTCAAGCTTATTCTATTTTCCAATCAAAATTTATATCCGAAACCACACTCTCCTCTTCAATCTAATTATAGAACAAAGGGATAATTATTAATAAATAAAAACAATGTAAAATTATTGTTATAAAAGGGTTTATCAATAAAATAAATTTATTAAAAATTTGAAATGGCTGAACATGAACATGAACATGAATTTGAGGGCGGTGAAGAAGAATTAGAAGCTCCCAAGGATTCTTTATGGAGAGATGAACATGCTATGGAGAAATCTGCAAATATAGTATATTTTTTAACTCTTGGAATTGTTGCAGGGTTGATTCTCAGAGAGATCAATAAAAAAACAAAGTAAAGCATAATTTTATTGAGTAGATTTCCATACTCACCAATGATATTATCATTAGGCATATTAATAGGATTGCTGTAGAAAAGTTTAGGATACATAGGTGAAAGTGCAAGCATTTTGTCAAAAATGCATCCACATCTGATCGTATTTGTCTTTATTCCAGTTTTACTCTTTGAATCAGCATTTAATTGTGATTGGTATACTTTTAAGTATCAGATGGTGAATATTTTATTGTTAGCAGGTCCAGGATGTGGTTGGGTAATATCTTTTCTAAATTTAGGGTGCAATTCTTTTGGGAGGAATTTTCAAATTAGTCTTGTAATATGATGATAATGATATGACATGGTATTAAGCATTTACACTTGGTTCAGTGTTGTCAGCAACAGATCCAGTGGCTGTGGTGGCATTACTTAAAGAATTAGGTGCAAGTTTAGCATTCAACCATTTAATTGAAGGGTATTAAATTACTATATTTAAGAGAAGCCTTGCTCAATGATGGTGTTGCAATGGTGTTTTTTATCTTCTTTAACAAGTTTTCAAAGGCTTAAAGTGGAAAGGGGGAAGCTGTTACTGCAAGTTAAGTGGTCATAAATTTCGTAAGAAACTCTATGGTAGGTCCAGCATTAGGTTTGGTCTTGGGTATATTGGCAGCATTATGGACAAAGAGAATTTTGGGAGATGATATAGAAGTAACTTGGCTTACCTTTGTGTTTACGTATCTTACTTTTTATTGGGCAGAATTTTGCTTTTTTAAAACAAGTGGTTTGTTAGCAGTAGTAGGATTAGGATTGTTTTGGAGTGCATTTGGTAAAACTAGGATTAGATCTTCTGTTGAGCATTCAGTTCATACTGTTTGGGGATTTGTCTAATACTCTTGTGATACATTAGTATTTGTATTGGTTGGAATTATTGTAGGAACATAAGTGATTGAAGAAACATTTATTCACAAATCTGATTATATTAGAATGATTGTGTTTTACTTTTTTATGATTCTCGCTAGATTCATTATGATTTTAACATTTTGGCCATTTTTAAGATGTTTTGGCTACCCTATCTCTAAACCAGAATTTATTGTGTTGGTATATGGTGGTTTAAGAGGAGCTTTGGGTTTAACACTTTCACTTATGGTTGGTTGTGATGAAGAATTACCAGCAAGATTTAGACATTTATCAGTATTTTATGCAGCAGGAATGGCTGCAATAACTAATTTAGTTAATGGTACAACTTGCAAAGCTCTAGTGTAATATTTGGAAATGATTGAAAATCCTGTCGTGAAAAAGAAAGTTTATAAGAAATATTTAGAAGAGTTAATAGTTAATTCTTAGGATAAAATGAGAGAATTGGAATCAGATCAATTTTATAGTATGGCTGATTGGAATTAAGTGAATTAACTGATTGGGTAACCTAAATTTATAGAGAAGATCGAGAAGCTGGAGACAGAGATTAAATATATGGTTGGAAGTAATAAAGTTGCAGCCAATTCATCAAATTTATATGAAGGATTAACAGATCAGGAAATCTTTGGAGAAGTCAGATATAGAATCTATAGAATTCTCAAAGGATTGTATTATGATAAATTTGAATATGGATTATGTGAAGAAGATACAGTTAGATTGCTAGTAGAATCTAGCGATATTGGATTAGATCACACAAAATCTATCCTTAATATTTGGGATCAATTATACAAGAATTTCCTTAATTTTAGTAGTGTTAATTTCTTTTTAAAAGTAAAAGAGATACCTTTGATTGGATCATTTGCCAAAGAGTACATGATTAAACATTTAGGTTTCGTGTATGATGTCACTACTACATTTTTATCATGTGCGAATGAAGCCTTACATTTAACAGACAGCTTTCCTATGGGCAAGGATGCAGTTAGACTTGTAATGGAAGAAATTTCAAGGGAAATTGAGAAGGCTGAAGGCTATTTGGGGATATTGAATGATACATTTCCAGAGATTGTTAGAGCAATTTAAACAAAGAGGGCATCTCATTCAATTTTAACTCATCAAAGACATTATCTTGATGATACTCAATAAAATGGACTTGTAGATGAAAAGGAGTATTAATTATTAAAGAAGGAAATTAATAATAGATTAGTTGACTTAGAAAATCATCAATTTGAAATGATTTTACCTTCATTTCATGTTTTGGCTATGGAATTCCCAATATTTTCAGGACTAGTTTCTACTGATTTGGATAACATAATTAAGAGTGCTTATGAAAAGAGATTTGGTTGTGATGAAATAATATATGAGTAAGGAATGACATGTCAAAATATATTCATTATTAGCAAAGGCAATGTAGTTGATGAATTTTAGGGAGGTTCTATTAAAAAAGGTTTAGGATCATTAATCTCTTACACTAATTTAATTGGGGAAGGTACTTGCATGAGTACAGCTAAAGCAACTGCTGACTCCTTGCTGTATTCCTTAAATTTAAAGATTCTTAAAGACCTCATGTAAAGAAATCCTGAGTTTGAATTCAAAATTTATATCAATTCTATAGGTAATTCTTAATTTTATACTAGAATACTTAAGAAAAATGTTTGAGAGCTAAGCAGGTCCACTGGCCAATTTGGAAATCAAAAGACTATTAGACTTTTTTAGAACTAAGAGCAAGCTTAAGAAATTAACATAAAATCAAAAATGTGATTTTATCTTTGGAGGTTACTTATTTAGAGGAGAATTGAAGGATATTAACAGCAAAGTTTATCCTCAATATTCGTAAGTTTAATTGTTAAATCATTAGGTACATTCCTCCTTAAGAAACAGAATGTCTAGTAAGTAAAGATACCATTTGCTTGGTTTTTGAAGATCAAGTAGATTCACTCAACAATCAAATGCTCAAACAGTTAGATTTAGATCCTCACAAGGATTAATAGATTTCGGAGAGATATTCCTAAATCAAACGTACTTCAATACAAGATAAGAAAAAACATCATTGAATATGTGTAATTTTTATCCATAAATTTTAAGAGAGATTCATATCTCAAGGCTTTATTTTTTCTATTTTGGATGTTTATAAAAACTTATTTATTATTTAATATATATATAAATTAATGCAAAGTGTAACCTCTATAGAAGTACCTACAAATTTGCTTAAAATGCCAATAATTAAGAATAAGGATATAATGGAGAAGAAATGTAATTATCTAATTAAGCTAATAAGATGAATATGATAAAGTTGGAAAGAATTAAAATGTTATTGTTGAACCTGCAGTAGTTAAATTTTGTGGTTTTGAAATCGGCAAACTAAATGAGATTAAAGTGAGAGTCATCAATAAAAACAAACAACCTCAGAGAATCTACGTGTTTCCACCTAAATCAGAAATATTTAATGTCAAATTTGATAAAAAAGGTGCTATACCAAGTGGAATGGCTGAAGAACTCTACGTCTAATTCAAGCCTCAAGAATACAAATACTTTTATGATGTTATAAGAATCAACACCCAAGATGACACTTTACTAATACCAATACATGCTTATCCTGCCCTCAATCGAGATGGATTAAGAGAATTGTTTCCTCGATTGATCGATTTTGGCACTCTCGATATAGGTGAGTCTTAAACATATGTAAAATGCTATTATTATGCTAGAGCTATCCTATATAAAGCAAAGTGCCTCTTAATTTCGAGTTTGAATTCAGCATCACAAAACCTTGTTAAGATATTAAAATCGATCCAATCAAAGGTATCGTCCCAGGCAAAGGAAGCATAGATATTTCTATAACATATTGTCCATAAGTCAATGTGACAGAAATTATGGAAGTGGAGGTAAGATCATCTAAATAATTTATAGCTTAAAATAGCTCAATTTGATTTCGAACCATTGTGTATCAAAATTATGGGATCTGGTAGGTTCCCTGAAAATAAAAAAACCATGAGACCTAGTTCAAATAAAAAATTAAAATCAATTACTAATTCTTCAAGAGCTAAACCTCTTTAGAACACTCAAGAAATACCTGTTGAAGAGAGTCCAAAACCTGATGAAACACAATAAATTGAGAACCAAGTATAAGAGCGATCAAAACCCTTGAAAATGACTAAAAGCACTAAATTAAAAAGATCTAAATCTCAATAACAAGAAACCAGTGATAATATCGGACTTGATAAACTTAAAGGCAGACAAGTAAAGTATTAAATGACAAAAGTTATTAGAAAAATCGTATTTAGATCACTTTAATCAAATCTAAAGTTTGGATAAGGAAAAAGAAATGAGATTTTTTTAATGCGTTGGTGATCCACCAATAACTGAAACTTAAGTAGAAGACATTCTACTAGAAAGACAATAATATCTTAATAACTATCTAGACGACGTCTAAGCTAAAGGAACAACAAGATATACATTATTGGTTAATTCTGATAGTACAATTGTGGATTACATTCTGCCTGAACATCAGCAGAGTTGGGATTTGGATAAGAATGACACAATGAAAATTAAGAAACTAGTAAAATTTATAGTAAATTCATTTAGAATTTGAGAAAGTTTGTATGTGCTGCTAGTAGAATTATCTACAAATTAAGGATGGAAAAAAGATTATCAAAATTAAAGGCATTTTTAAAAGGAGCAACTACAAGAGCAGAAGTCAAATAACTTGTAAATTTGGATTGCTAAAAAGCAGAGCATTCAGGAGTTGGTAAAAAAGATTTTGTATAAAATTTATTTAAATATTCAGGTCAAATTTACCTTTGAATTCAACTCAGATAATATTGGATTCTTGAAATTACCAGTTTAATATTCAGAATCCAATACAAATTCCTCATTTAAATATACTATCACACCACAAACTGGGTTTGATGACCTAGCTCCTTTTGATGAGTTACCAAGTGATGATTGTGAAATCATGTAATATAAAGTGTGGGAGCCTCCTTAAATTGTGTATCATCCACCTGTAATTGAAAAACCTTTGAGAGATGGGGCAGAAGAGGAAAAATCCCTTAGAGGTATTATGGGTCCAGTAACTTAAATACTTCAGACTTAAAATGATAATATTGTCAGGAACATATATTTAAAGCCACCTGATGTTGAAAGCTATCAAATCCTTAAAACCAATAAGACCTTAAGATTATATCAATAATTTAATGATGGCACTCCTTTGAATACCTTCTATCCTCTCATGTTTAGTAAAGTGAATGGAATAGGGGCTGATCTAGATCCAGATATTGCCTAGAATCACTAAATTCTAAAGCAGGAATTTATCAATAGAACACCTGGTTATCAGAATCTAAATCTTGTTTATGAACTTCCATTGGATCAATTCTACTATCAGGAGAAAAACATGCAGTTAGCTTACGATTTTGGATTTGATGAGCAAATAGAATTCTACTGTCCAACAATAATGGCAGAAAAAGAATTGGATGATCAGATGACGGATGATGATAGTGATGAGGATAAGCCTCCTCAGATAAATGTTGTGGATTAGAATGATTGGCTTACTAAACTTGAATAGGATGATAAAACTATAACGACTTTGAGACAATCAGAAATTATTGATTCCTTTGAGCAACTAAAAGAGAAATTAGATTCAAATTTGACGTAATAAAATTAATAGATATTTATAGTTTGGAAAAGAATAAATGGATTTCAACGGTTCCTTCTAAAACTAGTGACTTCAATAAGTTTATTGTTAGAAATGAAAATAAAATGGTCATATTATGATTTATAATATTTCCAACATACATTTATATAATAAATTAATAAACACTATAAGGAACCCTTAAACTAGATTGTCTAATTTTTTAATTGAAATATTAAGAACAGCTCTTATATGGATGTTGGTTGGATGTTAAGAAAGTTTTAATGTTTATATATGAATATTATTTATTATGCTTGACTTTGAAAAAGATTTTTATAAGTTTGTTAAGGCTTAATTAGACAAAAAAAAAGGGATCAAATAGAATGGAACAGATGAATCATCTGATGAAGAGGAGACACTCAAGAGTAATTTTATATTTCTTATAAAGAAAATAGGCTAGTAAGTGAGAACATCAATAAAGTACTTTAAAATGAGAGAAAAAAGATGAAAATCAGCAAAATATCTAAGGAGCAGCATTTTGAGAATAAAATGAAGGATTTTGCCAACATGGACACATTTATTGATGTTAAACATTTTCTGAAGAACCTCAACGATTCATAAAAGAAAAAAACGCATAAAAGAGTGTTTAAGTCATTCAAACGTGGTTCTTCAGACAGTGACAACGAGGATTTATTTGATTACGCAGAAATTGTCTCAAAAAGTAAGTAGTACATTGCAAAATCTCAAAAACTTAGAGCCAAACCAAATATCGAAAGCTACCTTCAATTTGAAGAATAACAACATTAGAAAACTGAGAAAGCAGATGAGGGGAAAACGACAAATGAAAAGTTCTACACTGGAATTGATAAATTAATAACAGATATTAATCACAAAAATGCTCAATCTGAAATAGATAAATAATATGAAAAAGAGAAAAAAAGACACAGAGATTCCATGAATTCAGAATAATATATCCCATAAATTCATCATTTAGATTTCGGAAGAGATGAAGTAACTATTAAAGCAGGAAAGAAATTCAAAGAATAGTCTAAAAAGGTTTTATAACTTCTAGAGAAAACAACAAAAATGTTGTATAGAAATAGATTGCCCCAACCTCCTAATCCGAAAATCTTAAAACAATAATAACAATAATTGAAAGAATTAAAAGAATTAAAAGAATTGAAATCACATCCTATATCTGTTGAAATCAGAAGTTCGAAACAAATCCTAACTAAAAGTCGTAGTATTAGCAAAGATATTAAATTACCCACAATTAATGGACAAATCAAAGGTAAAATTGTAAAAAGGATTACTCCCTTACATAGATTAAGTCAAGCAAGCTTACCAGAAATTAAGCCAGCATCTTTTGTGTCTCTTAGAGAAGATAAAATTTTAGAAGATTTCCATTACTTTAAAAGCTAGAAGCATATTGTAAAGTAAAACTCTCTACCCAATAATTTCAGCCATCATAGCCTAAGCTTTGATGTAAAAAATTAGATTTGTGATTTTATTACTTAAGTAAATTTTATGATATTTATTCTAGTTGGATAATGCTTAGGAGTAGTTCTAGAGGATGTATCCTTCTGATAATTAATTATAAAAAATATAGAATAATATGAGTAGAAAAATGAATAAGATTGGCAAAACTCCTTTGGAAAGCTTGAAATATTTGACTAGAAGAAAATTTAATTTTTCTAGAAAATTGGAGTTAAAAAGCAAAAAAAGTGAAGCTCACCATCAAATTTTTTGAATAAAAGTGATTACAATTATATTAAATCTAAATTTTTAGTTGAACTTTTAAACTTAAATATAAAATCAATTCTGTTACTTCCTTATACCTAATATATATCAATTATTTCTTAATTATTTTCAAATTGATTTTATTATTGAATATGTCATCCATTCTTAATAAATTTAGAAAGCAACCTCAAAATGATGTGCCTGCAGGAATTAAAATAGAGAATACTCTATTTGGCTAGCCACAAGGAACTTATCAGCCACCCATAATTCCATCTGTTTAATTGTCTCAAACTAACTAACCGAGATAAAAAGGAAGACCCGGAGGAGGTACAATAACTCTATAATTTTTTAGGCTGGGATGATGAGCCTGAACCATAATAGCAATAATAATAAACATCTTCGAACATGCCTGCGAATACGATTAATCTAATTAATGATACTCCACCTAAGTAAAATGAAAATAAAGCAAACTTTGGCATACTACTACCACCCTAACCGTCCAATAACGACATACAATTAAGTAGAGTGAGTGAGTACAAAAAAGGACAACTATTAACTTATGAAGAATTAGAGATCGGTGGATTGTATTAATAATCTATATCATTTTAGTGAATTTGAGTTTCATATTGTAGAGGAAGCAATTAAATTAGGCGGTATTAAATTGAAGTAGAGTGATTCAGTCCTTAAGGAATTTGCAAGAGCTTGTCAAACTTTACAGGAATAATTGATAGGAAGCATTCTTTTGAATAAGCTCTATAGTGAAGAGAATTGGAAAGTTCAAATTGTAAACAAATTTAATCAATTTGTAGAGATGCATTTATGCAATTCAATTTATTAGTTAATAATATCAAAACTATAGAGAATTCTTTTTAATTAATTAGAATTACCTAAAGATAGATACGGATTAATAAATATTAAAATCAGCCATTGAGTAAACTCTCTTAGAAATTAATGGACAGCAGACATAAAAGCAAAAGGTATTATTTAACTATATTTTCTAAGGAGATTTAATTTGAATTTCGTGAGCCTCCAAAGCCATAATAAAATGCAGTATAATAATAAGCAAATCTTTTTGAAATAGGAAATAATGAGGGTTAGCAAAAATAATAACAACAATAAAAACTAGATTTAAAATCTCTAAAAATAAAACAACCAGAAGTGAAGCAATAGACTCAATAAAATACTTAAATAGATTTATTAGAGGCATTCAATTAGATGTCTGTCTAAAATCCTAGTTAAAACTAATAGTAGCAATAAAATCAAGGAATTAACTTTGATGAAATATTAAATACTTAAACAACTCAAACTGTATAATAGCCATAATAAAAAAAGAATGCTTTTGGTTTTCTCAAAAAAGATCAGCAATAATAACCTTAATAATAGCCACCTCAATAGTTAAAATAAGATTAAGCCTAATTAAACACACTTTTATTACAACCCCCTCAATAATTATACTAACAGCCAGCACCAAATCAATAATAGGCTTCAAATATTCCCTCTGGATAGCCATCAAATTTATATAACCTATAATAATAAGCTTAATTTGGATAACCAAATTACTCTTAGGCCTTTGCTCAGTTTAACATCCAATAATAACAATACAATTTGGTTTAGTAAACTCAGTTCAGTTAAGAATAGCCATAATAAAAGCAACAGCCTGCACCAAAAGAGAATGCTTTTGATTTCCTAAATTTCTGATTGTTATATAAAATATTAAATAAATTGCATAATGTAAAAGAGCAATTCTTATCATATAAAGACACCAAGGAAATATCGACAACCAAATATTATATCATAAGAATTATTGTAAAAATTAACTCAAACGAAACTAGAAAATAGATAAGAGAAAGAATATTTTGATAAAAATGCATAAATCAATGAAGTCAAAAAAGTAAAATAAATTTCTAGATCCATTGAAGGAGGATCTCAAAGTTATAGAGAAATAGTATAATAAAGCTTACATCTTCTAAATTTAAACAAGGAAGGTTTAGCAAAGGACTTCAGTTTGAATAAAAATTAAAATGATGAGATCCAAAGCACAGAAAAAAAGTCAAGGCATGTCAGTCATGTTAGTTAAATATGGACGAAAAGGAATAGAACTGATAGCAATTCCTTAACTCCAAGAAAGGTAGGCGTAAATGATTTTATTCTAAATGCAAATGCTTTTTTAAAAGAAAAACAATTGGAAAATTAATTAGACAGGCTGTCCTATTAAATAGTATAACTTTAAAATAAATCTAATAAGTTGGAAATACAAAATAGAATGCTGTATGCAAATATATAGCAATATTAGTAAGATTCTCATCACCTAAAAGTAATATGACTTTTATAATTAGGATAGGAACTCTCTTATTCAAAAACTAGATACAATGATTTTGATGTAGTAACGCTAGGAAGAAAATCTTAATTACTTTAAATAACTCTTTAAAGAGAATGGTAATGTAAACAAGAAAACACAAAATTCCCTCCCAAAACTTCGACAGGCAGGTTTATCAGCATATCTTGGTTTAAAAATTTGATTTAATTAATTCTTCGCCAATTTATATAAAATTCTTTAATGCACAAAACTCATGACTAACTTACACAAGAAAGTTAACAAGATCTATTTAATGAAAATACAAACTCATCCTTGCTGGGAGTTAAATCCTATTAGTAGTACGCCTATAGATGGATAATTTTGATATGTTTCCTAGGTGTTGTATTTATAAATGGTATTGCATATCAAACATTTATTCCAAATGCAAAATAAGTATAATATGATGATAATTAAAGTTTATAGAATTATATGATGTAAGTGAGTAAATAATAACCTTATCTGGAACAATATTTTTGATAATGTAACCTGTGTTTACATTTTTTGCCTCATCATGTATCTATAAATTTAAAATAAGTCATTGTTAAGAAAGGATTCGCGCTATCGTTAAATTTTGGTGTTTTGTTAACAATAATTGGCTATGGAATAAGATTATTTATAAATAAATTTTCATTTTCAATAGTTATTTTAGGATAGGCATGTTTAGGGATTTCAAGACCCTTTATATTGAATGGCCAGATCACTATGGCATAAAATTGGTTTTATCCCTCGAATAGGACTGCTGTATTAACAGCTTGCAATGCATTTTAAACATTTTCAATGATCATAAGTGTAATATGGCCAGCGAATTGGATTTTTCAAGATTATTCTTATACAGATGAGTTGAGAGAAAAAGGATTGGAATTGTCTTTGAAACTCTAATACTAATAGTTCTTCCTAAGTCTTGTTCTTATCCCTGTAATATTTTTAATTCGAAATAACCCAGTGACTCCTCCCTCAGGATTTATAACTGCAGACAATGAAGTTGGAGTTTCAGAGTCAATCAAAAAATTACTAAGAAATGGAAATTTCTTACTCATTCTTTTAACGTATAGTTTGTATTTTGGAACTATCAAGGGATATGGATTGAATGTGCCATATTTAATGTCTCCTTTCGGATTTATTGATACCAATTATTCAATTGCTTCTTCAATGCTAATAATTGGTGGGTTTATATCAGCAGGGATGGTCTCTAAGGTTGTTTAAAAATTTAAAAGGTATAAGGCTATAGGAATAGTTTTGCTTTCAATTTCCTTAGTCTTATCAATATTGACATATCCTATAATGATGACTAAGCAATTCATCCCTTTATGCATTTAATAGTTATTATTAGGATTTTTCTTAATTCCTATGGTTCCAGTTTTAATGGAATTTGGATGTGAAGCCATATACCCATTGAATGGCAGTTTCTCTATTGGACTTATGGTCTCAGGGGCAACAATAGCAGCTTTATTGAGTAGCATTCTATTAACCTATACTGCAAAGGGTAAAGATAGTGACAAGTAAAGTGCATTAATAACTACTATCATATGCTGCAGCATATTTTTAATTGGATAAATATTATTTTTATTCACAAAAGAAATTGAAAACAGAACAAATAGACAGGAAAAGGAAAACAAAAATGTATTAAAATTAGACTCCTCTAATACTAATAATAAGAATCATTAAACTTCAATTAATGAATCGTTTGATTCATTTAACAACAAAATCAAAGATGATTCTGCAAAAGAACATTTGATTATTGATTAAAATGACTTTTTAAATAATGATGATGAGATAAGTAGAATTGACAAAAAAGATTGATGAAAATAATGAATTTTAACAAAATATATAAATGATTTATAATATATATGGTTAATAATATTTAGTCTCATAGTAATAAATATAAATAAATTTTATTCTTATTAATAATTTTATATACGGTATTTGAAATAGAAATAATTAAGCAAACTAAATTAATTTGAATAAACTATATAAAATATTTTCATTTAAATCCTTTCTCTTGTTATGATTTAGACCAGGCCTAAGCGATTGTCCTCTTCATTTCATCATCTCCATTTTAATACATCTCCTTCATCATATTCATTAAAGAAGCTTGAGGGTCCTCCTTATCTACTTTTGATGAATCAGTGTTTATCTAAGATAAATTCTTTTAAATACTAGCTTTTCTTTATATGCCAATTGATCCCAATGCTTATTCTCCTTTTTGATCAAATTAACAATCAATGAGTTATTAGTAGTCTTGATAGAACATTCTCGATCTTTCAAATCGTCAAAAGTCTTCTTAATGCCGAATCTAAAATGGCATGCAATATATACCTTTGATTAATCCCCTTGTAATTCAAAATCTTGACATCTACACTATGAGTAGAAAAGGAACTAATAATATTCTCTTTAGGTAATTATCCTATTCCATCAAGACTAATAATTATTTTAATTTTGTTCCCTTCCTAGTCCCAAGCATATTTAGTTATTCCTTAATACAAACGAGTATCTGAATCTATTGGACTTGCTTCCTGTTATTTTTCAGGTTACTCAACTTTTTATGGGGTGAGTATTTTTATAGAGTTTTCTAAGTATTTGATTCTATTGTTCAAATATTCGATATTGGCTTTACGTTTTAATGTTCCTAATACTTATTAAACTTCTGCTAAATCTAATTAGAGATTCTCAAGTTCAGACATTAATGTGATTAATTGGAATTTTATTTAAAATATGTTTTGAGCAATTTAACAAATTAAAATAACTCAATTTCTAGAATTTTTCTATTAAGTTATCTCCTTTATAATAATTAAATTAAACTTATATTAATTCTTTATTATTTTTATAGGCATTTGATAGGGATCCATCATAATTTATTAATTAAATATATAATGAGTTATCTAAATTGTAAGTGGAAATAACATTACATAAAAAAGTCTGCAAAGATTATGCAGTTACCAAGAATTCGATTTCAAAAGGATGTTAGAGCTAAGTCCATTGATGATATATTCGAGAAAACTAAGCTTAATTCTTAAAGAGATGAAACCAAAGAAGAAAACAACATATTAAGAAATAGTGATAGAGTAATGTATAATTGGTAATAATATTTTGAATAGTGGAGTAAGCAAGAATATAGCAAAATAATAAAGAGGAACCCAAATTCAGATCAGTTTCAGTTGCTCTTATAAAACATAAATTATAATATGAATATGAAGAAGATATTACTACTATCCATAATAAATGTGGAATTAAGGTTGTGAATTAAGCTTAATAAATGCATAATAAAGCATAACCCTAATCAAATAATCTCAGCGACTATGAAAAATAGAAATAATAAGTAAATGAGATCTTTAAGAGTCTTTACACATCTCATTAAGAAAAGCGACTCAACATAGAAAGGATAGTAAGTGATCGACCATAAAGAATGAAACCTATAGATTGGAACGAAGTGAGAAGAAAGTTACCCAAAGATTAGATAGGAACCATCTATGATCCTACAAGATTCTAGAACCTATATGAAAAATTCAACAATGAAATTGAAGCTAATGTTCCTCATGGACCATTTATCAGTTTTCGTCAATTTTTGAAGGAAAGAAGAGGACACTTCAAAGATTGATTTATAAAATTGATTTCTAATTTAAATTATTTATTAAACTGTATACATTGTGTATGAAAATAGATTTTATTATAACTGAAAAAGCATTAATTTTTAACAAAGATTGAGATATCAAATCACCTCTGCTCAAATTTATATGCAAATTATATTTAAAATTAAGTAAAAAGTCTGATTTACTTGAAATTTTAATTTTTAAGACAATTTAATATTTCTAATCAACCTATAAAGCAAAATTCATTTTTATTTTTATGATTATGTCTAATTAGAATGCAGTTTTTCATAATATTTGATTTTCTCTATACAAACTGAATTCAAATTGCATAGTTATTAAACCTTGTATTACAAATCATTATTCTCAATCGTCCTTTCTTCTAATTATTTTTATAACTACTGATATTGGCGTCCTTAAAATTAATATTAAGCTTCAACAATCTATAAATCTTACTTTAATTTAATTAATTCATCTTTAAGTTAAACATTTTCAAGCTTAAGCTTTTTTATTTCTTCGCTTTCGTTTTGGCTCAAGGCTTTTGAGGTCATAGACTTTTTGTTATAGTTGATTGCGTACATCTATATCATTGTTGCTGTACAAAAAATCTAATGAGTTGATCAACAAAGTAAATTCAACAAAAGCTTTAGTGTCAGGACATTAAATTAGATTTATAGAGTATTCCTTTTATCTCATATTTAGATTGAGAGCAACAGATATGTCAAATTTTGCAAAGCCGGCAATCCTTTTAGATTTTCCATCACTTAAGACTACATTAAGTTTTCTCTTATATACAATAAGTGCTGCAAACTTACAATTTTTTCTTCATACTTGAGATTAACTTTTGTAACAACGCATTTCACTTCCATATATTATTCGTATTAATGATTAATCTTCATATAATTGAGCAATGACACATGTTTATCTTGACTTTTTATTTCAATATTGAAGGCAACTTCTGAATTTAATGTCAACTGTAGTCTCTTAAATATGATTGTATATGTTAATATTTATTACATTATGTTATTATAAATATTTTATATATTATAAGTGTCAAATATGAAAACTCTCTCCGCAACCGCATTGGCCTTTTTGATTTGGATTCTTAAAGACAAACTCACTTTTAATGTCATCCTCTACGTAATCCATCTCAGTTCCTACTAGCACCATCACTGCTTTGGAATCAACGATAACCTTCACGCCTAAGGTTTTAGTAAATAACAACCTTTTGCTTCTACTACTTCATCTAATTTATCTGGTCCAGAACAATAGTTCATTGTGTATGATAACCCGTTACAACCTCGTTTTCTTACTCCTATTTTGACTGCATCAAATGCTGGATTATTCTATTATTTCATAAGCTCAGTGATTCTCTCGGCAGCTTTATCACTCTAGAATTAGAATAAAAGTACTATCGTAATTAGGTTTCTCTTTGATCTAAGCTTTGTTATAGTACTCATATAAAATTTAATCATTAATTTATATAATGTTGATAATATATAGATCAAATAGTATTTAATAGATGCTCAATCGTTAATTCCTAATATAAATTGGTTTTGAATTTTGATAAATTCTTTGAGGGGATGTCCTAATCCTACATCAAATCAAGCAAGTAAGTAGTCAGATATTGCAATTCCCTATCTGAACTATTATCATAAAAAGGAATGATAGGAATACCATTTTCTATTTAAAAACAAAAAGAATAGGAAGCATTGTCAACTAAGACAAGATCTTTGAGATTTCTATTTCCCAACACTCTTAAATCCTTGATATGGAGACCATCATCTACAACAACACAGCTCTCCCTAAAAAATCTATGATGAATCCATTTTTTGTCTGGATCTATGTAATTGATGACTTTCTGAGCATAACATTCATGCGAGGCAGTAAATACTATAATTTCATACTTTTGACTCAGTATGGCCAACATTTCCCTACAATATGGTCTGAGATTGATTCCCGCTTGGACAGTTTCTCCTGTGGGAAATTTAATGGTTAACACTATATCTGAGGGATCATCGTTAGATTCTTAGCAATGAATTAAAGTTTCATCTAAATCAAAAACGATAGTTTTTTTGACTACATAAATTTAAGTAATTACATTTATTATCTGGTAAATTGGCAATTTTATTAGCAATAGCATTTAAAGAGGGCTTAACAATATCTTTGCAATATTGAAGTGCATGATAGCTTTGTTAAAAATGATCTTAGTAAATGTCCAAAAAGTATTAATTTGTTTTTGGGTTAAATAATTATTTGATTTCATTCTTCGATTATTTGTTATTAAAATATCTTAAGAAGCTCATGTAGTATTCAAAGTCATTGTAAGGTGATTGAGGTCCTAAGCTTTGTTTAGGCATTAATCTCCTATCTGGAGAGACACTCCTCATTTTCAATTTTGTTTCTCTGCTCATAGTCGGAGTAGGAGTATAAATATTTTCTTTGGTAGCTCTTCTGATCGGACTGTTCATCCTTTTCCGATCCGACTATTTTTTAGGTATGATATTAGCACCCTTGGAGAGACGCATGACATATTTTGATAAGGGAGCAGCAGATATTGGAGGAGAGATCAATGGGGTTGAAGTTTTTGGCTCAGAAGTATTTTAATCTTGTTCTGAGAGTGCAAATATAGTCACTTATTTGGGAATTTCAATGTCAGGAATAGTTTGCTGCGACTCTTCTTTTTCTTTTTGGACTTCTTTTTATCCTGAACTATTGATTCGTTAGCGTTCTTGGAGTTTATTTTACATGGTTCTTTGTATTAGTGTAAGTTTCTTTTATTGCTGTGGTAATTATTTTTTATCGCTGTCAAGAGTGCGAGTTGATTTTGGAGGTTCTGGCAATGACAATTTAGGATCACATCGTTGGATATTTTTTTATTACACTATCGTATTTTTGGCAGACGGGATTCGTTTTTAAGACGATTTAGGTCTTGAGTTGACCAATGCTTATAGCAACGAAGTCGTAGATTACGTTTACTAAATATTCGCAACAGAGCCGTTGTTTCTAAGCATAATTTTAATTATGAATTAAAAAGTCAAACTAAATTTATTATGAATATATTTATATGCTCTTTATTTTATATATATTTAAATGCTTTAAAGCAATCAAGTTCCCCGTTTAAGATAAATAATTAATAAGCGGAATGTGATTTTTATACACTTTGTTTAAGCACAACACAAACTTAATTAAAATAATATTTTATGAGAAGTTTAAGCAAGATCTTATTTAGGCGTCCTCAACTTTGGCTGTCGCGAGTTGCACCTGCGTTGGGTTAAAAGTCTTTGTTTAAATACAGTGCAAGTATGAATTGTAGCAATTGTTTAGATTCAAACCATTTCTTAAATAGCAAACTCAAAACCATTCCCTTGCAGAATTATAAGGCAGAATAGAGTGAAATAGATTCCAAAGTAGAGCCCACTGATTTCTGTCTCTTTAGTTCGATTCAACCAATCTTTCCCAATAATCCTATGAATTGTCAGATCAAAATCGGAAATTTGAAACGAATCACTAAGCCACTCCTCTACTCCATTATTTCCCCTGACAACGGAGAGATTTTCACTATCGGCATAGCTTTGAGTAAATCAGTCGAAAAGAATTTAAATGCCGAATTAAAACTCTTAGAATAACGAGATGCGAATGGAAACATTTTAATAAATGATCCTATGAGCAACACATTCAACTTAGACATAATATCAAGACAAGTATGAGACTCAAATATTTAGAAAAATTATCGATTCAAAATCACTAAGATAGAAATGACACCCGACGGAATATTTGCACAAGGAATACCTTATAAAGATCGACCCTTAACATAAGCAGAATAAATAATCGATATCCAACACGAAATTCGCATGGTGAGTTCACTTGTACAATAAATAAGAAAATTAGCCTAATATGATAGAGTGGAAGTATTCTCAGAGGTTAAGTATTCCCTATTGGATTCGAGTGAAAAACTCACTCCCAATTAAGTTGATGAATTAGTATTCTAAATTGCTGCAGGTCTCTCCAAATTATTCACCAACAACCTGAAAATGAATACGTCCAATTTCGTATAACAATTGTTGGAGAGTCAAACTTACATTGACAGACTCTTCATCCTTAGAAAATAATTGGAGAATATGTCAGGAGTACTTGATCTAGTGAATAAGCATTTCAAAGAAGCTGACTCCTCTCTATTGAAGTTGCATCAATAAACTCTAGCCAAATTAGCAACGGAATACATTAGATAAAACTATTTGAAGGATGCTTCTCAATCTTAATAATAAGGAGGAACTGCTGGAACCTAATAATTTGGTGGTGATAAGGTACATGTTTCTAAAATTAATTTAAAGTAATCATCATTAGTAAAAAAGTACTACGATAAATTATCATTGATTACTGATGAATCCTCAAGAGAAAAAGTTAAACGAGAAATCGAGAGATTCAGCCTACTTGACAAACAGAGTTCAGAATTTCATAAAATCAATTCCTATTTGGATGAAGTCTTTAGTATTCCATTTCAAAAATTTACAGTAACCTATTCAAACTTAAGTAGCCTGTTCAATGGGATATCCAATTTGCTAAGGATGTCCTTGACAAAGAAATAGAAGGTTTAGAGAAAGTCAAAGAAAGAATTATAGAAATGATATCAGTCAACAAATTAAAGAATGCAGGCTCTAAAGCTAAAGGGTTTATTCTACTACTAAACGGTCCCCCAGGTACTGGAAAAACCTCAATAGCCAAGAGCATTGCCAAATCCTTAAAGAGAACTTCAAGATTCATTTCATGTGCTGGAGTTGCAGATCCAACTTTCTTCAAAGGACACAAACGTACTTACGTAGACTCAATGCCTGGTGTGTTTATCAGAGAATTAATCAAATCCAATACCATGAATCCTGTGTTCATTCTGGATGAGTTGGACAAGGTATCGAAACATCATTCAGGTGGTGCTGATCCTTATTATACCTTATTGGAAATATTGAATCCTGAAGAAAATCATAATTTCACTGATCATTACATGGATATCAGTGTAGATTTTTCACATGTTATTTTCATTCTAACATCTAATGACACACTTTAGATGTTAGAACCACTTAAAAATAGATTAGAAACTATTGATATCTCAGCTTATATATAAGAAGAGAAATTATTAATAGCAAACAATTTCTTAGTTAATAAAAGCATTGAATCAAATGGTATCTAATCCTAAATGATCAAATACGATGAATAAGCCTTGACCAAAATCATTAAAGCCTGGTGCTACTAAGAAAGTGGAGTCAGAGAATTGAAAAGATGCTTAGAAAAGATTGCTAGAAAACATGCTACTAATCTATTAGCTGACAATCCTAATCTCTGTGATAAAGTTGATGAATTAAATCAAATAATTTTTGATCCTACTAGTTAAAGTTTAGACTTAACTAAAGATCAAAACCTTAGAATGTGATCTCTTAATATTTAGGTCCTCCTGTTTTTGATATCTAATTAGAAACAGAGATCCATCAAGAAATTTCCACCTGGACAAGTCAACATTCTGACAGTAGGTGGAATGATTGGACATGTCTTAACTGTTGAAAGTTGTTTTGATTTAAGTGAAACAGAAAAGAAGGGTTCAATATAAGCTTCAGGAAATATCAAACTAGTTTTATAAGAGTCACTTAAGCTAGCTAAGATAAATGCATTTAAATTTTTGAATGAAGAGCAGAAATAAAAATTATAGAATTCTGCTATTCATATGCATTTTACAGAAGGAGCAACTCCAAAAGATGGTCCTTCTGCAGGAACTGCTATCACAACAGCTTTATTAAGTTTAGTTATGAATGTTGTTGTGCCTAGTAACTTAGGAATGACTGGAGAAATTTCATTAAATGGATAAGTTTGTAAAATAGGTATTTAATACTTTAATCATATAGGTGGATTATAACAAAAGTTGATTGCTGCAAAGACTCTGGATATTGTCGACATAATTCTTCCATATGCCAATTTAGGTGAGGCATTAAATTTACCACAACAACTTATCAAAGGCCTTAACTTATACTTTGTTACAGATTACAGATAAATTTATGAATTGATATTTGAGCAACAGATTGCTAATAATAATTATACAATTAATAAAATAAAAAATGGAGTATATGAAACAGATCAAAATGGAACTAAAGAACAAATATAAAGTACAATTAATTATTGAATAAATAACTGAATCATTATTATTGTTATTAATAAATTTCGAAATCTACATTTCACTTCTATAAATTTAATGTTTGGAATATAAAATAGTTTATTTCAAAATTACTATAATAATTCTCCAGGAGTTACATATCTCAGTTTTTCACCGTCTTCAACAAAAACTACCTCATGTCTTTCAACAATTCTTTCTAATTAATTTTAATCTAGTGTATTAGGAACAACAACAAAATCTCTGGATTGTACTTTTTTAGCCAAATCTCTCTAATTTTATTAGAAATAAATAACTACATTATTTAATTTTTTATCAACCATTCCAGCCAATAATTTCTTCTAAAATACAACAGAAACTAATATTCCATCTTTTGATAATGGCACAGCAGGATATGTTCTTAAGTAATCCAAACATTCGCCTATGGTAGTGGTCTCAACATTCAATAGAGTGATTTCAGGGAGATTAAGTTCAGATATTGGTTTACCAGCTAATGGATGGTCTGGCTCCTTCAACTCATCATAAGATATCAATCTATTTTCTATCATCCAAGTTTTATTTAAGTGTTTTGTCATATAATTTCTGATATTATCTGGTAAGATGATGACAATCTAAAGTTAATTCATAAGATTACTCTCTATTATTCTGTAAAATTTTGTGATTTAGCCCATTCAAAAGCTCCCCAAACATTAGCACCTGAAGAACCTCCACAAAGAAGCCCTTCTACAGCCATCAATTTGCGAGCCATGTTTAAACTATCTTTGTCATTGGACTTGATCCAAAAATCAACTTCTGTCTATTGAAATTCAATGTATAATTACTCTATCAAGAGCTTTTGGTATGAAATCATAACCAATGCCTTCAACCTTATAGGATTTGATGTCAGTCTTATTAATCTCTGGAGGCAGTGCTAAATCTGACCCAAAAGGATCTACAGCTATGACTTTACATCCAGGGACTCTCTCATGAATTTTTCTACCTACTCCAGTAACTGTTCCTCCTGTACCTGTAGACATGACAATAGCGTCCAATTTATCATCACAGGCCCATAGAATTTCTTCTGCTGTTCCTTCATAATGAGCTAAGGGGTTTGATGGATTTGAATATTGATCTAAGAGGATAATGTCTGGATTCTCAGCTGCCATCCTTTTAGCCACTTAGATTAGTGACTCAGGTTCATACCAGGCTGCTTCTGTTGGTGTTCTTATCACTTTAGCTCCAAGCCCTGTTAGAACATCTTACTTCTCTTAAGACATTTTTTCAGGCATAGTTATGTACAAAGGATATCCTTTAACAGCACATGCCAATGCCAAACCTACTCCTGTGTTTCCAGAGGTGGCTTCGACTATTGACTTTCCTGGTCCAAGCCTTCCTTGTTTTTCTGCATCTACTATCATTCTCACTCCTATTCTATCTTTGATCGATCCAGCTACATTAACAAACTCACATTTCACCAACACCTCACATTTCAAACCAAATTCTTTTGGAATTTTGTTCAAACGAATCATTGGAGTATGCCCAATTGCATCTAGAGCATCACTGTATATCTTCTTGAATGGTACAAATTGGGAATGAGAGTGAGGAGTAGGTGCTTGTTATTATGCCAGACCTCTTTTATAAGTGCATTGAATAGTGTCTTTGGAAGTGTCTTAAATCATTTTATAAATAAGCCAATTTTAATGAATGGGGGAGGCTTTTATAAGTAGGGGGTAGGGATAATGCTACGAACTGAATATTCTAAATTCTGATATTAAGATGGTTTAAATAATTGTTTAACTCAAAGTATGGATTATTAATGATTAAATTAAAATTGTTAAATTATTTTTATATCATTATTTTATATTAAAAGTATTTAAATTTAATTTAGCTTCTTAACATTAATTATTATAAAAATTAAAATTATACTATAAAACATTAATAAAAAAGAAAATCATTCAAGTTGTTACAATTTTTACAAATCATTTTGTTCCTCATCTTCAACATCCATCCATGTTTCTTTTTCCAATTGATCTTTTAATTCTAATGTAGCTGTCCAAATTTCCTTATTATATTAATCATTATTAAATACCTAATCTTCCTTAGCATCAGGCAATTGAAGAATTCCATTCACTATTTTTTAACTCTCCTCATATTTCTATGCCTTCCACAATGCAAAAGCCAACATATATAAACTTTCTGGATCTTCAACATTTCTCTCTACTAACATTCTCAATATTTTAATTGATTAGTCAAATAATTCCACTTCCACTAATAATTTACCAACTTGTAATATAAAGTCCTCGTCATATTCTTCCATCTCAACTACCAGCTTTTCATAGATAACTCTTAAGTCTTTTTTGGCAGCTTCATCATCTTCTTTATTGAGATGAAAATTAGCCAATTGCAGAAATGCATCTAAATTCAAAGGATCATGTTTGAAAGCATTATTTATTGCATCAATACAAGTTTATTCTGACTCTTTGAATTATAATAAATCAGTTTAATAAACTTCAGCTATGGCAGCAAAAGCATCGCCTATATCCCTCTTGGATGCATTCCTCTGTAAAGCCAGTTAAATTCCATACTCATATATCTAAATGGCCTGCTTTCCTTATTGAGTCTGTGCATATTTAAACAATAATTTGTAACAATGTTCATACGAACTAGTTAATTTAATTTGTGGACGTACGTGATTAAGTCTTATTGATTTAAGTATGGAGTGAGTGCTTGTTGTAATTCCTCCACCAAGCCCATCTATTCTAAACAATCCGTGTATTGATCTAATGCTTCAATGTTTTTGGGGTTTCTTTTGAGGTACATCTGATATGCAGATTTTGCTTATTCGAGATGAAGAGCTTCATATAGATCATTGGCAAAATGAAGAAGGGTCCCACTTGAATGATATCAAACATCTTACTTGTCCATAGCTGTCACCTTATCCCAATCGATTGTGCTCTCCTCCATTCTTAATCTTTTATTAATTTAAATAAAATTGTAGAAGAAATTCTCTTTCACAAACAATTTAGAATAAAATACATATATTAACAAAAATCAATTTTTTCTACGTCTATTATGCTTTTTCTTTTAAACCTTCTTTAAATCTTCTTAATAAAATTCCTTACGATTGTTGATAATTTCTCCATCCTAAACCAGTAATGCTTCCTGAGTCTAAAATGCTTAAGTCTTAAAAACTGGATGTTTGAGTTTAATGTTATCTATTTCAGAAGCCAAGTTCATTGAACTATCCCATTTTCCTTTAGAGAAGTTGACTCTAGACTCCTTCAATTACTGAGCAATTGCATCTAAGAGACCCTTGTCTATAACATCAATTTCTTTTCCATCTAATTCCTTCTTTTCCTTCTACGCATTGATTAAATAAAATATCTCATTAATTTCATTCTCACACTTCCTAGAATAATAAAGGTCCCAAGGCAATTGAGTTAATTCTTTTTGAGAATCTAAAACATTGATTATAATGATTCCTTATGGTGTAAGTAATGTCTTAAGTTTATTAAGAAATTCCGCTGACAAGAACTCTTTAGGTGGAGATAATTAATTGGCTTGGGATGCTAAAAAATAAGAATTATAATTACCATTGATATCAACAATGATGGTGTCATATTGATGGCATTCAAGAGTTTAATCTACATAATCAAGTGCATCACAACATACTAAAGTTTCTGAATCTGTATTCTTGAAATCAAAGAATGTTTTTGCAATGTTCACAATATCATCACTTAATTCGATATTGGTAACCTTGACTCCAAAATGTTCATTTATGAATCTACTCAATAAACCAACACCTCCTCCCAATATAAGAACTTCCTTTGCTTTATTAAATGCTAAGCCTGCAACTATTGCAACATATGCTTCGAAATCTAGATATGAATTGTCCACCTTATTGTTGATAATTTTGGCTTCACTCTAAATCAAATCTAAAGCACTCTTAATTATTAATCTCCTATATTTAATATCATCTATATTTAGTTCTTCTACTATGCAATCATCAGCTTCAAATATGATATTCTTCTCTCCAATTTCATCTCCATCTGTTAAAAATGGGCAAGGAATATTTGTACAACCCTTAGGTATTAGTTACTTCATCGGTTCAGACAACTCTTATTATACTTATTTCATATTGTTGAATTAATGTCCTGGATTCATACGTGCGATTACACATCTAGACATTTTCATTTGTTTAATTAACTCTTTGTGTCCTTGTTCAGTTCCAAATAAGAAAGATTACTCTCTACCTTAGGGAACAATAAAACATCCACAAGTTTTCTATAGTAAGATTTTGCTGTCATCATTATCATAAATATCTAATTTGTATCTTGGAGTCTATTTATTGTTATTATCCCAAATATCCAAGGTGAAACTTTGACTTTATCTAAGTTTATGGATGGATGTAACAAAATGATTCTGTAATTATATCTTTTTTATTATTTCTTATGCCTACTTAATGGACAAAGTCTGAACTTCCTTTTGTAATTAATAAAATTGAATTGATTTCTATTCACTTTTATCAATGACGATAAAAAATGGATAAAGTTTACTTTTCTCAATTACGCATTCATAAATTTGGATATTGACTTACAATTACAATAAAGTCTTTAGAATATGATCTTGTAATAGAGATATAATGATGAGTTTGCCGTTCTTCTTTAATATTCTGAGCATATTTGCTAAATAAGTATTAACTTAAGGTGTTTCTTCATCTGGAAAGATAGCATCAAGAGTTCCCTTGTCTAGAATAATATCGAATTATTCAGATTGAATATTGATTTCCTCAGTCAAAGACATGCATTAGAATGTCATTTCTGGTCTCTTATTCTCAGATCTCTTGCGCATCTAATCTAAAGACTAATAAGGTTAAGCAATCAATAATTACAATTTTTTCATAGTCAACATTCGTGATATTTTTACAAATACCATTGTCATAGAGTTATTCAGATAGTAGTGATTTGCCACAACCTGCATGGAATACACTATCTTCCACTTTGATATATTGTTTAAACAAATGATTGTAGCTATCATAATTGCCATACCACTCAAAGAATTCATTCTATTGACCCTCTTTCTTAATCTTTTTGAAGAATCGTTGCCAATATTGTTTATTCATAAAATCTCGACATTATGTAGGTAATACTCCTTGCATTTACCACAAAAATTAATTTAATAATAAATGAACGACCTTCGAATGCATAAGTTATAACAATTCTTCTCTAAATCGAACATCTATCAAAATAATTCGATACAACATATAGAACGATAGAAATTGACTATCTCCAATGATGTAGAACTTAAAGATTAATCCCAAATTGAAGATAAGATGATTCCTGTTGTTCGTCCATATTAAACTGACTTTGATAAAGATATGTGTAAAATCAATTTAAATACTTAGATCTTATGGCGAAACCACTGATACAACCATTAATTTAATTGAATATTGTTAGTAAACCTGAAATCAATAATGTCAATCTTTCACACTAATTGCACAACTAGTTAGACAAAGCAATCAAAAGATCTGAGAACTTTTTAACTCTTAAAAAACAACCTAATCACTTTCTTAATCAATTGAGATAATAAAACAAACAAAATCAATTAACAGAAAAGAAATAGCAAAATTCAGCTCCTAAAAAAGAAATCAAACAGATTGACTCAAATGACTATGATTTCAAATCAATCAATAAAAGGCCAATTCCTGATTAAACTACCGGAATTAAACTGCCTAAATCCATCAAAGACATCTATTAAATTGGACAAACTGCTGATGATCTATAAGCAAATGATGAATCCTTTCTCCTTAAGGAAGAACCAAACTCACAGCAAGTTGTAGCTAAAATTGACTTTGATTGTCTCTTGAATATAGCTGCTGGTTAAGTTGATGAGCATACGATGGCTGAATTAGTTAAAAATGTTATTATCGCTAAAAAGAAGGAACTTAATAATCCACTATTAAATAGTTCCATAGAATAATGTGATGTATCAGTGGAAGCTTACCCTCTTAAGCAAGATTAATATGTTTAGATGTCATCCAAAGCTTTACCAAATGTACAAACTGTTTTAAATGGGATTCGTCTAGCCAAAAATCAATACTATTAAAGTTAGGAAAAATAAGAATGCAAAACCATCATACGCTCGCATTTAGAAGAACTTATGCAAATATTGATGTAAGGATATCCAGAACAATCAGGAATGAGTTAATCACTTGACTTCTTACTTTCACTCAATAAATAGGAACTAGCTCTTCCATACGAAGGAATGAGCAAATTGGAGTTACTCTACATTTTTGTTAATGAGTACAAAGCTCTTTAGATGCTAGAATAAACATAACCATCAACAAATCAATTCAATTAGACCATAAGTAGACGATATCTGAAACCTACAAAGGCAGCTTAGATGAAAACAATTAAGAAAAAATGAATTCGATTTACTTTTACTTATTAATATATTTAATTTCTTAGATCAAATTATTTATCTTAATATGATTTCATTTGATCAAATATTAGAAGAGAAGATTGGGTCAGGAATTTACTAACTTAGAACAGTTAGCATCATAGGATTAATAGAGTTTTGTGATGGGGTTGAATACGTTTTTATGTCCATTTTGATGGCTATATTGCAAAAAGAATGGTAGCTATCTCAAACGCAAGTAGCAACATTGGGATCTTCTTTTCTTGCAGGTGTGGTTATAGGAAATTGCATCTGTGCTTATATTACAGATAAAATCGGTCGAAAAACATCATTTTCAATATTCGCAGGACTTTCGGTGATACTAGTCTATTATACGAGTTTTGCTGAGTCTTATAATGAGATTATTATCCTTCGATTACTATTTGGCATAGTGTTTGGAACAACTAGTCCTTTGGGATATGTTTTTATAACTGAGGTTGCTGTTGCCAAGTATAGAGGGAGATTTGCATTTTCTTTAACACTAATGTATGTTGCAGGAAAAGCCTATTTAGTATTATTGTGTTTTTTCTTTCTTGATGATTATACAAGTGGAAATTGGAGAGGATTGATAAGGTTCAATGGAATACCTGTTTTACTATGCTTTATATTATCACTGATATATTTGAAAGAGACTATTAGATACTATTTAAACAAAGGTTAATACACTGTGGCATTCCAAGAGATTGAGGATGTCCAAAAATAAAATAATAGTTAATATGACCCATTAAATGAAAGTGAAAAGGATGGTTTAATTGCTTGGTAATTGAGATAAAACAATCTCATGATCAAAGAGAACTAAAACGAAGAAAGTGGAGTATTATCAAAATAGCATCTCAGAATTACACTCTAATTATGGACTTTACTAATACTGGCTAATTTTTAGAATTTAAGCATATATTTATTGATGCCATTCTTGTTTGCACAAGAAAATTCAGGATTCGAACATATGTTATATTTGTTTTTGATTGAATTCGTCTTTGCATTTGTAATCTACTTATTTATAGATGATCCAAAATATGGTGGAAGAGTCAATATCATTATTTATGCTTCAATTTTATTAGTAATAACAAATTTATTGCTCTATATATATCAAGCCTCAATTTTATTTTTTGGAATGCTTTTAATTAAAATAGCAACTAGAGGGATGTTCTCTACTCTATTTATTATATGTTGTGAAAGTTATCCTCTTCATCTAAGATCTAGAGGGAGTGGATTGGCTATGGCTGTAGGCAAAGTCGTGTCAATTCCATCTCCTTATGTGCTCTTCCCTCTATTTGCTATAGATCCTTATCTGCCATTTTTAATATTGAGTGTCCTAGGAACATTTATGATTGCATTGTCAGTTACATATCCGTCTGATCGTACATAGAAACACTTGGAAGTTTATAGTGACGAATAAAAAGAAGAATGATTTATTAATTTATTTATTGTCTAATATTTCATAATCCATCAGGATATTATGCTTATGTAAACCAGGGATGATAGAGGGCATCTTTAGCCGAGGGTCTAATTTATTAATCAATATTATTATTATACCTTTTTGAAGGATCAATGTGTAATAATTGCTTAACAAAATCTAAAAAGAACATGTCGTCAGTCTTTAATCTGGCCTTTAGATTTGATTTCTTGGGAACCAATATTTAGATTAATCCAGTCTTTTTTCTTTTGACTGAGGCATCTGACATATCAGGGTTTGGGTAATGTTATTGTTAATCCTCCATTGCATCCTGATAGAGTAGTTTCTCCTTTGTGAAGAATTAATTAACTAATCTGCCCTCTTTCATCATATTTTCAGGGAATGGACCAATTATACCAATGACTCTAGCTAATAAGCCTTGTACAGTGTCGTTTTAAAACAAAACATATCCTGTCCATAATTCAGCTAGGATACAGCCCAATGACCACATATCAATTTTATAATCATATTTGCATCCAATGATAACTTCAGGTGCTCTATAACTTCTTGATTGAACATAACTAGATAGATGATCATGGATGAAACATGAAGATCCGAAATCAATCACTTTACATTCACATTTGCTTATAGATCTCATTAATATGTTTTCAGGTTTTAAATCACAATGAATCAATTTAAGAGAGTGTATATAATCTAAGGCAATCAAGATTTGTTTGGTCAACTAAATAAATAGAATATTTACTTACTTTTTATAATCTACCAACTGTAAAATAGTTGACTTTTTCCTTTTCTCTATAGTATTTGTAGAATTCATAAAGATTATCTTTAAGTAGTTCTGTAACTAAAAATAGATGTTCTTTATGATAAAAGAAATCATATAATCTAAGCACATTTTTAGCATCACAATCTCCATTGCAATTTATATATCTCAATAATTTAATTTCATCTATGCTCTAATCCATATAATCTTTATTATTTTCTATGATTTTCATGCACACCTCCTTTTAAGATTGTAAATCTAAACATTTAACTGCTTTTGAAAATGCTGCTGATCCCAAATATTCTAATATTTGATATCTTCCAGCTATGATTGAATTAATAACAATAGGAAAATCTTTGGTTTCTTCAAATCCAGTTCTTTCCCTATCAAAAATGACTTTGAGATTGAAACAATCATAGATGACTCTATCAAATTCCACAGGATAGAAGTCGTCTGTAGAGTCTGGGTGTTTCAATGAAGGAGGCAAATAAATGTATCCTTTTCTACTTTCCTCTTAGGATTTCTATTAACTCTTCAATAAGACAGCACTATCATCTTCATTATCACAATTCACCTCATCCTTTTTCTTCTTAAGTTAAGCTATGGCTCTTTAGGGAAATCCAAATTTATCTGCCAATTACTTAGCCACTTTAATGAAATCCTTTTCTCCAACTTCATACAAATCAAATCCAGGATCATCATCATCATTGTATTCGTCTATTATATTTTTATTTTCTTCCATATCATGTAATACAAATGACTAAGAATTTTGTAGAAAGAAGGAGGAATCATTACATCCACTTTCAGGTCTAATGATGGATGGCATTTTAGCTGTGTCTATACCCTCAAATTGTTGATGTTTAGCAGCAGATCTCGAGACATCCTCTTCTGTAAACAATTCATCAACTGAAGGGGATTTTTCCAACACTTATTGCTTTTAATGTTGCTAAGGCTATTAGATTTTTCCAAATACTATTTGGTCACTCTCTTGAATCTCTAAAATAATTGTAACAACTATATTCATTACATTTGCCAAAACAAGGAGCTTATTATTATTCTTCACTTGTTTCAGTTCTCTTTTTTTTGAGAATCGAATTTGAAATAGATGTATTTGAAATATCATGAAATACATCTGCTTAATCCACCATCTTTTAGAATGTGGCATTATCAAAATAGCGTTCAATCTTCTCGTTGAGTGTCTCATCTTCTAATAGATTTGGCTTTGACACTAATCTATTCATTAATTTTTCCATTATTTGTTCTGTCTGCTCTTATGTGAATACTTTTGGTTTCCTACGCACTGCTTATCTATCGATCACTGGCTTCTTCTTTTCTTTCTTCTTCTGCTCCAATGCTTAACAGATGATGTCTTTCAATAATTCAAATATTAGTACTCATAAGCATTTATTGTTGTTACTTTTCACAGTCAATTTCATTTTTCATCATTACTTAAACAATTATGTCACTTATATACTTATTTCTTCCTTCAATTTACGGGCTGATTATTGAAGACCAGACTGCTCCAAAAATTTAACTATTGTTTTCAGCGCTTCGTTCATTAATTATATAATTAATATATATAAGGATTATCAATATTTTAATTACAATCATTAATATCTTAAAATATTATTCCACTATATTTTATTTTAATGGCTTGTAAATTCTTGAAAATTCCTATTAAAATATTAATGTCAAATTAAGACATCAATGAACTTCCGGCCCTCAAAGTCAATGTCCCCTCTTTCTTGATGAAAACATATGAAATTCTTGAAGTACACCATTTTTGTCTACCACTTTATATTCAGAACCCATCTTTATCCCACATAATTACCTGGAATCAAGAGGGCAACGCATTCATCGTCCTAAATACCCATGAACTGGCATCCAAGGTTCTTGCAAACTATTTCAAACACTAAAAACTACCCCAGCTTCTTGAGGTTTTATACTCTGTCATTATAGATAACTTAACATGTACAGCTTTAAAAAAAGCAAAAACAATTATGGACAAAGTGAGTTCAGGCACAAATGGTTTAGAAGAGGACTTAAGTAAAATCTTTTTCATACATACCATAGAATTATGCTTTAATACATTCGTAGGAGAAACTAAGAAGATTCTGAGAATAAAATAGAGATGAAGAATATGAATAACCACAAAATTGATAATTATAAACAAGAACATGAAGAAATGAAAAAGATAGTTCATGACATTCACAGCACTCAACTGCAAATGGAAGTTGATTTCTCAGCTTCCATGGAATAAAATGCTTAAGCCACCCGCTCTAGCCAAACTATATTGTAGGTTTAATGTCTCATTCTTTATTGTTAGTGTCTGAATCAAATGCAGTTGCAATTCAATAAAAGGTTCGATAATCTTTCCTTACTTCTAGCCAAGATTACTTCATACATTCCAAATTTTCGTAAATTTTAATAAAATTATGCAGCCCACTAAATAGGAGATATGCAAAAGTAATACTCCTTGGATGAACCATCTCCAAGCAGATTAGAACACCATTATATTGTCCCTTATAATGAGAATTATAACCAATACAGCAATATAGGATCACCATATCATTAATTCTCTTGCAATAGTCCAATAAATATTCTTTTATCCAGATAAAATTAATGTAACGTTCAGAAATAATTTTAGAATTTTAAGATTATTGCCTTTAATTTGATCCAAACATCTTCTAATTCAAAAGATAAAACCAATAATAACAACTAGCCTTACCTGCTCCAGCAATTAATTCATATTAGCGTACTCTAATTATCTATCCACTTATAGCTAGCAATAATTATTCATTGCAATCTAGTTCATAAAACTCCCCTTATAGAATGCCCAGTCCTTGTCATACTTCCTTCATGGATTCTGAAAACCCAGAAAAAGTATAACATTTAATTGAAAAAATTAGTTTAATTTTTACTAACAAGCATGAATTCTAATTGAATATTGTATTTAAAACCATTAATTTATTATTATTCAATATAAATACTCATTGTTAATCTGGATAATCTTCAATATATATTAAATTTGTGTTTCTGGAATGTTAGCCAATAAAATTAATTTATTTATATCATTATAAAGTAGTAGGTTATGATAATAGCTGCTAAAAGAAATCTGGTAATTTTTCAATATATGAATTAATCTATTTCTCACTTTGTGAAACCAAATTTATGACTAAATATAATGAGACTTTCATTTAAATTAGATTGATTTATTATATTATTTGAAGTATTCATTTCTAGTTTTTCAAGGAGATCCTATAAAATTGATCTTTTTCAATAATAACATTGTCTACTCTAAAGATCGCCCTCTTTGAGTCTTCCATCCTTGAGTTTTCTTTCTAACTTTGACAGAAAAATTTAAAGAACTTGAGAAAGTGATAGATTTTTGATTTTGTTAATTTTTGGGTTCAATTGATGTGTGAAATAAATCCTTTTTGATAGCATCTTAAAAATAGTTAGGAAATTCTTTGATTTAATAATCTTGTATGATAATTAGGATTAACTTCCTTATTTTAGACAATATGGGATAAATTTGGCCAAAATTAATTTAAAGATCTATTACAGCAGATGTATATTTGTTTCTCTTTTAACTCTAAATTATTTGCTATATAATATTGAGATTATTGAGGATCCTTCTTTAAATAATAATATAATAGAAAATATTGATCATCTGTAAATCTATCTTTTAAATCTTCTCTAATTGCTTTGTTTATACAACTGAATTGTGAGTACTGTGATTTGATAAATAATTATATCGACCTAGGATTGTTTATATGAAATTCGAATTGTTTTTCATTAAATTATATATATAAAATGAATCCGAAACAATTATTCTAAGATAAATATCAATAGATTAGAGATTTCTTACTCTCTTCCTCTGATGAAAGAAACAATGAACAGTTAATTGATATTAGGAACATACTCGAAAGTTTCGCCTTTTTCATTCAATTTACAAAGTATTAAAAATGACTATGATTCAAGTACAAAATCACAAGAGTTTATAGAGATGTGTCGATATTTGTAATTGGAAGTGTATGAACAGGAGCAAACCCTTTTTAGGTAGGGGGATCCTGCAGACAAGTTTTATATAATTTTAAAGGGAGAGGCTCGAATATTGATTAAAAGTCCAGGCTTAGATGAAATTAAATAGGTTGGTATTTCAGGTGTAGGAGATTGTTTTGGTGAATTGGCATTGTTATTTAATTCAGACAGAAATGCTACAATAGTAGTTGGGAAGTAAACTGAATTGATGGTTCTTCATAGGAATGATTTCAATAAGTATATGAAATTTCATTCTTCTGAATAAGCGAATTAAGTAAAGAACCATTATTACATACAAGGCATATAACCTTCTCAATGTGATTGAGCCATTTCTTTCATTAAATTTTCCGGATAAAATTAGACTTGCAAGTAAGATGGAATATCGAACATTTCAGTCAAATTATGCATTCATAAATTAAGGACAGACTTTGAATAATTTTTACGTAGTGGAATCAGGTTCTGTCAAACTCTATCGTACAATACCATTTAATATCAATAAAAATGGATTGATTTAATTTCAACATAAATATGATCCCAATAAACAGAGTAGAAATCTCAAGATAGAAATTGATGAAATAGGGCCTGGAAAGTATATTGGAGATTACGAATTACAACATTATAAGCCTAGTCAATATACAGCAGTTACAGGTATGTAAACTACTTGTTTTGTGATTTCTCTTATTGATTTCAATTTAATGAGTCAATTCTAATTAGCTGAAGTCTGTCGAAATTCTAAGCCTTATCCAACAGATGATCATATCAGAGAAGCCTTTCTCGATGGCATCAAATGGAGAATTTTCAGAGTATTTATATTAAAACATTTATCTTTTTTAGAAACAAATGGTCTCAAAGTTACAATTAGAATTAAAAACATGCAGCGAAGTTAGAGATCCAACAACCTTGCCCAAATTTCAATATCAAAAGGATCTTCGTCAATTTGCTCTCAAAACACTCTCTTATGATAAGTTGATGGACTCCTATTTGAATTCTAATGGGGAACCTGCTTAATAGTAGACTGGTAGCATAGTTTTCAATGAATTAAATAGCAAAAGTCCATAAAAGAAGGATAAACCATTCTTTACTAATGTAGATGAAGCAATTAGGAAACTAAAATAATCTTAAGGTGGCAATAGAAGCAAGAAACAAATCCTTCCAAAAATAAATCCGAAGGTTGGCTCGGATATATATAATATATTAGTAAAGAAATTAATATTAACTTCTTAAAAATAAAATTAAAATGAATCAAATTTCCCAAAACATCCTTGTTCAAAAACTTATTGATTACAAATTACGGTATTCATACTTTTCTATAGACAAATCTAGAAAGAACAAAAATAAGAGAAAAGCTAGTCCTTAGTATTCTCCACCAAAGATGCCCATATCATAAAGATAGACATCCTTTTCGAATGGACATGCATATTCGATTCATTAAAAATTGAAATCAATTCAAAGTTAACAGAAAGTATTCATTCCTCAGGCTATGCCACAGTCTCGGATTTGCTAGATCTCTTAAGCCAAATGTTTCGCATCATTCAATAGTATGAACAGCAGGCATGCCATCTTTGGTCCAAAAATCTCGAGATGTTGAAGCAAATCAAGATCCCAATCCTCCAGGAAAATGAAGACTTGAAGCTTGCTGTAGAAAACCTAAAATAGAATGATATTTAAAATAGCGTATATGGATAATTAAAAGAGTATGAATAAATTTAGAAGCCAAAACCTAAATTAATCGATTTGTAACACATCAATAGAGATTCAAACTTCTAAGAAGAATTTATGTCGAAAGTAAATGAATTTAGTTTATCATGGCGACAAGAAGTGCAATAGCTTAAGTAATTATGAAGATTTTGAATGTATTAAATATTCAAAATAAAAATATAATTAGTATCTTTTAATACGTTCATCTTACTAAATTTAGATTTAATTAAATTATTATTTAACATAATATAATAATTCTATAGAACTATTAAATCATGGATGTCATCTATCATATTTTACTCTGTTCATTCTCTTATCTTATTTAAATGGATATTCAAATATTTTTGCTAAAATTCAAAATAGCATTTGAATTGAATTAATAAATTGATATGAAATTTAATAAAATTTATAATAAAATTCCAAAATTATAGAATATGCTCATGATGATTTTTGAAAGACCCATTTTCTTGCAAACAGAAATGGGTCATTCTGATGTTATAAATTGTCCTCCAAAATTTCAATTACTATTTTAATTTCATTTGATTTTTTGACCATTTAATTGGCTAAACTTATTATGTACATTGTTAATAGTTTTCCTTAATCATCTAGATTAGAATTAAAAAATAATTAAAATGTTTTATCTAAATTTAAGTTGACGAGACATTGAATTTTTTGATAGTATTATTGAAGTTGACTTATCCAGTTATCTAATTAAGATTTTATTTTAAGAGGTGCAAATGTGTAGAATACTTTAGCTTTGATGGCCAATAACTTTCTTAATAAAAATTACATCTTTAATAAGAGATCATCATCCTGCTTAGGAAAATTCTATATTATTTATTCAATAAATTCACAAAATTCATAGGTAGGCTTCAATATTACTGGTAAATCAATTTCTTAATTCCTATTTTAGGAGAGAAGTTTTTATTTTGAAGATTTCTGAACTGAGCAATCAGTGCTAATTTACTCAATAAGTTCAATATTGATCTCTGAATCACTTTATTAATGAGAATATCTGAAAGGTTATTAGTTGAAATTTCCTCCAGTACTTTTACCTGGAACCTCATCCTCATAAGTAAATTAAGTAATTTCAAATTCTTTACCTCTCTTTTACGCTTACACTCTAACAAGATTGGCCAGAGTTTGATCATCAAAGGATAAAGGCTTATTATCAGATAAACGTTGTCGAACGTATTTTTTTCTGATTTCATTTGGTGACCTGAATCCTTTTGATTAAAGAGGAGAATTAACTTAAGTAGACACAGACTTTTGGGACAGTTTAACTAAGTGTGAAGCCTACTTAGACACAGATGACTAGGATGATTGATGTTCTTATAAAATTTAAAGAATCTATTAAATTGTTATTCTGTCTTCAGGTTCTAATTACAGCATACCTTCGAGTAATCGAACAATTAATTTAGAATTTATGATGTCGAGAGTTTGACAGTTTTCTTTTATTTCTTGCATAAGGGTTTAATCATTAAACTTGAATTTGGGAGCTGCTTTAAATAACATCTCGTGTAACATGATTCCTAAAGCCCAGACATCACTTTTTTCTGAATATTAATTGAGCAGATGAATTTCAGGTGCCATATACAGAGGAGTGCCAACATTATATCGTTTAAGTATGCTATCATATTAATTCTCAATAAGAGCGAAACCAAAATCAACAAGTTTAAAAATATCATTTTTTATTAACACATTAGCGGGCTTAATGTCTCTATGAATGATATCTAATTGGATAATAGTTATTTTGATACTTTTTTAATGTAAACCAAGGAGACCTTTGCAAATTTATGTCAGTATATCAATAACCTTCTCGGTTTTCATTGGTTCTTACTTTAGTAGTTCTTCCAAACTGGCACCTTCACAATATTCGCTCACTATATAGGTGTTATTCGCACTCTGACTTATCTCATAAACTCTTAGGAGATTAGGATTATCTATTTATAGCAGAATCTTGATTTCATTTGAAAGAAGGGATTTCTGGATTGGTGAATTATAGGTTTCTAAAGAGATGACTTTAATCGCCACAACTTAGTGAGTAGCCATGTGAATTCCCTTATAGACTTTGGATGAATATCCTTCTCCAATGATATCATTCATATCAAAACTGTAATCTCCAATTTATTTCCTAATGACTTCTTTGTTTTCATTCATTCTTATCAATTTTCCTGATTATTTAAGATTTTTCTGAATAAATTATTTAAGTAAAATAAACACATCTATATAAAACTCACAAAGTAAAAATAGATTAGGAAGAAGTCGATATCTTTTCACTTCAAGGAATACCCGCCCTTTTTAAACCAGCCCTATTAACAATGTAAAAATGAGAATTTAATGTTTTAAAAATTAATCCATTAAAAGTAGATGAATATCTGATTTATAAATGTTGGTAGAAAATTAACTTTTTAGTTAAGGTGAGTAAATGAGATTAATATTATTGTAGGGTATTAGAAGACAATATTAGAAGAGTATTTTTGGGATGAAGATTGGATAAAATATTAGTATTATTTGTATAGTTACTTTATTCAATAGAAAGTGCATTAGAGTGATGCATACTTAAATAGTGGATTGTTATTTCAATAAACCCTGAAATTCAAATAATAAATATTACTATGATAATAATTTGTAATTGTTTATAATAAAATTAATATTTATACCGTTAAAATTCTGATTTTTTATTAATGAATAGTTATGCAAAACAAATCTAAACATTCAATTCAGGAACATTTACAACGATGAATGAGTTTTAATTCATACAGAAACTAGGAACTGGTAGCTTTGGAAACGTGAATTTGTATATACATAAACCAACACAAAAAAAATATGCAATTAAAATTGTAGTTTTTAATGAAATTTTAGATGCCTGGAGATACAATAACAAATTAATATGAGAGTGAAGGGATAGAGAGAGAAATCAGGGTTCATAAAAAATGCAAAAATCCCAATATAGTTCATCTCTATGATTCATTTTATGAGAATGATACTATTTTTATGGTTCTTGAATACCTTGAAAACGGTAGCTTATCAATATTTATACTAGGCAATTTGTTTGCACACATTTAGAAGAATCCACCTATGAGTGAGTAGGAAGCATGTAAGTACTTTGTTTAAACATGTCTTGCATTATAATATATGCATTAAAATAATGTATTTCATAGAGATATCAAACCAGAAAACCTATTGTTGGATGAGAAATTCAACTTGAAAGTTTGTGATTTTGGTTGGTGTGCTGAGAATATAAATCAAAAGAGAAAGACCTTCTGTGGAACCTATGAATACATGGCACCTGAAATAGTGATGGAAGTGATGTACGATTACAAAATTGATTTATGGTCATTGGGAATATTGTTATTTGAGTTGTTACACAAATACGCACCATTCAAAGGAAAGGATTTTAAGGAAATTTCAGTTGCAATTAAATAATGTCAACCAAAAATCAAGCCATCGGTATCAAAAGAAGCTTGCTAATTAATATCTCAATTATTATCTCTGGATCCAAATCACAGACCTCCCATAAATTAAATTCTAGCATCTTCATTCGTAAAGAAATACAGCAACACTTTGAATTTAGTGGAGTTCCAAGAAAACATTCAACCGAGATCCCCACTTCGATCTTATCCCTCTACATAGTAATTGAAGTGTGGATCACCAAGAAGAAGAATCACAGAATATAATATGATATAGAAACCGGAAACAAGAGTGAGAATGGCCTCGCCCAAACCTATGGATTCTTAGAAGATTATACAGAAGATTTATGTGAGTCCTGCGAGAAGGATTTAACCGAAAGGAAGGGAGAATGTGGCAGTAAAGACAGGACCGATAGATGTGAGAGGAAGGGAAGCTACTAAAATTATATATATGAATTTATGTAATAATATTTCATGATTCAGAGAATCTCAAACAAAATTATAAAAATCATTAAAATATTTTGCTTAATTAAAGACGGAAGTCAGTATGAATTTACTTTAATCATTTAATGTTTTATAATGACGAGGAAGAAGAAGATTGGGGAGATAAAAATGAAAAAGATGCGGAGGATGAATTTTAAGACTTAAATCCAAGTGAACACAAAAAGAGAATTCCTAATAACAGACCAAAACTATAGCCAAAACCATAGAAGAAAAAGAAAGAGGTACAGGAATGTGAATTCGCTATTGATGATCCAATCAAAAGAAGATAATTAGCAAATTATTAGCATGTTCCTGTAAGACTAGAAGCAGGCGAGAAGATGAACATCAATGTCCAATATGATGATGGTTAGGTTAGGAAGTTTGGCCAATAAAGTACATTTGATATCCCTATAGATAGAGGCTTTTGAGGAGAAGTTGATTCCAATCTCAAAGAGTGGAACTTTCATTTACGAGGCATCAACAGGAAAGTTAGAAAGAAAGAATCCTGGAAGACCAAGAGAGGATACAAGATCCTTGTTTGATGATCCGAAACTGCAAAAGATGAGAAACAATTATGTGCCGAAACTTCTACAAAGAATCACTACTAACAATACTAAAGAAGTGGATGAAGAAGAAGGAGTCTAAGATCCTGGAGTTTCATGGAAACCAGTTAAAAGTGTACATGAAGTCCCAGAATCCTTTTATATGAGACAAGTCTTTGACAAATCAGCTAGTGGACCTAGGTCTATTGATAAGAGCAAGATTAAATCAGAATACGATGCTTTTAGATTGTTCTTCGATAATGACATCTATAATACAATTATCAAACATACAAGGGAGAGATATTAATAAAAGGTTGAAGAATAAATCTATTCGTATATTCATGGCATGGTTCATATGGGAATCAGAGCCAAGAAACCTACTTTAATGCAATGGGAATTCACGGAATATGAATTGGAAGCTTATTTTGCTGTTCAAATATTCTTTGGTATTGTTAGATTATCAAACTAAAGGGATTATTGGAAGTCTTCTGCAAGGTAGAAGCCTATAAAGAAGGCTGAGACTGGAAGAAGAAAGTTGAGAGAATTGGCCTAAGAAAAGATGGATCGTTATGCTCATTGGGTCACTCAAAGAATGAGTTCTATCGTCAGTTATGAAAAGTTTAAGACTATAAGAAATTGTTTGAATATCAGTGGGGCTGAGGCATTAAAATTGAAGGGCAGAGATCCCATCTGGAAAATCAGAGACTTTTTAAATCAAATGAATATGAGATTTGCTAAGTATTACTATCCTGGAGAATTCATCACTATTGATGAGGGTATGATTCCTTTTGCAGGAAAGGTTCAATTCAAAGTGTATAATCCAGATAAACCTACTAAATGGGGAATCAAAGAATATCTACTTTGTGATGCTTCCAACACTTACACATTCCAATTAAGGTTGTATCATGGTTAGACTATGTGGAATAACGATTTCAAATAGACTATGTTTGTAAATGAGGAGGACACTCAACACAGAACCATGGAGTTGGTGTTGCAGATGTGTAAGGATTATGAACACAAGGCACATAAGGTTGTTATGGATAACTATTACTCAAGTTGGATGCTCTTTAGAGAGTTGAGAAATAGAGGCATTGGAGCAGTGGGAACTATTAGACATAACAGAGTAAGATATTTATCATTATTCTTAGACTGGTTTAACTAAAAAAGATCTGACTTCCAAACATTTCCAACAGATTTATAATCAATATCATTATGCTTATTATTTGAATTAATCAAATGAACTTATGCTCATGTATTTCCAAGGAACAAGTGAAAAGGAAATTGCTTTGATTTCGAATTTCCTTGATAATTCTTTAAATGAACAACATATGTGGGATATTAGTAAATAACATTATTATGTCCCTCATTTAAAAGCTCCTTACATGATGTATGTTTACAATAAATACAAAGGAGGAGTTGATAGAAGAAATTCATATGTGGTCAAATACAGATCTCGATTTCCTGCTAAGAAGTGGTGGCAAAGTGTTTTTGAAAGACTCTTTGAAACAGCCATCTTGAATGCCTATTTGATCTTTCGAAGTTATAATCCTGAATCATCATATCGAAACAAAGGGTAAATGAGAGATTTCAGAATTAATCTCATGTATCAATTTGCTGAAAGATACAAATCCTATGAACATCAACAAGAGGAAAACGGAAAAAATAGATTTTCATACTTTGCTAAGATTCAACCTCACACCTTTATTGAAGGAGAAGAAATTGTTAAATGTTCTGAATGTGGAAATGAAACCAAAGTGTTTTGTCAAGAGTGTACAATTCTTAAGGCAGAAGTAGTGGGTCTATGTCATGAAAAGGATACCATTAAATGTCAAAGATTTCATGAATTTATGGACTTTGAACTTGATAAAAACAAAGAAGTCATTGATAAAAGAAAAGGCAAGGATCCATACAAGCCAAATTTCTTAGAGAAACTTAATTAAAGAACTAATGCTAAAGGCAATCAATCAAGTTAAAAGAAAGAAAGTCCTCTGGTCAACTTATTAAATAAGATTAATGATTAAATTAAATAAGAAGCCAGAGTTAAATAGGAAGTTAAAAGAGAAGATAACACTAATAAATAAACAACTTATATTATTCCAGAGGTGAAATCTGAAGATGAATCCTCAACAGATTCTGATATCTATATACAAAGAACTACAAATCAAAGATTAATTGAAATACATCAGAAAATTGAGTAAATGAGTATGTGTTCTGAAGAGTTTTTAAATGGCTCTGTGGCTAATAGCTAAGAAAACTTTGCAGAAAGAGACGAGAATGATTAATTTAATGATAATAATGGTAATGATGATAATCAATTTCAATTTCCTCAATAAAGGGCTTAACAAATAGATGATGATGATGAATAGAGAAATAGTAAAAATGAAGAATAATAGAAGGATTTTATTAAAAAAATGATGGAATTTGCTGATGATGAGGGTAGTGAAAATGAAGAAATTCAATATCCAGAAGATGAGGCAGATCATTTTTATCAATAATTATTACAATAAGAAGAATAGGCAATCAAATATTAATAGAAGAAATAACTGCAATAATAATTAGAAGAAGAATCTGAAAGATCAAATATTTCACATAAATCGAAAAAACAATAAAAATTAGAATAGAAGTTCATTGAAACAAGTATGAGAGGCATCAAACAATCATAAATTCAATCTAATAGTGAGATAGGATAAGATCTATAAAAGATTATATCCGCTTCTTAGGATTTGAATCAAATAAGTAAATAAATAACAGAGTCAAAAGGTGACAATTAAAATTCATAGTCTGATTAATGAAGTGTTTTTATCGATATAAATTTATATAATTATCATGACTTTTTTATTGAGTTGAGACATTTATTTCCGAATTATCCAGAGTTATAATGTAAATTTTTATAATCTAACATAGTTGAGAATACACTAGCAGTAAAGAGAGCAGACGAATTCATTTTACGATACATCTGCTCAACCTCTTTTTTAGTTTTATTCATTAATACTGATCTAGCACTTGATGATGTTTTTAACTAGATAATTCTAATTAATTACTGGCGTTTGAGAATCTTATGCATAATCACAATCTTTGAAATGCTTATCACTCATATACCCATTTAATTAACGAAATGTATCATTTTATTCATCTCTGATCTATGTTGGTTCTCTCTTTTCTAATTCTGATATTGGAGTTCCAAATAGATTTTATTTTCTTTGAGTTTTAGATTGTCTGTTCTGGGCCTTCTACAATTACAAATTCTATTCAGTCAATTTAGCAATCAATTGATCCTTCTCTTTTAATTGAGTTTGACTCTTTTTTAGTTCTCCTTATATAATAATTAGTCGTTTTGCGCAATTACAATGTTTATCACAATTTGCAGACGCATTAACCGAGAGTGTTTGGCCTAATTGCGATTAGTCGTGATCATTCAATAAATAATCAAATGACATTCTTGAACTACCCTTCCTTTCACAACTCTATGAACTTGTTAATAAGGAATCCAATTACTCCTTCAATTGTTTATTATCACTTTGCAATCTTAATATAGTATCTTTTAACTAAATTACTCATTTTTGCATACTTAAACTGCTTCTAACTTCAATTGAGTATTTTCATTTTAAAATAATGTATACAATTCTTGCTATTATTTAATGTCGAATTATTTGAACTCAATATTTTCATTCTGCTCTTGGATTTCATTTTATAATAGTTTCTTCTCCTTCTCAGAAATTTCCAATGCCTCTTTTAATTCTTCCACCTTATTCTATGACGAATAAAAAGCAGAGGCAATTTAATCATAGCTTAGTTCTTTAATTTTTATCTATCTCTTTAATTCTTGTATTTATGATTTAAGACTCTCAGTTGGATCGAATAGTTAAGAATGAAATAGTCTTTCTGTTTGTTCTGATTTTGGGATTACTGTTTTATATTAATAGTCGTCATAAATTGGTACTAACATTATAACCATATGATACCATTTTATTTTGCTTTATTTGCACAGGAAGTCTTAGAAATGGTTGTTCTATCAGGGATAAAATTGGTTGTGCTATTTTTTGGGTGCATAATTAAGTTAAGTTTTTAAGTTAATTATATTTTGAAAGTAAATCAAATTATAATAAATATATATATTTTTTGTATCTTTCTTCTCTAGTTAAATCTTATGCGACCACTTCGTTTATATTATATTTAAAAGTAAATTAAAATGTAAAATAATCATATCAATTTGTTAATTGTTGTACTAAAGTCTAATATAACTGATTTAAACATCTCATTGTAACCAAATTAGAAAATTCAATGTTTTATATTTTGGATCGAAATTTGTTCAAATCATTAGGTACTTTTATCAATCTATCATATCTAATGTTCTCCTGAGTCTGAATTAGATCAAATATTATTTCTTGCAACTCCTCTATCTAATAAAATGGAGTTATTTTATATTGTTCCTACAACTACCCTAATTATGGGAATATGTATTCTATCAGCATCCTCAAAAAGAATTAATGTTAATATTAAATCAACACAATAACTTATCTACTATTGTATTACAGCATAAATTATTGCATTTATATTTTCATTTTGTTAATAAGAGCTTGAATTGCCCCTTTCTCATCCCCTTTCCCCAATCTCATGTGCATTTCAGGACTAACTAAATCTTTCTGTTCCATAATCAGTATTTTAAACTTATCACTCAACAATATGCATTCGTAATCATCAAAAAAGTTTGAATCTATTTAAACACACAATAATTTCAAATTTTAGATGTTTATTTGTCTACTAAATCTCATATTGCTATTTTCATTTGTGAATATGATCCAATTATACTACTAAAACATATGTTGCTGCTAAAGAACTAATCGACTCTATGATGATTCACTCAACCAATCATTCACTATTGTACTAGCATGTAATGATTGTATTTTTGAAAATTATAAATTGTTGTTGTTGTTGACACTCATTTAATTGTTATTTGCATTAAACATTTTTGAATTGTACAAATTGCTGAATCCTAATGATCGACCAAAATCAACACTTCTATTTTAATAATTGAATAATTGCGACTAATTTATATCATTTCTATTAACACTTAAATTTGGATTTTAAATTTGTTTCCTAGAATTGTAACTATACTTATCAATTTCTCTACATCCCCCCTCACAACCTATCTTGTTAGCTGGTCTGTTTTAGACTAACATAGTTTTTTTGGCATTTGCTGGAGTGCAACTTGTTTGTGATTCTAACTCAAACGGTAATTCAAAGGAAGTATTCATATTTGAAATTCTGCTCATATGTGCTTGTAAATTAGGTAAGTAACTCGATTTGTTTTACAATTTAACATCTTGATTTTGATTTTGATATGGCATAGATTTTAACTATAAAATGTTTGATTGAAATGGGGTAAAATATTAGTCATTTCTTGAATAGCAGGACTCCTTGCTTTAATTTCTTGATCTTGCTGAGATTTTACTTATTTCCATTTATTATTTAGCAGTTGGTTTAATTAGAAATTGTCTTATCGAATTCACTTATTATTTAGGATTCTGTAAATTAGAATTTTTAAAAAAACCATCCAAAATCAAAGGTTAAGATTGTCTTGTTTTTGCATCTTCTATCAATTCTTACTTTTGCTATGCTTCCAAAAGTTCCCCATAATTTAATGCAGAGAAATGCAAATCTCCCATTTCATTATCAAAACAATTCTAAAGACTTTAATCCTTTAGATTTTAAAAGAGCTAATTCTTTTCTTCTAATTTTTTCAATATATTTCGTTACTGCATCATTATTTTTAATCTGATGTAGGCTTAATCCACATTTTTTGATTTAAATATTGGTTTAAGGAGAGTTTAAATTTCTTCTTGATAGATTTGAGCATGATTTTTTTAACTTATTGAAATCATTTGATCTATTGCAATTATTTATATGGGTGACTTCTTTTGAAAATTAAAACTTTGCTAAATCTAACTAATAAAAGTGTTTATTATAGTTTTTCTAAGTAAATCAAGGGCAAAAGTGAAATCATCAAGCTCAGTTAGCAATGTATATTTTAGAATCAACGATTTATATTAATCGTATAAATTTTTAACTTTTAATAAATATGACTGATTTTGAGTTCTATAATTTTACTAAATTTTAGCTAAAGTAAATCACAGTATTTTACATGAGATATGTTGTAATCTTATCTAATCTACATTATTTTAAGGAATCATCTGTGCTTGAAATTTTTATAATTTGCTTAACTATTTTTTGGTTCCTTTTTTTTTCACTTCTTATTTTTTTTTATCTCTCTTTGAACTATCGATAACAATAATCTTAATGTCTTTGCTCTAAATAGGGGAAGCTTTTTTTTAGGGCTTTCTTTTTTTAGGTTTAGGAGTCATCGATATTATCTTAAATGGTTAAATAAAATTGTGAATAATTTTATAGTTGATTTTACGTGAAAATATTTACTCATTAATAAACCATTATAAAAATTAAAAGTCTCAGAAAAGTTCGATTACTTCATATATGATAATTAATTAAGTTCAATTTTTGTTTATATCTTGTATATTAATTGAATTTATGATTGTTCTTTATTAATATACAAGAAAATATAAGTTTCCTGAAATATAGATATATTTTATGAAAAGGGATTACAAATCTATAATATTAAGGTTTATTTTTATATTTACACTGTTATTGGCTGATTTCAAATAAAGAGGAAAGACAATAAAATAACAATTCCCTTATCAATAATAATGATAATTTATAAAAGATCTAAATTATTGAATAAGATACTAAATTTAACAGAAATTCAATTTGTTTCGACATTACTTTAAAATTTAGATTTTATTTTATGTTCTCTAATTTTATTCATGAACTTTATTTTTAGATAATTTTTTATGAAAAAGCCCTTTTTTTAATGAGGACTAATTTGTTGGCTTAATTTGTTGGGTAGTATATTGCTTTCATCAATCTTTTAAATTGATCGAAGTCTATTGTTTCTCTTAAATTCGATTCCGATTTTTTTTTACCTATGGATGGAGTTAATTATGAATGAGTGTTTTTCATTAAATTCATCACTTATTTTGTAAGATTATGATAATGAACATAAGAGGGAGACGGCTATTTACAATATGATTTCGCCTACTCGTCATTTTCCTCTACAATTGTTTAGATTCCTAAATATTCAGGTAATTCAGAAGTTTACAAAGTTGAACCATTCGAGAATGTCTTTCGTTTTTATTGTTTCTGTTAAAATAACTCTTATGTTATCAACATTTACATTTAATATCATCAATTTATGTCAAACTAGATACTTTTATGCCTTTTCGTTAAGGTATTCTTAAAGGATTGATTGGCAAATAAGACTTTAGATGCACAAAGGACGAGATTTGATTTTCATATAAGGTGTCTTAACTTTTCTTATTTTAAAAGGTTTAAATGGGAGTCAACATTTTTTTGAGATGAGATGAAGAGATGTTGTTATTTTTCATTAAAATTATTATGTTATTAATCTATAACCAATCCGGGATCCCAATCGAAATCCTAAACAAAAAGACATATAGTGTTATTGAACTATTCATCATTAATATATATCATTTAATTCACTTTTCTAAGGAAATGTAAACTAAGCTTAAAGATATGTCTACAGATCCTTATCCATCAACATCCCAAAACTTCTTGGTTTCATTTCCTAACTATTTTGTAGCCTTGTCAACATCAGCCCAAGATTCAGGAGGATAATTATTCTCTAAGATTTTGTCAATCATGAGTATATCCAATTTCTCCCATAATCCAGTGCTTGCAATCAGAAGATATCCTGACTTAGGAATTTTAAATTCCAAAAAGTCAGGATCAGCTGAAATTCCAATAGATTTTCCAATCTAATTTCCAAAGCATCTTGTTATCTTGATACCAGGATAATTTTATTTTGGAACCCAAACTTTCAAACTGCCTTCCTTTTATCCTTTGAAAATAGCCTAATCTATTTTCCCTCCCTTTCTTATTATCCTATCAACTTCCTTTCCACTATTTGTGTCATGTATTGAATTTAAATTTATTTAAACAAATTTTCTTATTTCTTTTGGATTATCATTTTATTGATCTGATTTAAAGTAATAGGCAGCCTTTGAGTCTCCCAAATTTGAACAATAGATCATGTTGTTAACGATAATTAAACTGAGCAGTGAGGCTCCACTTAATCTAGTATCAATTAAAGTCTACCCGATCTAAAATACAATAAAAACAATCATATACTATTTTTTATTCAATCTGCTAATATATTTTCTTCAAATTATCTTTTAAGGTTAGACTCAGTGCTAATAAGGGGACTGAAGCAAACAATTTTTTTAATTCTTCTATATAAAATTCTGTAATTAAAGAAGAAATTTAGGATCCAAACTCTCCATGTCCATCACTCAATGATCCAACAAAGAATTCAATACTTTATGACTTATTGATCTCTAGACTTAAGGAATCTCCGTTTTTAATAAGATTTCGGAGTGCATCCAAGCCATCAAGTTATCTGTCATATTATTGTATACTTACATACTACTTTGGTATTTGACATAATTCTTTATTTATTCTTTAATGGACATTCGTTAGATAGAAGTTCTCTTGGAAGTTATTCTAATATTAGCATTAGAGGCTCGATATGTACTAATTATGTTTTATAATTTTTAAGCCCCTTATGGGGAAACTTCTACCCTTTATGTAATTGGAATATCTGGAAGTGTTTTCAGTTACCTGCCTATTGAAACAGGTTTTAACTAAAACTGGCTTTTTTTAGCAGGTTAGTATCCCAACTTACGCATTTATTCTTATAGTCTTCTTTATTAAGCACTCATAAGTAAATATTAAATATATTAATATAGATATTCAATTTATTTAGATTTAAATCCCAATTTTTTTGAGATTAAACTAAATAGAGTGTATATTGATCATACTTGTTAAAGTTCAATAAGTTAGATACTATTATTGGTCTTTTTTTATTAAAAATATATTTAAATTGTGATCCATAGATTTAAATTTGTCACAAATTATTTTATAATTGAATTTTTATTAATTTAGATTTATGAATATGCTGTTATATGAACTTTCTTACTACAGAAATTTAAAGTAATATTCATAAAAAAGAATAATGTTCTCTTTTGAAATTCATGAGGTTTTACATTAATAACTTTATTCATCCACGAGTTAAGCTTTATATTGAGATACAAAAAATTGTACCCTATGTAAGTGTCCTATTTTTATAATTTTAATTAAACAAAAACAGGGTATGAATGAAAATCTGTCTTTTTAAAGATATCCTATTTATAATTAAAATAGTTCTCTAATGATTTCATCCAAAAGACTAGTTGCTAAAAATAATCAAGGTTCAGTGTTTTAGTAGAATAACTCTATTTAGAATATAACAAATAAGTAGTTTATTTTTCTGTAAATTTAAAGTTGTAAATTTCTCTGATATTTAGTCATATTAATTTAAACAAATTAGCTGAAAATTCATCATAAACTTTATTTCTATAATATATTACTCACTTCTATTTTAAACTGAAAAATATTGGAGGAATTGAGCGAATATTTTTAAATATTCATATAATAGTGAGATGAGAATCTATTGGAATGTGATAACTATTTTTGGATTGAGAAATGAATTATAATTACAAGATATAGTTATAAATGAAAATGTGATATTAATAATAAAAAATTAATATGGATATCACATTTAACTAACTTGATGTTTTGCAGAAAATAATGGTTGAACGAGGTGAAGATATTAGATTACTCAATGCCATTAACTAGTAGGTGCTTGCAAATCAAATGTTTTTCGATTTGGAATTTACGAAAGTTTAATAATCTTTGAGATAACTTGGATTCAAAATAATAGGATTGAAGAAGAACGATAAATAAAGAATTGAGGAGGAGAACAAGATTATTGAGGCATTGTCGAAAATCCTAATGGTGAATTTACCCGAAAGGATGTAAATATATAGATTTAGTTAAACAATAATAAAACAATTCAGACCTGAAATGCACATCATAAGATTCAATTAGAAGGATACAAAAGATTTATTTTCAATGTTTAAGTAATTCTTTATGGCTGAAAATAATTTCGATGGCATACATTTTGTACAATCGAACTAAGAATCTGATTTTAAGGTAACCGATCAAACCAAAACAGATGTCCACCGCGATCGTATTGATCAAGTTTCTAGTGAGTAGATCAAGGGAAGAATTCCAACTGTTAATTCAATCAGCTTCGACCTCTGTCATTGGGAAAATGAAGCAGTAACTAGAAAAGAAGACAGATGATACAACCAATGACAGTAAGGTGGAGAAGACTGAACCAGAAGAAAGGAAACCGAAGCTGCTTTTAAGAAAGAAAGTGATCATTGTTAGAGAAAACACGTAACAATAAATGAAATAGCCAGAAATTATAAATCGCAGTGTCTCAGTTACTGATAAATTAGTACTGTATTCGCAGCCTTAAGAATCCAATCTAAATCCTGAGAAAGAGTTGAAATATCAATTAAGATTGTAATAGAGGAAGTTGAGAAAGGATCTAAAAAACATCTATCAGCCAATGATCGATTTGGACAATGATCATATGTGGTGTTCTCATGCGGTTCTAAAGAAGAAGTTTTTGAAATACCCTGAAAAATATTGTATTTAGCAAATTATAATTTTAGTTTTAAAAAGAGGAGCCTTTTACATTTGGAAATTATTAAACAATAATAATTCCGACATAAGAATAACGATTATGAATTTTGCATATAGAAGAGCCAAATTGGTAATAGTTGACAAAATCCTTTAAGAATAAATATAGGAACTCCACAAACATTACAATACTACTGGCTAAATTCCAAGATAATCATTGCCTTTGTTGGTTTCCTGTCAACAAACCCCCAAAATTATGAAACCTCAAATTCGACTCCAATAACAATTACAGGTTCCTAATATGAGTCAATTGCCTATTTTGAGAAGTTAACACTAGTAGATAAAATCAATGGAATTTTATGAAGTAACAACTAAAGATCAAAGAGCACATAAATCAAATAAATCATTAAATCTTACTTAAGAGTAGGCAAAAATATAGCAAAAGATAAAATTATAAAGTTCAAAAGACTTAATTTGATCACTATATTACACATATATTTTATATATAAATTATGAATTAAACATTTACAGCAGAAATTAAATTAAAGAGTTCAAAAGAAAGAGGTTATTTTGATCAATTAGTAGATGCTGTTGTTAGGCCACCTAGATAGATATATGATCCATCAAAATTAGGTATAATACAAAAGTCATTATAAAATAGGTGCAACAACCGTACTAATAAATAAACTACTTATTTACAGAGAGGATTTTGTTGTTTAGTCAAGATAATAAAACTTAAAATTACAAGGTTCTTTATATAGTCCTGTTTATTTAAAAGGTAAAGCAAGTCCATGCATTATTTATTTGCATGGTAATTCAAGTTCCAGATTGGAATCTTCATGTTATGCTAATATGTTAGCCTAAGAAGGCATGAGTTTAGTTAACTTTGATTTTGGAGGGTGTGGGATATCAGATGGATAATACGTTTCCCTTGGATGGTACGAAAAAGAGGACTTTTTAAATATTCTAAATTATATCAAAACTAAGTATTAAATTTCTACTAAAAGATACCCATAATTAGGACCATTTGGAGTTTGGGGTAGAAGTATGGGAGCAGTAACAGCTATCATGGCTGCAGCTGAAAATCCTGAGTTAAGCACTCTAGTGTTAGATTCTCCATTTAGTAATCTAAAGCAACTTTGCATTGATATTGGCGATAGTTTTCATGTTCCAACAATTGGTGTTAGATTTGTCTTTTATTTATTGAGAAAAAAGGTAAGGAAAATAGTTAGATATGATCCAAAACATATTAATACTATACAGTATATTAAAAAGTTATCTACCAAATGTTCTGCTTATTTTGTTAGAGCGAGCAGTGACAAAATGATTGGAAAAAATCACGTTGAAAACTTGTATGATGCTTTCAAGGGAGAAAAATATATATTTACTTTTCTAGGTGATCATAATGCTCCAAGACCTACAGAAGCGTATTAAGGGATTATTAGGTATTTTTATTATATATAAGCCTATATTAAAAGGTTTTTTGCAACTAGATTAATTAAAAGTACTGAGATTTAAAAAATGAGTTTATCTAGAAAAAGTTCTGGAAAATCACACAAAATAGAAAAAGGGTACAAATCCCAAAGATCCTATGAGTCTGATGTGAACTATGACGAATCTGATGATGAAAATGCTAAGAAATTAAATAATGAACAATACATAACAGAAATGAAAAAACCACAATTATTAAACGTCTTTTTATCTGATTCTGACATTGATAGTTAACATTCACTTGATGAGGACTTGAAAGATCATGACCTTCCACAATTTTAAGATATTAAAACTAAATTAAGTTGATTAAATTATTCTATATTATAAAAATTAATTTTTAATTTTTTTTGTTATTATGGTAGCTAATACAAATGGAATAGTGAGTTGTTGCCAAGATTTTGGAGTCTATTGCATCACGTAATTAGAGATTAAATATCAAAAGTTTGTGTATCTCTGAAGTTATTGCATTGGCAGTCTTAGCAGTTGGGATTTGTTAATTTATTAGAAGAAAGAAAACTTATAAATAGGCTAAAAAAAGAAAAAACATTATCTATATTTTAATTATCTTGTGCTTAACTTGTAACATAAAACATAAAATGTAGGCAATATTATATTTAATTTGGCATAAAAAACAATGTTGGTTTTTTACTTTTTTTAATTATATGTCTATTATGCATTTTTAATCTATATTGTATTTTATTTTGCTCGTAAAACTTTAAGTGTTAGAACTTTTAAACCTTATCAGATTTTATAATTGAAGATTTATTGCATCTGCTTGATTTCACTATTCACTATATTTTTGATATGGAATTTGTATGATTACATAACTAGTTTATCCTAATCCTATTCGCTTTGTCAAAGTATATGTAATCAAATAAATTTTAAGAATAGATATTTCATATTATCAGAATGATTGGATTTATAGTGAATCTAGTTTTGATTGCAGTTGCCCGTTCTTTGAATCTAAGCATTAAAAGGAATCTAGAATTAAAGTCAACCATACTGAAAAACTTTGTCAATTTTGAAGAAAACTGTAAGAAAATTAATCGATAAAGAATAAACTTTTGGTATGATCATGTGCTATAAGGATCCTTGTCTATGTTACATTCTTTGGTTAATTGCTCTACTTCATCGAGGATATATACTTCTTAGTTCAAGGGCCAACGGAGACTTGCCATCTATATCTAGATGTATTTATTAAAACTATAATCCATATAGATAATTCAAAGTGAAGCTCGAATATTTCAATACTGCTTGCTATTATTAGTTGTATTAATCCAAGTTCAACTCCCTTTTTCTGTAACAATTTACGCATTTTGGTTCCAAAAACCAGTCATAAAACAAGAATCTGATGTATTCTATAAAATATTTTAGTCGATTGAATTTGAAGAAGATTACTTTAAAACCATAAAATTATAAGAAAAACCCAATTCCCATTCCTCTGAATAAATTACAACATTAAAAGAATGAAATAAAGCATATTTAACAAATATACATATTAAAATCAATTAAATATAGAATAATTAACAAATATTAACTAGTATAGTTTCAATTTCCTATAATTCTTTAATTGATAAGAATTATGAAATATCTTGGAGACTATTCTATATATAATTTATAAGTTGACAATAATAATAAAAATATATATGAGAGAAATAATATTACTTTTTAGGAATTTGGATTAGTAACGATAAAGAAAATATAGAATGAAATTGATTTTTTGAAGTTTTTAATCAATTTTCTTGATATGTGAACGTGTTCAAGCTTCTTCCAATGCATTATACTATATTATCTTAATGAAGAGTCAATAAAAAAATAATCAAGAATTATATAATTTTTATTCAATAATATGGGGTTATGCATTTCTACAAAAGAAGGCGAACAACAAATGAATGAGGAATTGATGAAAGCACCAACGGCTACATTTGAACAGATAGAGGAGACTGGGGAATAGGTTTTTATTGACGATAAGAGTGACGCAATTGTAAAACTGGCTGATTTTCAATTTGAAAAAGTCTTGGGAAGAGGATCATTTGGAAAGGTGATGTTGGTGACACATAAGGAAACGAATAAACTATATGCTATGAAAATATTACGAAAAGAGATGATTGAAAAGAGAAATTAGAGATTACATACGTAGAATGAAAGAGCCATTCTTGAAAATGTTAAGAACCCTTTCATAGTATAATTACACTATGCATTCTAAACAAGAACTAAGCTATATCTAATTATGGATTTTCTGATTGGAGGTATTTTTGTTTTGTAATTAATTAAGGGGAATTGTTTTTTCACTTAAGAAGAGCTTTTCGTTTTTAAGAAGAAAGAGCAAAATTTTATGCAGCAGAATTAATTCTGGCAATAGAATACTTGCATAAATGCGATATCATATACAGAGATCTAAAACCTGAAAATATTTTATTAGATATGGAAGGACATTTGAAAATAACTGATTTTGGATTATCTAAAATCAACGTTAAGGATGATGAAAAAACAAATACATTTTGTGGAACACCTGAGTATTTGGCACCTGAAATTTTATTAGGCGGAGGACACAACAAATGTGTAGATTGGTGGAGTTTGGGTGCCTTACTTTACGAAATGCTTGCAGGTGCTCCACCTTTTTATTCGAAGGATAAAACATAAATGTTTAAAAATAGACTTGAGAAACCAATAGAAATGAAGGATTGGTTTTCAAGTGCTGCTAGATCGATATTGAATGGACTCTTATAGAATGATGTATATTTTTTAAATTTAATCAGCCTACCAAAAGATTGGGAGTAAATGGAAGTTAAGAGATCAAAGATCATGAATTCTTTAGAGAAATTGATTGGGAGAAATTACACAACAAATAAATTCAACCACCATTTAAACCTAAAGTTTTTGGTCATAAAGATTTGAGGCATTTTGATGATATGTTTACAAAAGAACCTCCATAGGATACACCAATAAATAAAATGCAGAATTACGAAACTTATGAATAGTTTACTTTTATAAAGACAAATGATCTTAAGAATTCTAATTAAGATGAGGAGAAATTCATTGAAGTGAATAAAAACTTTATATTATAAAAAAATTGAACTAAATCAGAATTATTAATAATGGGATTGTCCAAATTTGAAATCAGAGTTATATTCTGGAGTAAATGGACGATTTAAATCTGTATATTTTTTAAGTTGATTTGCATAATAACCTTCTTATGCAAATGTAGTGACACTATTCTTAAATGGTTATTCCAAACTATCTTCAAATTACTAATCATTCTACTTTATAATAAAAATGAATTACTCTCTAATTATTTGATTCGCCTTTAAGTTCACTTAGGCTTCGTTTGTTAAAATTATTGGCAGTTATAATTTTCTTTTGACTTTCCTCAATGATCTCTTCTGCTTTTTATTCAACTGCAATTTCAATATTTTCTTCAATTTCATCATCTTTTTATTTCTATTCATTAAAAGTAGTAAACTTTTGGGTTTTTAAATAGTATTCTTAATTCATTTGTTCCTACAAAGGTGGTTTACGAGGAAAGGAATGAGCAATTCTTTAATTACTCTAAATTTTCTTGTTGTTTGATAAATCCCTATGTTTTTAGACAGACTTGTCATTCCTTCTCACACTGTCAGTTTGTTGATTGGGTTTATTATTTCTAACTGACAGTTTAGTGCTCATGTCAAATTCATTTTAAGAAATGTCTTATTGATTGGATTTAGAACTAGAAGTAATGATCAGTTATTATTATTATTGTGATAGTTATTGTGGTTGTGAGGTCTTTTTTTTGGGTGTGGGATGATCATCATAAACAATATTTGCTCTAGTTATTTTCTCCTAAGTCAATTTTTATTATTTTTAACTTTACTAACTTTGTGATTGTTATGAAAAACCAGTAGTTTTTTTAGATGTTATCCTTAAATAATAAATGGCATAAGGTACTTCATTTGACAACTGTCTTGAGAAGCCTCCAAATTATTGTCTTGGTATTAGATAATTAGGTTTTAATGTTCAATTCCAATAGGAAAGCCATGCTTCCCCATTATGGAGCTAAAATAATATGAAGCAACATACCCATCAGGATCTGCCTATTTCATTGTAAAAATCTTTCTTAATTTGCATGGGGATTAAATAACAAATAGATCAAGTGATCTAAATGTCATTCCTTTCCAACCTTAAATAAAAGAGAAGAGATCAATTTAAAGGTTTAGCCAAATGTTTTTTGGTACTTCTATTGGATATCTTATGTGGAATGGCTTTTTCTCGATTTATTTACAGTTCTATGTCAAATAAACATGACGCTTGGTTTTCGAGGTATCAGTAATTGAGAACTCAATAGTCCATTATTATGTCATTGGAACATAGATTTAGAGACATAAAAACTATTGGACCAAGCCTAGATCTCCTTCTCTTGGAAAATGGGCTTTTGTGTTCTGTCCTTGCAATTCAATAATGTAGTCTATGGTTATTAGGAATCGTTAATACTCTTTAATTATTTATCGAAATCTTTAACAAAACTATTGGTAGTAATTTTTAGTAGCTGTTAGTAATGCTTCTCTTTTTCTTTGTTGGCTTTATTAAGTATATCTAAATGATTAAGAGAAATACCTTTGGAATCAAATATCTCAAACAACGGTGTATTCTAAAACTAATTTTAAAACATTTTATATATAAATATTTAAAATTATCAATATTGCTTGTACTATTTTAAGGATTCTTGTAGCATTTATTTGGTAGTTTCTGCTTGCATGAGTAGTTACTAGACGAATTGTAAATTATTATTAATAGATTTATATTGTTCTAATTCAACTTTTAACTTGTCATTCTCCTATTATAATTGTATCTCTCTTTCATTGGGTATTTGATTATTATATTTGGATAGTTCTTGCATTTTGATGGTGAACTCCTTATTCAGATTATAAACTTAATTTAAGAGGTTGCTGATGATATTGAGTTGATTTTGATTTTAATATTGTAATTCTAGTTTGTCATTGTATAATTATTTTAACTTATCCAATAGATTAATAATCTGGTTTACTAAATCATACTCTATATTTTTGGGGAGCAATTATTGTCTTTTGATCATGATTTGCTTTTCCTCATCTAGGGATTAGATGATCATGTTTAATTTTAGGTTGTCCTCCGATTTAAATTGAGTATTGAGATACTCAGATGCTATCTGTCTAATAAAGTTTTCTTTGTCATTGTGTTATTTTTTTATTGGTGCTTGATCTAGCTGTTTGTAATAGTTGTAGTGTTTTTTGAGGGTTTCAATCTTGTCCAATTCATTGTAGCCATCACATAATTACTCCAATTGCGGAATCATTTTATATATTAATAAAAATTCCATAAAATGTTATTTAACTTACCTCTGAAATAGACAAGACAAGTCGATTTACTCAAGCCTGTTGAGTAGGCCATCCTGAACTGCTATGGAGAAGCCAAGCTCTTTACAGAAGTAATCATAATTTCCATAAATTGCAGATTAGGGATGTAGTCGAGAAGACATAAAAACTGAGATAACACTTGGATTACGAGAAAATCAACTTAAGCATCGCCACTGATCCTCTAACATCAGAAAATCTAGAGAACAACCTGATTGAATACCTTAAACACTTTTCTTTACTATTCAAACATTTAAGATTCGAACAAGGAGACCAAAGATCCCCTTAAGTAATGTTCTATTGGAGTGACAGCTATGATCATGTATTTATATATTGTTCCACAATTTCTAGAAAAGAAGCTGCCAATTAAATTAGGGCAGATTAGAATTGATATCCTAATACTACAATCTGGCAATCTCTTACTATTATCAAGCCAATAGCAAGATGATAAAGGATACTGACCCTGATCGTAAGGCTGCATACACAAAATTGAGAAATGGATTATGGGCTTTTGACTAATTAAAACAACATATTCATGGACTATCTAAAGATTCAATTTCCTAGTTATATGATATTACAACATTGAATCTAGAATTCTTAGAACATGCTGTAATACTCAATCTCTAAATTAGTACTGCGGACTTTCATACAAGGCCCTCTATCAGAATATGATGTCACAAGTAAAAACTTTTGGATTGAATATTGTTTGTGGTACAATTTTTGAGGCAGCCAAAGAATTCACCATATCCCTCAAGGCCGTTGAAGCAATGAATTCCCAATACTAAAAACAAGTTGGAAAAGTACTATCAGTTTTAAATAATCTTAGAACTTTCTTGCATAAATCTTGCCTATGATTTAATTTAACTAAATTTGGGCAACCGTCACTGGATGTATTTAGATGGGCGTATATCATTATGGAAGAATACCAGATGACTCCAGAGGTTAGAATATGGGAAAGGCCTTAGGCTTTTTAATTAGAGCACAATAGTTGTTATAACCAGTAGTTAACGACAAGAATTCCAGTAAAACATACTCACCAGATTAACTTGATCAATTGAAATAATTGAACCAACAATTGACTCAATTGTCTACAGAATATAATTACAAGAACTAACAGATATATAAGGAATAAATAGTAGCTTAGGATTTGTTACCATATCCTCCTTTAATGGAATAAATTAGAATCAAACCTCTTGAACCAGTTAATTTCAAGGAATCTGTTTAAGGAGCAAACAAATTTTCAGGCTTTGTTTCAGAAGAAGCTTTATAATTGTCTAGAGAGATTAAGATGTTTGTAGAATAAACAAAATACTCTCTCGAAGAATCACTAAGGTAGTTATTTAGTCAAAAAAATCAAGCCTATGCAGAGGCCTTTCTAACTTACTTTATCGATATGGCACAATAAAAACAACTTGTTTCTGGAGGCATCCCTTAGAGTATCTAAGATAAAATAGCCTATATCAGAAGCAGAGGATGTTTGAGTGGAATAGAAAAGATAGTAGAATAAGGAAAATAAAAATCCATCATTTGCAACTAATTGCTAGGATAAATTGAGTAGGAATTACTGAATGAATAACAATAAGATTAACAGAATAGAAATAAATATGGTGCTAAATGGGCAAGAACTCCCTCAAGCTAATTGAATTAACAATATTTCAACTCTCTTAAGGATCTCAAGGCTAAATACTTATAAGCATAAGGAATTGATTTTAATGTGATGAGTGGTTTTGAGAATTCCAAAGAAGCTATCATACTTGCTGCTTAAAATGACAACTAAATTATTGAAAAATTGCCAAAAGATAATAACAATTCTGATTTTGTGAATCAAAATGCTTAAACTTTTGCGCAATTAACATCCTTAGATCAAAAAGTCAACACTATTATCGATTAATTAAAGGCTACCATTTAAGAGTACACTTAAATCATACAAGAAACTAATTTCACTAAGATTGCCGTTAATGGAATTAATGATGGATTACCAAAAGAGTAAGTATTTACTATCGCCCTTTAAACTGTGTCAGCCCTTATTGAAAACTTTAACAATAATGTAAACATTTGATTAATCTTAAGATGAATTCAGTCTCAGAAGTGATCACTCAAATTTGTGGGATCGCCAAACAACTCTCTAACCTAAAGAAGCAATCAGTTGAATAAGTCCAATAATCCGGATAGACCAATATCTTTGCCAACGCTTAATCTGCTATTGATAATATTGATCATTCAGTGGTCTTCTACGAGTACAATTAACTATATATCTAGGCAATTAAAAATGCATTTGGAAGATCAAGACAGAAAGGTGAAGGATTTCTTAATGGCCAGAAATATTGAATCAGAATAACTAATTTAATAATTGAATTAACAATAAACATACTAGCAATCCTAACAAAATCAAGCATAATATCAGCAACCTCAATAGCCACAGTAGTAAGCAGGATATTAATATCCAGTCTATCCCTAATATCCTCAATAGCCACAATAGCCTAACCCTCAATATCCATAATAGCCAAATCCTAATTATCCTTAAGGATATCCACCTCAATAGTATCCATAATAGCAATAACCCTATGTCTAATACCCATAATAAAATTAAGGAGCATGGGGTTAACAGTACAAAAAATGATATAATTTACATAATTATAGTTGTTGTAATAATTTCTTAAGTCATTCTCACAATTAATCTAGCTTCACTTGCAAATCGGTTAATTTTCTCGTAATAATATTTAAAATGAAAATCTTGGCTATTATTTATGTTTATTAATTAATAATTTATTCAACATGTCTTCAGGAGAGCTTCCATAGGAAAAGAAAACTTTATTTTCAACTTTAGTTCAGAAGAAACAGGCAGAAACTGATGCATAGAAGATATAGAATAGGATTCTATAATTGAAAATGGAATAGGAGAAAGTGTTAAAGCACATTCAATAGGATGAACAAAGAGCAGAGGAAATTTATAGACATAGAGTAGAGATCTAAATGAAGGTAACATTCACTTCAAATAACATGCATAGAAAGAAAATAAAATGAAATAGAAATAAGCATAACCACCTCCATTCTCATTGGCTGTTTCTCATCATCAAAGAGAATTGTTGAAGAAAATAAAAGACGATGAATTGTAAAGAAAGAAGTCAGAAGCCAAAATTTTCAGAGACTAATTAAAGTAGGATTTTAAGGGTGTTTAATTATAAAAAAGCTTGGAACAAGAAGGTTATCGTATAAAAGCAATCTAAGTGAAGGAGGAAGAGAGGTAGTCTACTTAATTGGCTGTTGCGAAATTGAAGTAGAAGAGAGAGAGAGTAAGATATGAAATAGAGAACGAAAAAGATAGAGTGGAGAGGGAAAAGGAGTTATATGATTTAAAAATCTAAGAATTGGAATAAATTGAGCAATTAGCTATGATGGAACTATAAAATTCGTTAGCAAGATAGCAGAAGGTTTAAGAGAAGATTCAGTAAGCACAAAAATTGTCACCCAGCGATTATGAAAAATAATATTAAAGCATTTAGAAGGCAAGTGCCACATAATGATATTTATTAATATTTTAATATGCTTAACGAAAGTTTAGAATCTGACAAGGAGATCGATCCAGAAAAAGAAAGACAAAGATTAATGATCAAGAGATAGAAGTCAATAGAGGAGAGTCTCCAATTAAATGTCAAAGATCACATCATTAAATTAGAAGTAAAGAATTCTAATAACTCAGAATTACTTGGTTGAATTGAAAAAAGACTTAGAAAACAGCAAAAAAGAAATGGCGAATTTAAGAATGGAAATTTCGACTGTGAAGAATAATCACGGAACAATGAGTGATGATCTAAGTACATTTATACAAAATGATGTACAATTTATTAAAAACTCTAGGCAAAAAGACTTCTAAATGAAACTTACAAGAAATCTTAAGATGCATAACACGATAGTGAATTTTTAGATGCTTAATTAAATGTATTGAAAAGCGATAAAGACAAATTATTAGATGTTACAACTACATTGGAAAAAAGAATTGTGTCATGTGAAACAGATGTAGGATTTAAACATGTTTATGATTGAATATTAACATTATCACTTATTAATTTTGTTATTATTTCTTTATTTATAATCAAAAACTAAATAAAATTTATTCTCACAATATACCTCTTAAAATAATTTATATTAGATCAAAAAAATATAGTTTTTTTTGTTTGTTAAACACTATTGATAGGTGCAATATCCATAACACACTATTTAAACGATTTTTCAAAATATTCATCAAATTTCCCTTTGCAAACTTCGCTCCTTTCCAGAGAAGTCTTTACTTCATCAATAAAACATTATTTGTCACTTTATTTACACTTCCCAGATATATTTAGTCCTCTAATCTTCATGCAAGATAACATTGAGCAATCATACCAATCTATTTTGGCTCTCAAATCATCATACAGAAAGGTTAGCTAATATATTTAATTTTATCTTTACATCGTATTTCATTATCTATTGAAAATGAGCATAATCTCTAATTTTATTATAACAAACTAAAATCTTCTTTTCTGCCTATCTATAAAATGATATATCTGGATCACTCAAATCGCACAATTAAAATTAAACTATTTAATCTAGTTAAGATGTATGTTGATATTATCGAAATTGAGTTCTAAACAATCTATAATCTGGAGATTGCTCAAATTGTTCTAGATACTTTTTAGCATTTTTCTCCATTAATTACAAAGCATTTGAAATTGTTACTAGTCGTTTACGTTCAAAGAGTACTTTGGATTTTTGTAGTGCTTCTTCTGAATCAATTTAACCACTCATTAATATTAACTATTAATTAAAGGTTATATAAAATAAAAAAATGTCTAGAATTTGAACATAAATATTTCTAATGACATAGAGTTATAAATTGATATTAGTGTTGAATCTAATCCATCTAAAAATAGTTGATATTGTATTTATATTATTCCCTTTCATATTTGTTTATTATCAACTAGAACTGATATGTATCCTGCTTTTATAATTATTATTCACAATTAGAAAATTACTCTATGAACTATTGAAATTATAAGAACAATTCTTCTTCGAACATATTTTCAGATTAAATTTGATAGTTTGTCAAATAATTTATGTAATTCCTTATATCTGCATACTCTAGTAAGTCTAGCGACAAAGCTTGAACATTTAAATTGCATTTTCTTCTAATAGTTATTAATCTTTTGTTCACACCTATATTAATAAATATCTTTTGAAATTTATTTTATATCATTATATGGTCATATTTTTTAAATTCAATAGCAACTTTATTTAATGATTTCTTAAGTTTTGGCCTGTTACCCATCAAATTGAATTCTGCAATTTCATTATCCTTAATTATAATTCAACTAATTAATTTAAAATAATTGATGGCATCAATTTCTTATTTAAAAATTAAAGTGTTGAAATTGAAATCCAAAAGATGATAATTAAAAGGAAAGAGGCTGAATATCAGATAATTAGGATTACTTTAAACCTTAAATTTGATAAGATCTTTAACAAATTGAAGAAGAATTCTTTATTACATAAAATTAATTAAAATCAAGAATTGAACCATCTGTCTTACAAGATCTAGAATTTTATTTTGTTATTACTCTTAAAGTTGTTATCCTTTCGCTAGGCCTGATGGTTAACATTTGTGAAATTAATTTTTGACACTAAGAGGACACATTAGCTTTAAGATAGACCCCCTTTTTAATTTATCCATATAGGTCAGCATCATTAGATCCTTTAAAGGGAAAGTGTCCTGTTAATAGAACATACAATAAAACTCCCAAGGCCCAGACATCAACAGGTTTACCAAAGTAATCCTATTTATTGACTAATTCTGGAGCCATGTAACTATTTTAAAATGAAGTATTATTACCTTGGCGTTCCACAAAATACTCCTAACTTGCAATCTCTATTAACTAATACTGAAAATCCAAAATCAATCAATTTAATTTCATTATTATCTTTTAAAAGTATATTTTCAAGTTTAATATCCCTGTGTACTATATTCAAAGAATGACAATAATCCACTGCTTTTACAATTTATCTAAATAGTAGTTTTGCATCTCCTTCATCAAGTCTTCTATTTGGAAATTACTAATATTAGACTTAGGTCAAATATACTTTCAAATATGATCGCAGACTCTTAGAACCACCATATTCGACAACTAAATTAATATCCATTTATGTCTCTATAGTGTTGACATATTTAATGATATTTGGATGATCCAATAATTTAAGAATATGGATTTCTCTCTTCAATTACTGCCTCCTTTGCTGATTACATAATTTAGCTTTGGAGTATATCTTAATTGCAATTAGCCTATAATTCATAAGGGAGTGTACTTTTCTGTAAATTTATCTCTAGCCAATTTAACAGTTGCATAGGAACCTTGTCCAAGAATACTTAAAATTAAGTATCTATCTAAATTAGAAATTTGTTGTTGAATCAAGGAAGTCGTATTTACTTGTTGTTGGGAGTTAGAGCGCTTAGCCCTATTTATATTACATCATGAAAATTAGTACTTTAAACCACCCAGTGGCTAGGTCTTAAATTTCTATTCACATTATTAAGGAATATCAGTATCTAAATGTGTGATGCTCGATTTCTTTATTAAACCATCTGTGAAGGTTTCTAATTAATTTTTCGTTGATTAAAAGGTTATTCTTTAAGAACCCTGATTAGTCTTAAGTCTCTGATGATCTGATTTATTTTCTGGAGTAGCCACTGTAAAATATTAATTTGTAAATTTCATGCCAGTTTTAGGTCGAGATCGTAGAGTTCTTTAAGTTGGTGTTAAAATAAGTTAAGGAATGGGATTGATAGTTGTTTATTAATACAAATCTAAAATGGCTAACTCTTAAGTTGGCCTTCTGGTTGCAGTACTGCATCTAGTTGTAGGCCTCACTTTGAAACCACCTCCTTTCATAACAATATTAATATATAATTATATATTTGTTGAATCATTTTTATTTAGCATAGTTATCCAACATAAATTCTGCAAAATGAATGCTGGCTGGATTGGTTTCATCATAGATTACATCTTCTAAATATTGAGTTCCTTAATTAATGAGTTCTTCGGAATACACAAGTTCAGCATAATTTATCTTTAATATAGGCTTAGTTGGTAAGAGCCAATGATACCATGCTTAATCACCAAACACTTATTTAAAATTATTCATAAAGGATTGCTATCTACCAAATTTACCCTATCTTGATTCTACTACTGTTTAGTTATCTCTAATTGCTGAAATTTAATCCCACAGCATTTAGCTTACAAAAACAATAAAAAAGAAACTAAATAAAAGAATACTCAGAATTTAACATTTAGTAGTTGTTATTGTCATTAACATTGGTAAAATCTTTCGCTTTGATTTCATGCAATAATCATAAATTCCAATTGTATGAATGCTCAACGATGTTAAAATGTACAATAGTTGGTAAAGGAGAAATAGAACAAAGTATTTTTAATTCTAGGCTCCAATGCAGTTGTTTTCCCAATCACAATGATGATCCATTTTGAAAAAACACTTATTACATCTTTTACAATGATGTGCTCTAGGTGGCTTCCATGAATTGCATTTCTTACATTTTCGACCATACATCTCATGAACTAATTGCAATTTGATTGGCACACTTTTCTAATGAACTTCCCCAGGATCCGAAAAGGATGTTCTGAACTAACAGGTCGATAGTAATACCCAAAGACAAAAAGCAATTGCTCTCAAATAATATAGGATTGATAATTATGAATTTTCATAAAATGATGTTGTATATAGTCCCCACACATTTAAAACATGCTTTAATACTAATAGTATACAACCAAAGTACGAGGATATCACAGATTTTTACTTCTCTGTATTTTCTTCACTTTTCATATTTTTATTATTGAGCAAAAAAATAATTAAAGAAAGTTGAATTGTGTGAAGTACTAAATATTCGGAAAAATGTATACATTTTTGTATAATGATAAAATTTTGTTTATGTGTTTAATTCGAATTGCAAATTTATTATACAATTTGCTCGCGTAGGACACATAGTTTGATTTTGGGATGAAATCAAGTCAGCCATGCACTCATCACAAGAGCTGGCATCCGACAGACGATCTCTCCCTAATAATTTTATACAGTACTAACTTATAATTAGTTATTTATGAAAAAAATAAATTTATGGGATGATAATAAATAAATCTATAGATGATTGATAAAGATCTCAATCCAAGGTAATCAAATTAATCTCTAAAAATAGTTGTGAATTTAAACATTGTCGGTCTTTCTTTTAATTGAATTATACTCAAATGAAATGGAATTCTACTTCTCTGCCCTTTGAATTTGCCTCCTATCAACACAGAGACCTAGTAAGAATGAAGGAAGGTGACTCATTCAAAAACAGAGATTTAAGGGTTTATGACAATTTCCTAGTCTACGAAGATCAAGTAAGGTTTCAATACAAAATAGAATCGATCCTATTGGTTAGACTACGAAAATTGCATTATAGATTAAATACAAGATCAAAAGGGGATACGTCTCATTAAATGTTTCGATTCAGTCGAATTTTATTGTGACACTCAGTAATGGTTCAAAATACTTAAAAGACATACAATTTAAAGTGATTTTCAAAAACATTATGCTTTGATTAAAAAAATAAGCAAGGGCAGATTTACAGAAGTATTTCATCTATATAACATTAACAGGTTTATAGAGCCAAATGCCATGCTGACGGAAATGATTATGCAGTCAAAATATTGAAAAAGTAGTAAATCATAGATGAAGCTGATTTAATTGCTTTGTTCAAGGAAATCAAAGTATTGAGAATTGTATAAACAGATTTTTGTGTTAAATTCTATGAGATCTTTGAAAATACAGAAAATATCTATATAATAATGGAACTACTGATTGGAAAAGATTTAGATGGACATATAGAAAAAACATCATTTTTTTCAGAGGAAAAGACAGCTAAATTTATATTTAGATTGATAAAAACAATTTCATATTTACACTCTAAAGGCATCATGCATAGAGATATTAAACCTGAAAACATAATATTTCGATAAATTGATAACATTGACAGTGCATGCCTAACAGATTTTGGGTTAGCTGACTTTTATCATAGTGATGGATTTTATTTGTTTAAAAGATGTGGAACTCCTGGTTATATTGCTCCAGAGATCTTAAGAAATGAGCACTATGATTATAAAGTAGATGTTTATAGTGTCGGCATCATTATGTATTATGTTCTAACAGGAAAGAATCCATTCGATCATCCAAATCCAAAATAAATTGTGTTAAATAATTAATTAGGCTAAATTAATTTACATGATTGTAAATTGAGTAATGCAGGATTGGGATTTTTAACCTAATTGTTAAATGAAGATTAATATGAAAGACTATCATCTCATGAAGCACTTAATCATATATGGTTTCAGATTGAAAAAGTCTCAAAAATAAGATAATATATAATAAAAAAGAAAACAGAATCTAAAAAGAATTTATCTAACATTTTGTAACCAAAGCAGCGTTTAACTCAAAAGTATAAGGCAGCTAATCTAAGTCCAAATGGAAAGCTTACTCTAACTTAAATTTACTCGCCTTATCATAGTAGGTAGTTGTCATAAAAGGATCAATTTTCTTCTGATTTGTCAAACAATTTTATGGTCACAAGTAGGTTGAGTTTAGAATTTACTTAAGGCAAAATTTAACCCCTTTTTATCTCAAAATTAAAATGAATATTTACTTTTTATTTATAATATATGATTCAATACTTATCTAAAATTGACAACTTTGGGGCCTAATTCAAACCCAGAATAACTCAATCAGAACATGAACATAAATCAATTATTGGAGGTGTTTTTACTTTGTTAGTGTATGGAGTGTGTTTGGCTTATTTTATTTTTGTATTGCAATAATGGTAAACCGGATAAATACTACCAAAAATTCTAATTGAGTCAGATGTTGCAGCCTTTTCAAAATTCAAGATGCCTAATGATTTGATTGCTATTTCATACATCCGATATGAGGATTCGCAAATTGATCCTTTCTAGCAATAGGGTAACATTTTAATGCCAATTATGGCTATTATGGAAAACAACAAACCGATTTCCTATCAATCCATTCTGAGTAATAACGAAATTTCAGATTATGGAACAAATTATATCGAGATGGAATAGATGGAATTAGTTAAAAATATGCACAATGATAAATCCTAAGAAAACAATAAAGTTTATCTTCTCTTAATAACAACTTGCAAAGAACAATACTTGAAATCCAATCAAACATGTGCCTCTGAGTATGAAATTACCAACTTTTTGAGAATGGGTTTGATTCCAATTGAAATTACTGTCACATTATAATAATTTAGCACAACTGATTAAAAATTATATGAAGTGGAAAAACGATTGCAATTTCTACTTTAAGACGACCTAACCTTGAAAGCAGATTTGTCATTTTAAAATACAAAATCCGTTGTAGATGATCATCCTATATTTTCAAATTAAAAGCCCTTCATCTATTTTTCAGATTTCACAGTACTTACTCAAACAATATCTTATAACCTCAGCAAATCTATCATTTAAGATGATGTTTTCATCTAAATCTCATTTTAAATTGATCCAATTGAAGTATTATAATAAATCACTTATGTGAAAATTGGAGAAATGTTGGCCGATGTAGGATCGATCGCAAACCTTCTTTTAACAGTGTCATGGTTTATACAACAATTTAATAAGGAAGAATTGGAGAACAAAATGATTGATTAAATCATCAGTATTTATTATCCTTAATTTAAATCGATTATAAAGATAAAAAATGTTATTGGAAGAACAGTAGAATTTAGACATGAGAAGGTGAAAATAAATCAAAAAGAGTTTATATAATGGTACAAGAAAGTTAGATAAAATGCCATAATAAAATTATCAGTTGTAAATTAGATTCACGAAATTTCTAGATTGTATTTCATTTTGAGATCATAGGCAAACTTTTAATCTATGATTCGTTTTTAAGATTATGGGATTCAGATGCCGAATAAATTATTTGAAAAACAAAAGGATGAAATAAATAATGAGTTGCCATCAAATGAATTTAAGGTAGATGATTACGATTTAGAGTCAGACTAAATAGTAACCAATAATTTGTGTGATGAAGATCTAAATATCCTGAGTTATAGAATAAAAAATGAAGATAAATGATTGTTATTTCTATATATAGAAGATTATAAATTTCATCATCATTTATATTTATCAATAATTTAAAATTTATTATTAAATAGCTACTTTGTATAATAGTAGATACTATAGGATTATTTTGAATTCAATTCTATATCCAGGCAGACACAACCATTAGTAATAAAGAACCATACAGATCTTGCTAAATTAATTTCTATTGGTTATTAATTAATTGATAGAATAGTTAAAAGATTCTTACAGTAAATGAAACTATTTACATTTCGAAGCATTTAGTTTTGAATTATCAGTCCAAATTCATAAGCACCTCCAATAAGGCAAAAACAGAGTTAAAATAATTGCCGAAATGACAACAAAATATAAGGCTATGTTGTGGACTCAAACTTATCGAATTAATCTCGATATTCTTATAAGGATGAATTAATCAGAAGAAATATAATGAACAAGACCATATAAATTATTTTGTAATCCATAGCATTCTCTAGAATGTATTATATTCATAAATAAATGATTGAATCCATTTTCAAAACATTTAGAAAAGCTACAAATGATTTAAGAAAGATGACACAGGAATCAAATCTAGGTTTAGATTATGCATTATAATATTTAAGAATATAAAAATATATTTTATATGTTTGATGAAAATTAGTGAATTTTATGAATCTAAATGAGTTTACAAAATGTGTATAAAAGCATTACAATGTAACCTAGTACCAAGGACCAAGTCAATAATTTTCAATTTAGGAAGAATTAATTATCTTTTAAAGATTATGGAATGAAGTTAGACTTATTTTACTCCCTGTTCCCCATATAGTTTAGTGACTAATCAGAAAACAAAATATTTGATCAATATAAAAGATATGACGTCTGTATAAAAATGATTAATTAAATTATGGATTCTCAAACAATATTCTCAAGATAGGTTACAATAGAGGATTGGAAACAAGATAAATTATCCTAATAAATAGTTCTTATTCTTGGAGTAGGAGGTATTGGTTCTGTAGCAACCACTAACCTACTCAGATTAGGAGTTAAGAAAATCTTTCTAGTGGACTATGATCACGTCGAACTTCATAATCTAAATAGATAAATACTCTATTCAAAGTAAAATCAAGCATATCTATTATAGTAAAGATGTGAATCAATAGAAAGTCAAGGCTGCTTTTGAAAATGCCACCTTTCATAACGTAGGCAATGCTGAAATTTAAATGTTTGATTTAGATGCTGTTAAAAACTGGGATAAAATTGTAGAGCTGGCTTCATAATCAACTGCAATTTTCAACTGTATTGATTATGGAGATTATTGGGATGCTGCAGTATAAAGTTTATGTCTTTATTACAAAATTCCAATGATTATAGCAGGAAGTTTTGCACAATCTTTCATGGCAGAACTATATCTTGGAACCCCTTGCTATGCATGCATGACGGATGGTCTTAAGGAAGAGTATTTGAATCAAATCACTCAAGAGAATATTACATAACTCAAAGACATTTCTTTCCTACCTGCAAATAATAAACCATAAGGTCAATCTCATCAAGTATTGTGTTCTACAGCTGGTAACTTTGCAACACAATTACTATTAAATTATCTAAACGAATAAGCTGATAGCCAAACAAGCAAGTAAGCTATTCTTTTTTGACAATTTTAGGAAAGTCTTGTTTTATTTGACAACATTTGAAGTAGTTATATTTCCTGTATTTTCAAAAAATAACTGCCATATCTGTAAATATTAAGAACCTGCAAAAGAGTAGCAAATCTAAGCAACAGAACCTGCAAAAGAATAATAAATATAGGCTACAGAACCTGAAAAAGAGAAATTGGTGTAGGTACCAGAACCTGAAAAAGAGCAATTAATATAAGCAACAGAAACTGAGAAAGAGTAACAAGAATAAGCAACAGAATCTATTCAAAAACAAAATTGAGAATATTTTAAATATTAATCAATTTTTATCATAATCATTTATCATTTGGTATTCCGGTGAAAAAAATCTTCACAATGTCTCCAATGTAGGCACCTTTCAAAAGCCAATCGTCATCTCCTAAGAAAAAGTATGTTTATAAATCCAGAACCACCTCTTCAAAATTTTTACCAATATAAATCCAGCCTCTTTTAATGAATCCCTTAGCTTATTGAATATATGAAGTTATATACCTTTTATCATGGCCACAACATTCATATAGGACTTAACTCCATCAATGGCAGTGTTTCCACAATTACTTGCTACTCCATCAAATATTTTGGCTAGTATTTGCACTCCTCTTACAACAAGTTCTACGTTTTTAGATTTCAGATCTTCTATAGCCAACTTAAAATCGTTTTAGATTTCAGTCACTGTGCCTACACAATGTAATATGTCTGGCATTGCGTCCAACACTCCAACACCTATATATTCTCTAAATCTAAAATACCTGCAGCGTAGCCCATTAAGAAATCACTTAAATGACTACCGGTTAACTCCATCTCTTGAATCTCCTACTATGTTGATAAAAATGATTCTGATGCCAATCCTGTTGTCAAAAGAACTAATAGTAAAATGGCTTTCATTAATTTTGTTTTTTATTTAATAAAATGATTATCTTTTTTTGTTTGTCATTTTCTTGACACAACAAATAAGAATACGTCATTAAAATATGTCATCAAGTTATTTTAAATTCTTATACATTTTCTAAAGTATTCTAAAGTTCTGAGAATTATATTTTGAATAACCTAATCTTAACAAGTGTTTTTACAACCGCAATGATCGTTTTCAAAATAATAAATACTTCTATGGAATCTGAAGAAGATTTGAGATTAAGAATTTCAACAAAAAATAAAAACTTGTTATAAAAGGTTTCATATTTTTCTCTTGATTTTAAGGATATGAATTGATAATAAATAATTTAATAACAATGATAAATTTGAATAATGAAAGTTTGTGCTTATTGTGAATAAATATTTTCCTTATTAATTTATTTATATAATGATTTTTCTTTATAAACAATTTATGTTATATTTTAGGAATGGATTTTACAAATAAAAGATAAGTAGTTTGATTTAGAAACCAAAAATTTATTGTCTTAATAAATGAATTTTTGATTTTCGATTGATAATTTTATTTTATTTTGTATGAAATTAGCAAGATTATTTCGCTTTTCAACAGTTAAATTTCCATACAATTTTAAAGGAGTAAAACCTATACATGATGCCTCTATAGAAGATTATTTAAACACCATATTTGGTTCTAATTTGAGTGAAGGGTTTTTATTAGCTTACTAAAATTTGTTGGAAAGTTTAACATCTTCAGATTATGAAGAATTTATTCATGAAAATTGTGATAAAAATATTAGTAAGGCATTGATTGAAGGGATGAAACAAATGGAGAAGAGCGGACAAAAATTGAAATTAGCTTACAATGATAAATGCAAGACCAATGTGATGTATGGAAATTCAACATTGCATTTTTCTTGTGATCATAACTAGGATCTCTTAGATTAAAAGCCAGATTTTGTTTAGGGACAAGGTTCTAAAAAGGCAAAGATGTATAAGTCAGGAATAGATTTTAAGACAATGACAGTCCAAAGAGGAATCATCGAGATTGCAATCTATATCAGATCTCCTTTGTTTTTGTCTATAAGCGGTTAAGAAGTAAATTGATATGTAATAACTTAGAAATACGAGGAAGCCTATCATAGAGTCGATTTCAGAACGCATTCAATAAGCAAGTTTTCATTTATTGATGCAAAGATATTAACTGAATAGATCATGCAATTATAAAAAGAGAAAAGTGCACAGGCAGAAGCCCAGATCATAATCGATAGTCTTGGTAAAGATTTCACATGGAAAATTTTGAATATAGATGAGTATTTTAAATGACAAGATTAATAATAAAAATGCATTTATTAATATTCGATATTTATAATATAGAGTCTTTCACCCAAAATTTAATAAGTGTTTTATTCCAATTTAATTAAAAATATTGTGATAAAACTAAGGTGGAATGATAAATTAATGAGTTTTATTTGTTATTTTTGATCATTTATTTAAATCGTTGATTCAACTGGTTAAAATTTTATTAAATATATAAAGAAGAATTTGATGAAGAAGAAATTGTATTAATGTGTACCCTAAGATTTAAAATGGAAAGAAGATAAAATGATCATTTAATCCTAATTTAAAAAAGAGAATGATGAAATTTGCTATCTCTTAGGGTTCAATAATTATATCATAATTACGAAAGTAATGAAAGTTTTTCAACCATAGGATCTGTAGCAATAGCCAAAGAAATACATACATCTAGATTTTGATATCAAGTTTGAAATTTTGAGGGAGAATCAGGTCAAATAAGGTGATGAGGATGATTCTTTGGGTTAAATTAAAGGAATAAGCCTAATTAAAGATCTTGGCAATGAAACAATAACTTATAAGAAGTACCTTGGAGGAGAGAAAATAATCAAGTAATGGCGGGAGTACTTGAGTAACAGGATAAACTAATGGCAATTTCACCAAATGTTTAAAGTTTACAAAAAAATTGGGAAGGGTAATTTTGCATCAGTAATTTATATGAATTAACAGTTTATAGGTTTATTTGGCATAGAAAATTGAGGATTAGAAGAAAATGGCAATTAAAGCATTTTCTAAGCAAGCAGCATATGCGGAGGAATAGGGCAAAGAAGCTATTGTAAACGAGTTAAAGATAATGAGATAACTAAATCATGCGCATATAATGTAGATGCATGAGGTATATGAAACCTCAAATTCACTATATGTGGCGCTTGAATTGTTAGAAGGAGGCTCTTTGTATGATTTGATAAAAGAGAAGACATTACTGTCAACTACCTAGATTTAATAGATTATGGTGGGAGTGTTGTAAGGATTACATCACATGCATTAAAAAAAGATCATGCATCGAGATCTAAAACTAGAAAACATTCTGTTTAAACAATAAAAGTAAAAATAAAATTGATTTAGATAAATGGATTCAGTTGTTATTGCTGATTTTGGATTGGCAACTAAGGTTGATGAACCTGTATATTTGTATTATAGATGCGGTACTCCTGGTTATGTTGCTCCTGAAGTTATAAACATCAAGGATGTATAAGGACATTATAGTGAAGTTTGTGATATCTTCAGTCTTGGACTTGTGTTTTACTTATTGTTATCTGGGAAATAGGCATTTCCTGGTAAATCTTATGGGACTGTTGTCAAATAAAATAGAGAAGCTGTAATTGATTTTAAGATTAAACAATTGCAATAAGCACCTAGTTAAGCTTTGGATCTAATGAAGAAGATGCTTGAGAGAGATCCAAATAAAAGAGTCTCTGCTACTGATTGTTTAAAGCATCCTTTCCTTGCTGAAATGAATAATCAAATGGCAGATGATTTTGTAAATGATTCATTCGATGAAATTGATGAAATTGGAGAAGTTGCTTTGAGAATGAATGCATTAAACGAAGAGTATCATAATTATTTAATATCTTTTTAGAACCATCAAATTTGATGCTTTCAGACGAAATGCAATCCTAAATTCTCCGGGCTCACCAGGAATTTTAGACACAAAATAATTAAAGTAACAGAAAGTTATAGACTCTTTAAATCAACTTTAAATGAACTCTCCTTTGCTTAATGGAAAAACTGATACTTTCGATAGTATACCCAATATTGGCACTCCCAAAAATAAGCAATGCTAAAATGGTTTTTAATAATCACCTATGATTAAACATTCGTAATTTAAAAAGTAATCTATTTATCAATTAATTTAGATCTATTCCATTATAGTAATAAAATCAAGATAACCCATTATAAAAATACTCATAATAATAAAAAAATTGATAAAAACTCAATATATTAAATTTTAAAATATAATAATATTTTTTATAACTCTGATATTTTATAACTATTTCTATTTCCATTTAAATTCATAAAATAAATAATTAAAATGGGATGCCATTGTACAAAAACTAAGGAAATAAAACAATCTAAATAGTTGAAACACCCTAATTTAATAAAACTAAAACCAATCCTTTCGGATCAAAACACTTAATCTCCAATTACGACCGACTAGATGATAGATGATTTAGAGGATATGAAACCACCAAAATTGTGTTATATAAGTAATACAAGTATAGGAGGGATAGGGAAACAAAAGCAGATCCATAGAGTAATAGGAGGAAAGAAGGAAATATTTTCCTATTTATATATTCGTCCCTATCAACCATATTAATAAAAGTGATATTGTAATTAATAGTACTAAATTTTTCATTATATTTAATCAATTATTTTCCAAAAATTCATACACTTTATGCATGTTATTTTGCATATAATTTGTGGTCCAAATTGCAAAGGGGAATATCATTAATGATCTAAACATTATGACTGAACCCAAAGCTATCGGGAAACCTGTAAAAACTGATTTTACAAAATGATGCATGTCGTCCTAAAATATTTGGTGCTTTTGTTCCTTGATTTTTGGCAATTATTCTTTGAATTGTTATTCCTATTATTATCTTTGTTATTGTTGCTTCCTATAATTGGCAATCTTGATATCAAGAATTAACTAATCACGCTTTTCTTACATAATTAAAATAAAATATATCAAGTTAATATCAAACATTTAAAATTTAACACGATTTATTATAGCAAATGCTCACTTAGTCTACTTTAGTTAAGGACCATGACAAATTACTTATTTCGTTTTCTGCTTTATATTCTAATAAGGGATCTAGAGAATAGTAAATCTGGAGAATTACCAATAGAGTTAAGGTCATTTTGTTTATTCTGCAATTCTGAAAAGTCCCAAATCAAAGCTGAAAAATCATCAGATACACTACAAAGATGAGTTGTTGATTCAGGTGCCCATGCTATTGCATTAACAAAGTCTTTATGATTCTTTAGTTTGGCTAATGGTAAAAGTGGTTGTCTGAAAATAAGTATAATTAAATTACCTCGTATCCAATAGCGTTACATAATTAACATCCATCTCAATTATTGCTAGATAATTCGTATCCATTTTATTCCACGCCAATCTAACTATGGGATTATTATTTTCAGTTTCAAACAAAACTGTAGAATGATCTAAAGCTCTATTGAATTATGATAAATGTGGAACCTCAAGTCGAATTGTCTGCAACTGCCATCTGCACCCACAGAAGCAAAGATTTGATGATCTACACTGAAACAAATATCATAGACTTCTTTATCGTGTGCTATTAACTAAGTAAAGACAGTCTATTTTTCTATCTCCCATAAAGTACAAGTAGTATCTATTGAAGCAGTTCCAATATAATTCTACTATTTACAACTCCAATCAAATGAAGTTAAGGGTGCATTGAAGTCACTTGTCTAATGGATGGTTTTATTAATAATTTCGATACATTCTTTAAGTCCCACTTGATCTTCACTTGTGCATTTTAATCATCATACTCCCAAACCTTCAGATTTTCTCCGCTGGTGGCTAGGAGATCTGGATACTTTCCTTCAACATCAGGAATCCATAATACTTTTGTGGGAGCATATCTATGATTGAATTTAGCCTTCTTGAAAAAGGATTCTTATTCTTTGTCTAATTGCAAGATGTAAACCTATTTTCACTTAAATAAGATGACTTCATTCTGAACATCTTCAATCATACTTCCTATAGCTATACGAGATTGCGGCGTAGGTTTTGATTGAAATCCCATAGCATAGATTGGCCAAGGAGCTTTGAAAGTGTATATTTGATTTTGATTCTCTTATTGCATTTGGTTTTGGTTGGCATTCCCAACCGTGCCTTGCTCTTAAAGAAGAGCATTTTCCGTATATTGATTGGCGTTGCTCATTACTTTAAAAAATATTTATAATTTAATTCATCAAACTATTTCTATAATACTCTACATTTGTTCCCTAAATACTACATTACTTGGTCTTGAGGCAATTGTTGTTCAATCAATTATTCTAAATATTGATTACGCTCTCTAAGCATGTCTTGCTCATGCTTTAATTTTTTAATTCTCTATTTTTCCTTTACTTTTTATTTAAAATAAAGATTTCCTTTTGATTGGCATCTCCTTGTATTTGAATTGTAAATTCATGCATTCCT